CATGGGCAGAAACCGTGACTACTACAAACCTTGCAGAAACTGGGTTGAAAGGGGTGGCTACTGTAAGCTTCACGCGCAGTAAGTATGGCGTTTCTTGTGCTTTTTTACACTTAACTTGCTTTGTTTTCACTTGCAGGCAAGACGAAGGGCCCCAGCCCCATTTCAAGAAGCGACGGCTCGAGTCAGGTGGGCGCAGTGTGCCTAAGTAGATGTTTCTGGATTTCAAAACTACCTGCTTCAGACAGGTGTATGCTAATTAGAATGTTCTGGCGAGTATGATACCGTCGGTTTGAACCACTCAGTCGCCTCGAATTGACCTACACGACGTTTGCAGTTGGCAGAGAAAAGAAAGGTATCAAAGCTGAGTTTCTTCTGAAGATGGCGGCAAACGATGCAGCAGCAAGGTGCCAGGCAATAGATTTAAGAGATCCATCAGGATATTCCTCTACAGTTTAGGTTGCTATGAAACAACAAAGTTAAAAAGAAGTGGGTTTCACCCCTTTCTTTGAAGCATTTGAATGTGTTTAACAATATTCTTATAAAAATTACAATGGAGAGTGGTTTTTAGAGAGATTTCACAGCTTGCTAATGGTAATATGGTGGCTCTAAGGCTCTAATCTTGTGTCATGATTGGCTTAAATATATGTCTCAAAACAATTAAATTGCCAAAAGGCTCATACTAAACTAAAGGAATGCATTATAAATAGGAATTTATATTCTAGATGGATTAGTAAATGATGCAATATGAGAATTAAAATATTACACACAATATGATATATAAAATTTAATATAGGTAAGAAAATAAAAGAGAGCTGAAATATCAAAACATTATAATTTTAATATATAGACTGAATCTAAATACTAATACAGTTGTGGGGTAAAAGCCCAAAGTAATCATCTCCCCTGGGGGAGAGGGGCTATAGAGAAAAAAATATAGTAAAGATAATGAGGTTAAAGATTTAATCTTAAATGAACTCTCTAATAGTGATTCCAAACCAAATTATGGTTAGAATTACTTAGGGTAGGAATGAGCATACACTCAAGGGTGCCAAAGAGGCTTCCTAAGGAAGTGCTCAAGAGCAATTTTCACTTCCGGAATAAAAATTGATTATAATGCTCCTGGCTCATATAAAATGGTGCCCCACTTAAACACTATATATCTTTGCTCTTTTCTAGGGTCTTGGGTCTTTTCTTTAGGATGAAGGTGGGGGAATAAAGGTATTTATATTGGGCTGTTAGGTTACAGTGTTTCTCTTTTAAAGTCCTAAAACAAGAGATGCACTCAAAACTTAGGATTTAAAAAAACTTGCTTATATATCATTACCAAAAGTACAAGATATAAAGGGATTATATTTAAGTAAACTATTAGAATATAAATATATAAAATGTGTAGATAGTATACAAAATGAAATAAAATGATTACAAGATGAACCATTATGGAATCTATAAAATATAAGTGTAGCTTATTTCTCATAGCTATAACTCATTTCTTACAATTATGGCTCATTTCTCATGGTTGTAACTTAGTTCTTGGGGTTATGGCTCTTTTCTTACAACTTGGAGGTGTAATGTGCCTTAATGTAAGCACCAACTGATTGTGCATCATATTTCTTGCAGCTTATTTACAACATAGTGCCCTAATCTAGTACAATAGCAATTGCAATCAATTAGAGTGTGGCAATGAGTGTGATTAGAGTGCAGTGATGAGTGCCATTGGAGTGCGGTATTGATTGTATTGTGGTGGCAAGTTTGATCAATTAGATCGCAGAGGCAAACAAACTTTAAGTGTTTAGGGCATTGAGCATGGTAGTTTTTGGCATTGTAACAATTTGTTATATTACAAATTGATAGTGTATGTCTTGGGTTTTTTCTTTTAGCTTAAGTTTAATGGGTGTTGTAGTGATTGTGTTGTGGTGCATTACAATGCAACACTTACACTTAAGTAAGTAGTTAATTTATGCCCATTCCTCTCTAATGCATATGCATTTTTTATTTTACATTTTTCTTTCCATGGTTGAGGAGCTGTAGTGCATGTGATCATGGGATGAGATTTAAATTTATTTTCACTGTGGATCTTTGGAATCTTAAGGGAAAAATAGGGATAAAATAACCACTAAAGGCTCTCTCATTAAACAATTACCCCTTTCTAATTAAGAGAAATAGAGTGTACTATAAGAGTTAAGAGTTTTACACCAGTATAAACAATGCATATTTGGGTATATGTTTACAATGCGGCAGTTTGCTAACTTGTTAGGCCCAAACACTCGTATCATATCGGTGATGCAAACATACTTCTGAGTCCTACTGATATATTTTGAATTTTGAAATATATATGAATTAGGAAATTAGGCATTGCTATGCTAATTGAGGATAGTGGAATGGTCTACATATTTATGCTTTTATATGTGTGTGTTTTTTCTTTCTAGGAGAAAGATTGATACTCTATTAGAACAGGCACTAGGACTTCTTATGTGTAGCTTAGTGGCAGTATTTGTTGAGGTGTAGACTCAAGATTGGAGACTTTGTTGTCCTCCTTTCTCCCGACATAGCAAGTGTGACCCTCATCTATTGCAAGTTATGGAGCCAACAACATAAGTAGAGGATGATGCTATGGAGGAAGGTGAAAAGGGAATGGCAGAAGAGCATCCTATTGTAAAGGAGATTGTAGAAAAAGTAGTGCTGGATCCTGAGAATGTAGAGAAAGCAATTCTACAAGTGTGAGAAGCCACACTTGACAGAGTTTATGTTGCTACGAATGATGCAATGATCATCTATGCTTAGTAGATATCCTTTGTTTCTTTTTAGATTTTTTTTTCTCCTCCTCCATTACAAGTTATGAGGAGAGCAACACAAAGTAGAGCTACAAAGGAAAGTGAAGAGGGAGTGGCAGAAGAGCATCCTACTATCATGGAGATTGCAAAAGAAGCAGTGTTGGATCCCGAGAATGCAAAGAAAGCAGTTCTACAAGTGCAAGATACTGCACCTAATGGAGTTTATGTCATTACAAATGGTGTAATAATCATCTATGACATGTAAGTTTAGTAGATATCCTTTGTTTCTTTTTGGAATTTTTTCTTTGCAAAGCACTTCACATGGGTCCAAGGTGATGGTGGAGGAGGCTTTAGTTGAGGTTCCCTCAGCCAGCGAGCTAGTAGCTTCACATGATGAGGAAGATGCTTTAGCTAGTGAGGGGAACGCTCCTCACTATGTAATGGTTACAAGTGAGGAGCTGGAGGTGCCATATGACAGTGGCTCCTTGTGACTTACTAGTTCTAAGTGAGGAGGTAGAGGCACCATGTGACATTTTCCATGAGATGGAGGCTCCATGCTAGCCCCCTTATGAGCATGATGATCTATGAAAGCTTGCTTATAAGTAAGGAAAAGAGGACTTAAGCAAGACAAAGCTACCAAATTTTTGTATATATACAATCAACTTTATAGTTTATTGTTTTTAGGATTTTTACTGATAACCTACAAATCAAGGTGGTGAATGCAAGCTTGAGTAACCTCAACAGTCCACAAATGTATGCAAAGTCTTTGTGCAAATGTATAAATGCTTTATTGCTTTCTTTCTTGGAAAGATTCATTAGATCTATTAATTTGCCCATACTAACTCACCCCATGAATGGATTGTTGATTAATGTTATGTGGCCCTTTAATTGATCAATAGGCTGGTGAGATCGATCAATCGATTGCTAAACCCATTGATTGACTCATCATGCAGCAGTGATGGATCCATACCCTAACCACAGTTGCTTGCCATTGGCCTTAGGTTATCCATTACGACAAGATTTTGTGTGTGCTCAAACCTGAATTTTTTGGAGTGTAATGTGGCTGTTAAAAGTGATCTTGTCTTGTGGGCCATTGCACAAGTTGTAATCAAGGCCACAAGACAAAACTCTCAAAATCCAATCCAAAAGGCATCAACCCTAAACCTAAAGTACCGGATTGAATGCTCCAGTACGTTTCGCATCTCTGCCTGATCGATTAGCCGGATGGTATCGTCTTGAGCTTCAGGAGTTAATCACCTCCACAAAACAAGCGCTCAATGAAACAAGTACACGCAGAGGACTCTGTTCTTCTCCAGACGATTGCCTCCGTGCTTGCGAGTGTCCATACTGGAATGGAAGGGAAAGTCTTTGTTTCTTTCTTGTATGGACTATCCTTGAGTAGAATGGAGGGCATTTGAGCTTGTGGAAAGAGAAATTCACATTCCATTTCCCTCTTCATTTTTTCAACTTTTCTCTCATAACCGGAAGTCTCCACCCCTGTGGAGTTCTCCCATGCAAATTCAACATATATAATACAAAGTCGCTTATCATCAGGTTACATATTGATTACTTGCTTTCTAAAATGTTGGTCAAATCCAACGAGAGAACGACGCAAAGTCTATTGTTATCCCATGGAAGTTACACGTCACAAGGATGAATTTCCCTCTTTCTGAATCCATACGGCCAATCTTATGATCTATCGATCTTTCATGTGTGAGCATGAGACTGACGTATCGTTTTCTCGATTTGGCAATGGGAGCAGCACGGGGTAAGCACTGTGTTTTGTCTCCCGAGACACGAGCTTCACCACGCGGCTGAGTCTCAGGCGAGAGTGGACCTTAGTCCTGCGAGTGGACTGAATGATGGATCCTCCAAGTAAAGGTTTGCTCCACCGGACACACTTGTAAGTGCTTTCTCCATCTCATCAGGTAGGCTAGTTTCTACACGTAGATCATTTTTTCTTTTTCTAGAGGCTGCTGGAAGAAACAAGCTTTTCCGAGAAGAGATGCCCCCCAAGAGAATTTAGAGCTCTCGACGCGTCCTTCGATTCACCATTCCCGGGATTTGATCCAAAGCAAAATAAGTGGTGGCCAAAGGCAGTTATAGAGAAAGGGACAAGAGAGGCACCACCCAACAAAGGAAAGCAAAAACGCTTGGAGTCACAGATTCCAGTGATGCAAGAGAAACAAAGAAAGGAGAAGAGGAAGAAAAAAAAATTTTGCCCTCCATTTTTATAAGCGCGTAGGACCCAAGAAGCACGACGGTGGGCTGTAGGGTTGGAGGAAGCGGTGCTACACAGCGCATCGGACTTTTCTTTTTTCTCTCTGGCTCCGGTTGGTTCTTCCTTGTGGTGAGACTAGAAAGGGATCGCCGCCATTGGGTCATTGCTTAGACAGATAGATCTTCTTTCTCACAGCAAAAGCCCATCAATCCCTTCACTCTGGCCACTTTTCTAGTCCCAGCGTCTCGGAGCTCCACGCCACAGCTCTTGTGGGAGCGAGAAGCGAGACTTCTCGAGCAACCATCTTTGGTGGTGGCGGTGGCGGCGTGTAACAAGGGAGCGAGCGAGTCGCAGATTTGGAGGGCGTGTCGCATGGTCCAGGGAGTCTCTGTGGATTACGGCTAATAGCATCCAACTGGTGGCAGGCACTCAAGTCGCAACTCAAATGTAGCCTTTTCGGCGAGGTTCTTCGTAGTTCCCTTTTTTTTTTTTTTTCCCTTAGTTTCTTTGTAGTTTTCATAGCTTCATCTTCGATCGATCATGGGGAAGGTCTTTTGCTTGCCAGTTTTTAGCCGCAAGGCGAACAAGATAAAGGTACGAAAAGTCCAGAGCTTTGCTTCGCTCATTCTTCCCTGTTTTGTTCTTTCAGCTCGAACTTCCAGAAGGTGACGAGTCTTTCACTGTTTCCACGACTCCAGCGTCGCAAGCTGCGCCAGCAATCACGTCCCCGGACGTAGAGCTCCAGGCGATCCAAGGGGACACGCAAAGTTGCTTCGAACACGCGGCACACGAAGAACAAGTGGCTCTAGAAGTTGGCGACGTTTTCAGTGATCCGGGACTGTATGGACGCGACTTTACCGAGAGCTCTGCTACGTCGGAGGAGGCTGTTGATGCCACCAACACCAACGCCATCGCCATCAACATCAACGACGCGACTGACGATGCTAGAGCCAATCTTGCTCTTGCTCTTCCAGAGGAACGTAAGCAGCCTGGCGACGACGATCACAACGAAGATGATCAGTTTGGCGACGAAGAAGATGATCAACAGAGAACAAGAGTCGTTCTCCAATCCAGTGACTTCCACTCCAACACCACCACGAAGTTCACTACGCAGGACCGAGTGGAAGAATGGGTGAAGAGCATCGACGCATCGTCAACCGAGCCATTGATCGAGCTCCCGGTTGGAGAGACGCCGACGACGAGTCACGCTGCTCGCAGCAGCAACCACAGCAGCAGGGACGTAGAGCTCGCAAACTCGGTGGCTCGCTCACTGGATTTCCACTCGACAACAGTGGCTCATTTCAGTGGCATCGGCCTCACTCTCATACCGTGCCTGTCCACCTTCTCTCATTTGAAAACACTCAAGCTCTCGGGCAACGCTATCGGTAAGCTCGAAACTCACCTCGCAATCGCTAGCTCGCTAAGTTTCTGTGCAGTGAGGATCACTCCAGGAGTTCTTCCAAAAGGTTTACATTCTCTCGACCTCTCGAGGAACAAAATCAGTGTCATCGAAGGACTCCGGGAGCTCACCAAGCTACGCTCGTTAAACCTCTCGTACAACAGGATCCTGCGAATCGGACAAGGTAACTCGTTAGTTAGCTTGGAGCTTCTGACCTCTTCTCACCTTGATCTTCCAGGACTGGCAAACTGTACCTCCATACGCGAGCTTTACCTGGCTTGCAACAAGATCAACGAAGTGGAAGGCCTCCACAGGCTGACGAAGCTCTCGTGCCTGGACCTCAGCTTCAACCGCCTCGCCTCCACAAAATCCTTGGGCCAGATTGCCGCGGCTTACACGTCCCTCGTGGCCATCAACCTGGTTGGAAATCCAGTGGTCGTTAATGTTGGCGAAGAACAGCTCAAGAGATTCGTCACTGGCCTCGCTCCAAATCTCATCTTCCTCAACAAGCAGCCCATCAAGGGAGGCATCTCCAACAGGGACGCTGTGGCGAGATCATTCGCCGCCGGGAGCTCCAGGCACTCTCCTCACCACAACGCGTCCTCGAGCAAGAGGAGCAGCAGCGCTTCCACCTCGAGCACCGCTCTGCGAGTTGGAAATCGAGGAGGCCAGCACCAGCACCATCACCATCACCATCACGAGCAGCAGCCACTCCGAGACTCCAAGATGGCTCAGCTCAAAAGTATTCACCGCGTCCAGAGTGATGGAGCCCTGCAGAACTCAGCTGATTGAAGAACAAGAGCAAAGAAGAGAGAGACAATAAAAAGCTTACCTTGAGCTTCTTCCTATCATATCTCCTCCCACACTCTCGATTTATGCGAAGATTTGATGCCTCTTCCCACTCAACCGAGCTTATTTTTTTCTTGTTTATAAAGTTTTGGTGGATTGATGCGTTCTTCCTTGGACTAATCTTCTTATCCCAATAGTGTGTAGTGGAGGGGGTGTCCCTTGATTCTTTCTCGTCCGCTTAACGCCTCTTACCAACCGGCTTCCAATCTGGATCGTTGGTTTCCAACTACAACGTCCGCCCGCCGACTTGGCCGCGTCTTGACCGTCGGACCTTTACCGTGATCCGTTACGCTTTCTTCCTTGCGTTCCCAAATTTTCTTCCTTCCTTGTTCTTCCTTCTCTCCCTTTGTCAAGGAAGATCGGCGCTTCTTCCTTCTTTCTTCCCTGTTTTTTTACTCTTGCTCCAAAAACTTCCCTGTTCTTCTCCTCTGTATGAGAGGCCGCTGTCCTGTTCTCCCACCTGTTCCTCTCGCAAATGATTTTGGATTCCCGAGACGCAAGCCTCCATTGATTCCTGCCGCGGAGGTGTTTTCCAACTGTGAACGGGTAGTGCAAGCAAGAATCTGGAGAACATTAGTACACCCACACAAAGAGAATGCCAACTTACTTTTCCCAACTGCTGCTTGACCGCCGGCAATCCTCGAAAAGAAACACGCACAGCAGCGAGCATCGAGCATCGGGCAGCAGCATCACCACAAGCAGCATCTGAGAGCACAGAATTTTGCTGACAATGTCGTCGTTACGATTGCGAGCGTGACCACCACCAGCAGCACCACCACCTTGGAGCTTTTTTACTCCATTATTCTTCTCCTTGCTCCCCTTCTCCTCGTCACGCCATCCTTCTCCACTGCTCTGCGGGACCAAAGAGAGAAGTAAGCGGGGAATGCAAAGACAGTGACTCTAGACACTTACCGACATGGTATTTATCTTGTGCAGCAGCCTTTCCAGTTCCTCATGCCCTCGCACGACGACGCTTTGCTCCTCCAAATCCATCGCTTTGCTATAGCTCCAAGCTCTGTGAAAGAGAAGAAAGATGGTTAGAGGAGGAGATCATCATTCCACCACCACCACCACCACGGGGATGGCGATGGTAGCAGCAGCAGAGCATCACCTCTCACTTTGCACGCTCGACTCGCAGCCTCCCACGCCACAGTCTCACGCCTCCCAGTCTCACACACTCTCACTCTCGTCACTCTCCCACCACCAAGCACTAGCGGCAGTAGCGGCAGTAGCGGCAGCTCCAGGAGTTCCAGGAGGAGGAGGCGGGGGAGTTCCGGGGCTTCCAATCCTGCTCCACTCGAGCTCGGGCGATCCACTACGCCAGGAGGAAGACGGCCACGACACTCACTACTCGCAGCGCTCGCCATGGCTGCGAGCAATGGTGCTAGGAGCAAACGATGGCCTCATCTCCGTCGCCTCCATCATGGTTGGCGTGAGCGCAGTGAAGTACGACGTTAAAGCATCGCTCCTCTCGGGCATCGCGGGGCTCATCGCGGGAGCTTGCAGCATGGCGATCGGCGAGTTCGTGTCGGTCTACTCGCAGCGCGACACCGAGCTGGCCGATCTGGAGAAGGAGAAGCAAGAACACATGGCCGGGCCGGAGAGAGAGCTGGAAGAGCTGGCGCAGATCTACGTGAGCCGCGGGCTGAGCTACTACCTGGCCAAGCAAGTCGCGGAGGAGCTGTCGAGCCACGCCGATGGAGCGCTCAAAGCTCACGCGCGGGACGAGCTGGGGATCGATCTGGACGGCCTGTCCAATCCAATGCAGGCCGCCACGGCGTCGGCGCTGGCCTTCTCGGTGGGCGGCGCGGTGCCGCTGCTGGCGGGCGCGTTTGTGGGGACTTACAAGTACCGCCTCACGGCGCTGCTGGTGTCGTCCACGGCGGCGCTGGCGGCGTTCGGGGCGCTGGGCGCGCGGCTGGGCGGAGCCGCCATGGGCAAGGCGGCGCTCCGGGTCACGCTGGGCGGATGGGCGGCCATGCTCGTCACCTATGGATTCCTCTTCTTTGTCAGCCGCTACATCGGGCCCTAAGTACTCGAGCTCCTCCAGCGATTCAAAGCTCGCTCTAACGTGGTATATGCTTGTTTCAAACATGGTATCTTTTAGTTGTTGTGAATGATTATTCGCTTATATAAAACAACCCCGATAGAGAATTTGGCTCAGTGGATGGAACAAAATCGATCCACGAAAAATATGAGCTACTTACTTGTTTGACGTTATAAACTCTCTATAATCCTTCTTCATCTTCACTCCTGCGAATTCCCTGAATCAACACAGAAAAAAAGACGCTGTTTACTTTGCAAGGAGGCTGTGAAACTTACGTGAGTTTCTCTTTGTTCTTGAAGAATTGGATGCACGGCGTGCCCATCACTCCACCTGCTTCGGCAATCTCGGGATCCTCTTCGATATCAATCTCGACAAGATGGACCTCTTTGTTGAACTCGTCTACCACCTGTGGACCATATGAGCAATGATCACGATGAATATATCTAAGCTTACTTTGTTGAAGATTGGCTTTAGTGTTCTGCAAGGGCCACACGTTGGTGATGTGTAGAGAACAGCAATGAGACGAGGGCTTTCGTGGTACAGCTTCCGCAATGCATACTGTCACACAAGATCGTAATTTAGATTGCTAACAAGCACAGAGTAAAAACAGTGTACCTGGCCTTTGTGCTTGGTCGCAGTGATATCGAATCCCATCTCGACATCCTCGCTTGTGAGCTCCTTCTTAGTTTCTTCTTGTTTTGGCTGCAAAATGGCACAGGTCGGACGTAAAACTTAGACAAACAATAGAGAAAGGTTACTTACCTGATGGAATTCGATAAGAAGGTTAGTTCGGACTAGATAGCGCTCAGCAGCCAATGCGGCCATGCAGCCAGAGCCTGCAGCAGTAACTGCTTGTCTCCACTCGTGATCCTGTTGTGTCAAGACCAAAACGTGAAAAAAAGAACGAAGAATAGAAGAGCTTATCTTGCCTGTAAGTCACCAGCCGCAAACACTCCCTCGACTGACGTCTCGCCTCCACTTCCCGTTGTGACAACGTAACCAGCTTCATCCAGCTCCACTTGTCCTGCTAGAAGATGACTGTTTGGCTGATGTCCGATACCATAGAAGAGGCCTTTTACTTGCAAGGTCTTCCGAATGCCACTGGACGAGTCCTCTAGCAAAACACCCGCCATTTGTCCCTTGTCATTAGGAACAACATCTAGAACTCGCGTGTTGAAGTGCACCGTGATGTTTGGATTGTTGAACGCCCTGCGAACAAGAAAACGAACTGAGTTAGTCGGGATTGTCAGCCACAAAGACGAGACTAGCATGCTTCACCACACAACAGAAAAAAAGAAAGAGAACTCGTGAAGTGCAAAGGCGCTCTACTGAGCAAAAGTCCTACCTATCCTGCATTGCTTTCGATGCCCGCAACTGGTCTCTTCGTACTAGCAAATGCACATGCCGGGCATATTTCGTAAGGTATAGAGCCTCTTCGGTTGCAGTATCCCCACCTCCGACCACTGCAAGCTCCTGTGCCTTGAAAATCGGAGAGGCACCATCGCATATAGCGCAGGCACTGATTCCTCTACTCCAAAATTCATGCTCCCTAGGCAGTCCAAGCCGCTTTGCCACTGCGCCGGTAGCGATGATGAGCGTATGGCATTTCACCTGGATTGGGAGTTTTCCATCCGTCAGTTCCCGAGCACCAACTTGAAAAGAACACATTGGTCAACGTACTTACTTCACGCTCGCTACTCCTCACAGTGAATGGTCTGATCGAAACGTCCACCACTTCCACGTCTTCGGTTCTTAGTTCTGCTCCCCATCTTTCAGCTTGTTTCCGCATCCTACGTCCGGAAAAAGCTTGTGAAAAACAAAGAATAGAAAAGTTGATACTTACCGGTCCATCAAGTCTGGTCCTGAGATGCCTTCGGGAAATCCAGGAAAATTCTCCACCTCTGTGGTCGTCATTAGCTGGCCGCCAGGAACTCCTCCAGCCTGATATCCCTCAAACACAAGGGGCTTCAAATTCGCGCGAGCCGCATAGATCGCAGCAGTGTATCCCGCGGGACCAGACCCGATAATCACCAAATTCTCCACCGGAACCTCTGGTCGAGCAAGGAAATCCCAGCTTTACAATCCAATGCACCACGGCCATAGTTACCTGATGAAGAAGATTTTGGGAGCTCCTCCACAGCCACAGCCGCAGCAACGCTGGCAGCAGTAGCAGCAGCCGCGGCGGCGGTGACAGCACCAGACTTGAAATTCCTCCTCCTGCTCGAGGAAATCCTGCCACGACACAGAGAAACCTCTTGCGACGTGGAGCAGCACCCTAGAAATCCTTCTCTCGCCGCCAATACGAATGCCGTGGAGACGCCGCTGGAGCTGCACGAAGAATCGGGAAAGGATGCGCCCGATGACCTATCCGGCCAAGCGATAAGCCACGAAGAGCTCGCTGCCGCTCCCGCCATGGAGGGGAGGAGGGAGGCTCTAGAATGAAAGAATGAAACTAAGTGGGGGGCCACTACCGTACCCTCTGGCTTTATATAGTATATACGAGGCCGTACATAGCAAAAAATGCCGACAATGTATTAATGCCATGAGAAAACCTCCGCCATTCTCGAGACGCCACGTGTATCGTCAGGTCAAGCGTTGCTTGTAGATCTTCTTTTTAGGGCGATGGAGCTGGGGCTGGGCGCTTGATCTTCCGATGGAGCTCGAATTCGCAGGCATGGATTTTGGCTGCGCGCTCAATGCGCTCGGCAGCGCCCAATTGCCCGCCAAGGAGTGCATTCTCCCGCTCCTCTCCAAGGTCCTGGGCTACTGCATCATCCTTGCTTCCACGATCGTCAAGGTTCCACAGGTAGCGTATGAACTAAAATCCATCTCTTCGATTCGAGCTAGCTCGATTGCATTGACTATCCGATGGATTGGAACTCCTCAGATTCACGTGATTATGAAGAACAAGAGCATCCAGGGGCTGAGCATTCCATCCTTTGAGTTGGAAGTGGTGGGATTTACCATCGCTCTCGCGTATTGCCTCTTCAAAGGCTTGGCCTTCTCGGCCTATGGAGAACTAGTGTTTCTTCTCATTCAAAGTAAGTGACCGTGGAAGAGATTTTATTTTTCACTCACATCGAATGGTTTTCTTCAGCGATTGTCTTGGTGGCACTTTTGTACCAATACTCTCCAAATCGTGGACTTAACGTCTGGGCAAAATCAGCATTGTATCCTTTTCGAGATGCCTTTCTTCCTTCGCAGTTCTAAGTTCTAACTTTAACGATAAAAAAAACAGATACTGTGCAATTGCTCCGATGCTGTTGGCAGGAAAGCTGGATGCGAATATGTTCGAGGCCCTTTACGTAAGAAGTTCTACAGCAAAAGACCATCTCAGAAACTCTTTTTGTTTTTCAGGCTTGCCAGCATCTCATCTTCTTTTGCTCGCGATTGCCGCAAATTTTCGAGAATCACAAGGTTTGCAGCTTCTAAGATGACTTCTCTCAACTCTACTGGTTTTGTTCCAGAACAAGAGCACCGGCCAGCTTAGCTTTCTTACCAATTTCATGAGCTTTGCTGGGTGTTTCGGTAAGTAGTCACTCTTTTATTTGCTTTGAGCCATTGCTTTTGTTTTTGTTTTGCCACAGTTCGTCTGTTCACAAGCATTCAAGAGAGTGCTCCAACAAGCAGTAAGCCTCGCTCGGTTGTCCGATCGATTTTCGCTCATCAAAGTTTTCTTGGTTTTTTTTCAGTGATCGTTGGTAGTATTCTCGGGGTTTTGACAAACGGAGTCGTGATGATCCAGTTTTTGCTGTATAACCAGATGAAATTGAGGAGAGACTGAAAGCTTTGAAGAGCTTTCGCTCTCTAGTGATTTTTTTCTCCCAGTAACTTAACATGAAAACGTATCTCCGCGGACCGTCCGATCCAAAAAGGATCCAACGGCTACTTGTGCAAGAAGGGGCTAGGGTTCCTGGCGGATGGCATCATCTGCCGTGCTGGGCTTGGCGGGATTCTTTTCTTTCTCCGCGATTTTTATGGCGCTATGGCACATCGTGATGCATTTTTTCAACTACACGGAGCCTACATTCCAGCGCTACACTGTGCGAATCGTCTTCATGGTCCCAGTAAGTGGCTCCTTCCCAATTTGCCTCCAAATCTCGACAAATTCCCGGCTGCCAGATCTTCGCGTTGATGTCCTTTCTATGCATTTTATATCAAGAGTACGCTGTCTACTTCGATTCTGTGTGTCAAATGTGGGTAAAAATTCTTCTTTTTTGCGAGACTGAATAGGAAATTTTTCCTTCTTTGTTCTTGGTGGTGTTTCTCTTATGCAGATACGAGGCCTTTGTCATCTATAATTTTCTTTCTTTGTGCCTTGCTTGGGTTGGCGGGCCTGGCTCTGTCGTCCAGAGCTTGCAGGGACGAATGCTCAAGCCGTCGTGGCATCTCATGACTTGCTGCATGGATCCTATCCCCCTTGACGGGTTCGTGCTTGGCCTTCTCCTCAAATTCGGACGACTCAAACACTGTAAGGATCAGCACCGCAAAAGAAAAACAAGAACAAGTTGTTTCCTTTGCTGATGAGTGCGCTTGTGATTGCTTTGCAGGGTGTTTATCCGGAGGTGCAAGCAAGGTGGTATCCAGTTCGTGATCATCAAGCCGCTGCTGGTCGCCGCCACCTTCATCCTTTATGCGCTCGATCTCTACGACGATGGAAACTTCAGCGTCACGTCGGGCTATCTCTACATCACGCTCATCTACACCGTTTCCTACTCGGTTGCGCTGTACGTGCTCGTTTTGTTCTACGTTGCCTGTGCTGATCTCTTGAGGCCTTACAAAGCTCTCCCAAAGTTTATCATCATCAAATCGGTGGTCTTTCTCACGTACTGGCAGGTACTTAATCCTTCCCTTCTCGTTTCATTGTTGTGATGTTCCTCGATTTGCGTAGGGAGTGGGAGTTTATATTGTCGCGAAGATGGGATATATAAAAACTGCAGACGAGGCCGAGATCGTCCAGAACTTCTTGGTGTGCTTTGAGATGCTGATAGCGGCAATGGGGCACGTCTACGCGTTTCCATACAAGCAGTACGCCGAAGCCAACGTCGGAGGCTCCGGGAACTTAAGTTTTTGGGCCAGTCTCAGCCATGCTCTCAGCTTGAACGACGTTGTCCACGACACACTCCATCAGGTAAAAATTCTCAAGGTCTTGTTTTCTCATCGAAAGGCAAAGCTCTTGTCTTGCAGTTTGCTCCAACTTATCACGACTACGTGCTCTACAGCGATGGAAGCCAAGAGGCTCCAATGAGATACCGAGCACGGACGTTCGTTCCCACAGGCCAAGAGATGGACACGCTTCGCAGGCACAGCAAGATGTTTGGAGCTGGAACAATCGATCCAGCCTCGGCCTCCACTCTTGGCCTTGGCGGCGCCTCTTTCGGCAGCGCCGCCTTCTCTCGCGCGTCCTTCATTAGTCAAGGTGGCTCTTTGAGTGGCGAGGCCGGAAGGAGGAAGACTCAAGCTCGTCCCTCTCCACAGTCGTCACTCTCGGGCTTTGGAAACTTTCCCAACGATCCACAGCAGCCGCAGCAGCAGCCTCATTCCTTCGAGGCAGCTTTGTTCAAGGCCGCGCTACCGCCGCTTCCCAACAGGCAGCCATCCATGGGCTCCATTCTCCACATTAGAAGCCCCGTGGAGAGCAGGAACTCCAGCTTAATCGATAGCAGGCGTAGCAGTAGGCGAAGTAGCGCTGGCGACGATGCGATGGAGACATCGCTCCTCGCTCCTGGGAGGAGAAAATCGTCTCATGGAGCTCTCCTGGACGAGATCGACATCCATGGCGAGGAGGATCAATACGATGAAGGCTACATCCAGAGGTAGACGAAGGCTCCCCGATCGGACGGTCCAGAGCTCGGCCATCGGACGGTCGAGATTTTGTGTTCGGACATACTTTTTCTTTTTCGAATTTGACGGCTGTGGATCCATGTTATGTGCTTGAGGTTTTTTCTTATTCTCGTTTAGCGCTAGGATCTATGGCGTCATCGATCGGAGGAAAGGATGCCAGGAAGATCAAGGGCGGCGGCGCTGGCGGCGCCAAGGCCTCATCGTTTGGCACAGTCGCGGGGCATTCGGCGTCCGTAACTTACGTCTCGATGCTCGGATTGCTTCTCTTCTGCCCGCCTTTTGTGATCGTTCTGTGAGTATTCCCTTCGCATTGATTCGCGGCCATGAAATCCTCGCTCTGGATCAGATGGTACACGCTGGTGCACGGGCATGGCGCTGTGTCGAGCTTCTGGGATCTCGCGCAGGCCAAGGGATTTCAGGCGCTCGTGGAGATCTGGCCGAGGCCGACGCTCACAGCATGCAAGATCATCGCAGCGTTTGGATTGTTTGAAGCGTTTTTGCTGCTGGCATTGCCTGGCAAGAAGTTTATAGGGCCCGTGTCTCCATCTGGAAATCGTCCAGTCTACAAGGTACGCTCTCTCTCTACTAGAACAAAGATCTTGAGGACATTGTGAAAACCTTGGCAGGCCAATGGCATGGCGGCGTATGTGACGACTTTGCTGGTATACACGGCAATGTGGAGGTATGTCGTGCATAGATTTCTTCCTCGTTTTTCCAGACTCTGAGTGAGCTCTTTGTTTAGATTTGGATGGTTCAATCCAGCTCTTGTCTACGATCACCTCGGAGAGATCTTTTCTACTCTCATTTTTGGCAGCATAGTTTTTTGTGTTCTTCTCTATATCAAGGCAAGGCAAGTCTGTGCGACTGACCATACGAACTTTGACGCAATTCTGTGCAGGGTCACGTTGCACCTTCGTCGTCTGACTCTGGATCAACCGGAAACTTCATAGCAGACTTTTACTGGGTAAACAAATCGCCAATGCTACTTATCTTATCTTGTTGACACGCTTTGCACAGGGTATGGAACTGTATCCCCGAATCGGAAGCTCGTTTGACATCAAGACGTTCACAAACTGTCGCTTTGGGATGATGTCGTGGGCTGTTTTGGCCATCACGTACTGCATCAAGCAGCATGAGTTATATGGCAAAGTCTCGGACTCAATGCTCGTCAGTACGTGCCTCATGCTGGTGTACATCACAAAGTTTTTCTGGTGGGAATCGGGTTACTGGTGCACCATGGACATCGCACACGATCGCGGTATGATAGTTCACTTCGATAGGAACTTTTTGCGATCCAAGAACTAACGCGCTATACACGATTGTATGCTGTAGCTGGGTTTTACATATGCTGGGGGTGTCTCGTCTGGGTTCCATCAGTTTATACTTCTCCAGCTTTGTATCTCGTTCGTCATCCCAATGAGCTTGGTACACAGGTATCGTATATGTGTTTTATGGACTGCTCAAAGGCACTCACGCTGTTTTGTTTGCTATCTAGCTTGCTCTGGCCATTTTGGTTGCAGGCCTTGCCTGTATCTATATAAACTACGACTGTGATCGCCAACGCCAGCATTTCCGAAGCACCAACGGAAAATGTACAATATGGGGGAAAGCACCAGGCAAGGTACACTTTGAAACAAAATAACAAATCTATCGGGTAGCTTATTAGCTCGGTGGATTTTGTAGATCGAGGCCACTTACGTGACCGAAAAGGGAGAGACAAAGAAGAGCTTGCTTTTAACTTCCGGCTGGTAAGCATGACACTCTATGAAGAATCGAAATTTTAACTTTGAATTTGCAGGTGGGGGCTCGCACGCCACTTCCACTACGTCCCGGAAATATCCGCGGCCTTCTTTTGGTCTGTGCCTGCTCTCTTCGAACACGTAAGAACGTTTTCTGATCATATATGCCATGCAAGACTAACCTCGAGGTTTTTGGATTTTCAGTTCCTTCCATACTTTTATGTTGTTTTTCTCACAATTTTGCTCCTGGACCGAGCCGTCCGCGACGATCAAAGATGCCGGACGAAGTAAGATCTCGCACTTCATTTCGTTCACGCTCTCACACATTTTTTCTTATCCAAGGTACAAAAAATTCTGGGACCTGTATTGCCGAGAAGTTCCTTACAAGGTACTCCCTGGCGTGTACTAAGTTAAGTTGTTCCATTTCTTCTTGGTTCATGGGGAAAAAACTATTGTCTTGGAGTTCATAGCTGATGGTACGCGTGAAACCTTGCACAGAGCTTCCTAAGAACTCCTTGAGAATGCTGCATGGTGTTGAGCTTTGTGTCTCTCGCCATTGCCTGCGATTAAGAGAAAGAGAGAGAAATGCTAAGTGATCGATCCAAAGTTGTTCGTTCGATCTCACCTCGAAGTCGTTCCCATACTGTTTGATGAGCCGCGCGATATGGACTCTCTGCATCTTTGTGAGGCGCTGCAAGCCAGCATTCTTCCCATCCCTTCGTTTCTTGCCAAGGGCAGAGCGAACATCTATAAAAGAAGCTCTCAAAATCAAATTTTTCTTCTCTTTGGAAGAGGCCCTCACCGTCGGTCTCGAGCGATTCCATCACAGCATCGGTCAGTGGCAAGTCGTGAGACTGGAGACGATTTGGATCGGCAAGAATGCCCGCCGATTTGTAGCTCGCCGTCACGGTCTTCTCATCGAGCTTAAGTCTGCGAATCAAAGCAATCGATCCTTCGATCCCAAGGCTGGAAGAAAACAAAACTCACATTTCTTGCGAGCCGGGGATGGCAACATCCTGCGCTTGCGGCTTCTTGGGCTTCTTTGGCACTCGAACGCGCACTTTGGGCCTGTTCTTCCGGTACTTGGCTCTCGATCTCGCCATAAACCCTAGACGAAGAAGCCGACGTGGCAAGCCCTAAACTTTAATTCTGACGTGGCGGGTAAGCCAAAGTCCACGTGGCAGAAGATACGCCTTGAAATGAAATATCGCGGCGTGAGTAGGACTAGGGCTAGCGGTGATGTCAGCATCTTCTTCGTCGCTGAGCACTGCGCAGGGCAGTGCGGCAAATCCCAATGGACCTCAGCCCTCCTCCTCGCGCGGATCCTGGTCCTCGTCCCATCCACTGGACCGCTCCTCCCCGGCCGCCGGTAAGATCCTCCGCGCCGCCCACGAAGAATTCGCCCCGCGCCGCCGCAATCGCCTCTCGCTCGCCGGGGGGCGCCACGAGAGCCCCCCCTGGGCGACGAGCGCCATCTCTGGAGCTGGCCTTGATGCCGCCGCGAGCTGGCGATGCCCTGCGGGCGCCTCCGCCATGACCGCCACCGCCGCCGCCGCCGCCGCCTCTACCGCCGCCGCTCGGCCGCCATCGCTGGGCACGGATTTCTGCGGCCGCAAATCCACCCGCCTCGTCTCCAAGCTCTCGCATCTGGGCCGACCTAGCAGCGCTCCAGGCAAGCCGATCAAGCCCGTGCTCTCCTCCGCCGTGAAACACATGATCAAGTCGCCATCGCCATCGCTCATGCCTGCATTGCTGGACCAAGTCTCGGCGCATCTCCTCGGCCCCGACGATCTCCCATTCATCGTCCGCGAGCTCGGCCACTCGGGGCAGTGGGAGAAGGTGGTCAAGAGCTTCGACTGGATGGTCCTCCAGCAGAATCTCCGCAGCCAGTGGGACAAGGTGACGAGCACGATCATCAGCTCGCTCGGGCGGCTTGGGCGGTCCGATTGGGCGCAGTTGATCTTCGATCGGGCAGTCGGCGCTGGGTTTGGCAACAACGTGTTCGTCTACTCGTCCTTGATCTGCGCCTATGGCCGCAGCGGCAAGCTGGCCAAGGCGGTGGAGATTTTCGAGGCCATGAAAGTGGTTTGCAAGCCCAACCTCGTCGTCTACAACGCCGTGATCGACGCGTGCAGCAAAGGTGGCGACTACCCGACAGCGCTCCGGATCTTTCGAGAGATGCTGGAGCAGGGAATGTCCCCCGACAGGATCACTTTCAACACGCTCATCTCCGCCGCCGGGCGAGCCAATCGCTGGGAGGAATGCGACCGGATCTTCGCGGAGATGGAGGAGCGCGGCATCGCTCGGGACGACGTGACTTACAACACGCTCATCGCGACGTACTGCCGCGGTGGACAGATGCATCTCGGCGCTGCGCTCATGGAGACCATGGCCAAGAGCTCCGGCATCGAGCCCAGCGTCATCACTTACAGCACCATGATCGATGGATATGCCAAGCTCGGCCTCGCTCACGAAGCCATCGCGCTCTTTCAAGAGATGCGCAACCAAAACGTGGAGCCCGACGGGATTTGCTACAACACCATGGTCGACATCCACGCTCGTCTTGGCAACTTTGACGAGGCCCACAGCATCCGGCGGGCGATGGAGGAGGCTGGCTTCGCCAAGGACATCGTCACCTACAACGCGCTGCTCGATTCCTACGGCAAGCAAGGCAAGTTTCGCGAGGCCATGTCGCTGCTCGAGGAGATGAAGCAGCGCGGGGCCTCTCCAAACATTCTCACGTACTCGGCGCTCATCGATGCCTATTGCAAGCATGGATTCCACCGCGACGCCATGGCTTTGTTCCAGGACGTGAAGAAGGCCGGGCTCCAGCCCGACGTTGTGCTCTACAGCACGCTCGTCGATGGCTGCTGTAAGAATGGATCGCCGGACGAAGCTCTGGCTTTGCTCGAGGAGATGGCGGACAATGGCATTCGTCCCAATGTTATTACTTACAACTCGCTGCTGGATGCCTATGGAAGGCAGTGCCTCATGGTACGTAAAAACTTTCCAAAACTTCGATTTTTTCTTCTTCCAAGAGTGACGATGCTTTTAAAACCCAGTGTTGATTGTGTTTGTAGATGCAAGACGATCAACAGTCTCTTGTGGATCCCAAACAGAAGCAAGCTCTCGTGCTTGCTGCTGCGAGGGTGTTCCGGGAGATGGCAAAAAACGGTGTCAAGCCCAACGTAGTGACGTTTTCGTCCATCCTCAACGCTTGCAGGTACTTCAATTCTTTTATACGTACAAAAAATATTCAATTTTTCCTTTTTTTTTTTTTTTTTTTTTGCATGATACAGCCATTGTGCATCGGTGGAGGATGCATCCAGTTTATTAGAGGCCATGAGAGTTTTCGACGGTCGAGTGTATGGAGTTACACACGGCTTGCTCATGGGCTTTAGGATTCGAGTGTGGAGAGACGCCGAGACGTTGTTTAACGAGCTAACGACGCTAGGACACAACACAGCCGTGGCATTCTACAACGCACTAACAGATGTCTTGTGGCACTTCGAGCAGGCGAGTTTCTTCTTTGGATTTAAATCCTGAAAGTCACATTTTTTTTTTTTTTTCTTTTGTTCAGAGGAACAGTGCTCAAAGAGTCGTAGAGGCAGCCAAGGACCGGCATGTTTGGGACAAAGCATGGTGGCATTCCGAGCAGCAGTTTTTTCTCGACTTGCACTTCATGTCGGTTGGCTCGGCACAGGCCATGCTTCACTTGTGGTTGCTCTACATCCGAAAGTTTTTGTGCCAGAGACGATCGGTGCTGCCAAAGTATATGAGGTAACTTTCAGCGTCCTTTCTTTCGTGTCATTCAAGATCTAAGCTCTCCTCGGCCGGCCTGGTTTTCATGGCAGCATCCTGACGGGCTGGGGAAAGCACAGCAAAGTTCCTGGCGAGAGCGCCGTCAAGCGAGCAGTAGAAGCACATCTCTTGGAGATGAATTCGCCGTTTCACGTATGGGGAAACAACGAAGGACGGCTTGTGTGTGCTGGCTACCAAGTCCAAGGCTGGCTCATGGACACGAGAACTCAGAGACATCTCCGGCTGTGCGACGTCCGAGGCGACTAATCGTTTCTTCTCGTTTTCTAACAAGCCAGATTTTTACTCGGCACGCAAGAACCAACCAACACGCAAGGATTGTAAGTAAGTTATGATGTACTTAAATCTCTCTTGGCAGTTTTCTAGGAATGTTAACGAAGCAAAAAGAGTGATTCCACTCGCGAATCCAAATATTCCAGAGTTTATACTCTTTGGACAATCCCCTCCCACGCAGGAACGACAAATCACAGGTCCAAGTACGTATAGGTTCGATCACACTCCACAGTATTTTCCAAAGTAGTCTCGTTGTTTCATCGTTTTCTTTCGTGCTGCAATGGCGTTTGCTTGTGCTGCCTTGCTACTCCTATCTCTTAAATTCAGCACTTCGGCATTCGGCATCGATCCAACTTCCGGTTTTGTCGAGCGGCCAGTTTCCTACGTGATCCAGAAGCCGTATGATCTCAAAGTCTCTGATCGCTACAGCTTCAGCAATGGCATCCACAAACTGTGGGTCTACACTTCGGACAAGCCCCACAGCTCTGATAGTGACACGATGCCAAGAACCGAGCTCCGGTTTCTAGTAAGTTGGTCGACATGATCTTCTCGAATTCTCTCATTGTTTTTCATAGAGACCAGAGTACTTGGACGGGGTCTGGCAATTCGAAGGGGACTTTTACGTTCCCTCGGGCACAAAGGGTGCCTGTGTGATGCAAGTGTTTGGGGGAAAGAGCGCTGCCACTGCGCTCCAAGTTCGGCTCGACGGGCATGGAGATTTAGTTCGAAGTGGAGCCGACTTGCCACACTCGACCTTGGCGACGGATGTCTATAACAGATGGATCCATCTCAATGTTATCCACGACGCGGACAATATGATGCTTAGCATCTATCTGGATGGAAAGCTCAAGCACTGGGAAGTGAACGAGAGCCGCAAGACGCACTACTTCAAGTGTGGAGTGTATGCACAGTCCAACGCTAGCGAGTACATGGAATCCAGGTGGAAGAATATCAAGATCTGGAAGCTATGAACTTTGTTCTAAGTGATAAGGACAAAAGAAACATTCTCTGATTGTAAAGTTGCCAATAAAAACATGATCCGTTCTTAGTAAAGTTGCACCGAAGAACACGATCTCAAGTTTATAGGAATTGAATATCAAATCTGGAAACTTACCCCAATCTAATGTCATATCGAAAAGAATTATCTTAGAATCCTTTCTATGTATCTTCGACTTGCGAATGGAATACAAAACTTGGAAACGTAGTCGTAATGTCCCTGATCATAACAAAGCGGCATCTTGCGTTGGAAGGGGAGATCATGAGAAAATCATTCTTACTTCAAGTAGAGGAGGCTCATGTTCTTGAGCAAAGAGGGGTGCTTCTGTACAAGGTTGCTCCACTCCTCTTCGTCAATCATGCCGTCCCTTTTGGTATCCGCTTCCTCGAACGTCTACAACGCTTAAGCCAGGTAACGCTATGAGTGTCGAGCATGTAAAGTTTCTGCTCTACAGAGACAAAGAAGCGTGAGGCATTACCTTATCTATTATGTTCTCCACGACCTCGTCCGATAGATTCATACCGGACTCCGCTAACGTCGCTACTACCATTCGTTTCACCTGCGAGGCAAACCAAAGAATGGTTTCCAGACTAGAAGAGAAACCATAGAAATACTTACCTCGCCCCGATCGATGTAGCCTTGGTGCTTAAAATCGTACAAACGAAACGCAACTATCGGAGTGTTACATGAGAACCTCAGCGACTTTGACGAACTCAAACTTACATGCGACTTTGTCTTGCATGGGAGCATTTGGATGGAACACAGAGAGAGCCCGTGCAAACTCTCCAAAATCGAGAACATTGTTCTTCTTGACGTTGAAAAGATCAAACACCTGGAACGCAAACGTAAGTCAGTCCACAGTCCAGTGGTTCTTTCCTCTGCTTGCCCGATCTGCAAATATGCTTTCTTTCCTGCTGCTCTTGAATAGAGCAAGCTTGAATTCCTCCTGATTGGAGAAGTATTCTCAGATACCTCGAAGAAGAATTGAGAGAGAGCCTCTTACCCTGTTGATCACACCATCGTCTACCACACCGCAGCTTATCTTCTTGAAGAGCTCATACAGCGCTTCCACTTCGCTGACGCTAACTGGAATGGAAGCCCCCGTAAGAATCGAGCCAAATGCCGGCACTTACAATTGGTATCCCGTGCAATCGACTCGGAATCCTCCCTCTCCACGCGCTTGTGCTCGAAGCATCGCGACAGCAGCGCTAGTACGTGCTGAATTCCCGAGTAGAAATGCTCTAGGCATGGCCACATCGCGACGCAACCTAGCGCCCTCGCCTCGCTCCATCCATAATTCCCTAAAACCCTAGGCAGAGAGATTAAAGGGATTTCTCTAGACGACCTAGGGCATGGCCTCTCCGCCGCTGCGCAAGGTGCTACTCTACTCCGCCGGGTGAGCTCTCTTTCCCTTGATCGCGCATTTCCAATCGATGATCGATGCGCACCTGCATTGCACAGGATCGTCGTCCTGGTCGCGACCACTTACGATGTTCACCGCTATGTCAAGGCGAATGAGAAGCCGCCGAGCATGGAAGACAAGGCCGCATTTGCCGCAGCGTTAGAGGCGGCGCGGCGCAAAACCTGAGCTTGAGGCCTCGATTTCTGGGATTTCTTCCTTACATCCATGGCTGCCAAAATCTTGTGGTAGAGTTTTCTTTCCTTTCTATCTTTCTCATCTATCCTACTGTGTGTGTAGGCTATGTGATCGCAAGCTGCTCCAATATCTTCGTGGATCGAAGCTCTACCATGCGTGAGTTTTCCGCTATTTCGGCTTGGCATTCTTCAAGCTATAGCTTGAATGGCCAATGCATGGCTTGAAGAAGCGGTTCCGATTCTCCGGACCATCGCTCCTTCGGCAGCAGCAGCAGCAGCGGCACTTCCACGAAGATAAAGCATTTACCGGTGGCGAGTTCAATCTATGGGCTGCGGTAGTGGAAGAGCCTCAAGCACACGACTACGCTCCTCTTGCTCCTCCCACTCTTTCGGACGAAGATGTGAAGCAGAAGCTGGCAAGCCTTGAAGAGCAAAACCAAAAGTCGGGTTTTGTCGATCCTGCCGCCTACGTTTCCCTGTTGAAACAGTCTGGGGACGTCACCGCCTTGAAGACGATACAGGCACACATCTCCCACAGCAAGCGCTTCGCCGGGGATAGATTGCTGCTCAACTGCGTAGTGGAAGCATATGGAAAGTGTGGCTGCGTCAAGGATGCACGGCTGGTTTTCAGTTCTATCCGCCACCCCAACGTCTACTCGTGGACGATTCTTCTCGCTGCTTATGCCCAGAACGGGCATCACAAAACGGTGCTCGAGCTTCTCCGCCAAATGGACCTCTTGGGAGTGTGGCCGAATGCTGTGACTTTGGCGACAGTGATCGGTGCCGTGTCCGAGCTCGGGAACTGGGATGAGGCTCGGAAAATCCACGCCAGAGCTGCCGCTACTTGTCAACTCACGTACGACGTCGTCCTAGTGACTGCGCTGATCGACATGTATGCGAAGTGTGGCGACATCTTTCATGCGGAGGTGGTGTTTGATCAAGCTCGCAACAAGGACTTGGCCTGCTGCAACGCCATGATCTCGGCATACATCCAACTCGGCTACACGGTCGACGCAGTGTCGACGTTTAACCGCATCCAGCCCAGCGGCCTGCAGCCAAATCAGGTGACTTACGCGCTCCTCTTCCGCGCCTGTGCCACCAACGGCGTCTACTCGGATGCTCGCGTAGCACACATGTGTTTCATCCTCAGCAAGCTCCGCCCCGACGTGGTCGTCAACACCGCGCTGGTGAGCATGTACTCGAGGTGTGGGAGTTTGGAGGACGCGAGGAGAGTTTTCGACCGAATGCCCGGGAAGAATGTGGTGACTTGGAACGTGATGATCGCTGGTTACGCACAGGAGGGATACACAGACGAGGCTCTCCAACTTTACGTGAGCATGGAGGCTGCCGGCGTCGAGCCCGATGAGATCACCTTCGTAAACGTGCTCGAGTCATGCTCGTTGGCGGAGCATCTAGCAGCAGGCAGGGACATACACAAGCACGTCGTCGACGCCGGCTATGACTCTAGTCTCACGGTTCTCAGCGCACTCATCACCATGTACTCGGCGTGTGGAAGCTTGGGTGACGCCGTGGACGTTTTCCACAAGGGAGTAACGACACACAGCAGCGTCATCTCGTGGACAGCCATGCTCACGGCTTTAACAAGAAATGGCGAGGGGCGGAGTGCTCTGGCTCTATTCAGGAAAATGGATCTCGAGGGTGTCAGGGCCAACGTGGTGACTTTCGTGAGCACCATCGATGCGTGCTCCAGCATTGGAGCGCTGGTAGAGGGTCATGCTATCTTCGAGCGGGTGATTGTCACCGGCCATCTAATCGACGTGGTGCTCGGAACTTCGCTCATCAACTTGTATGGGAAATGCGGCCGCCTCGACTATGCCTTGGAAGTGTTCCACTACCTGAGCTTCAAGAACATTGTTACGTGGAACACAATCCTCGCAGCGAGCTCGCAGAACGGAGAGGAGACACTGAGTGACGAGCTGCTACAGGAGATGGACCTCGACGGTGCTCAACCCAACGAGATGACGCTACTCAACATGCTCTTCGGATGCAGCCACAACGGACTGGTCGCAAAAGCCGTGAGCTACTTCCGGTCGATGGTTTACGGCCACTGCCTCGTCCCGACGAGCGAGCACTACGGCTGCCTAGTGGATCTTCTCGGTCGCAGTGGACAGCTCGAAGAAGTGGAGGCTTTCATCAGCAGCAAGCCGTTCAGCCTCGACTCGGTGCTGTGGATGTCGCTGCTGGGATCGTGCGTGATTCACTCGGACGTGGAGAGGGGCCTGCGAGCTGCGAGGCGTGTTCTCGGACTCGACCCGAAAAACGCGTCACCTTACGTGCTGCTGTCCAACATGTTCGCGGCCATCGGCATGCTGGACGCGGTGAAGAGCCTGGCAAAATTGGCGGGCGAGAGGGCGATGAAGAAGGAGCAGAGCCGGAGCTACATCGAAGTAAACGGGGTGGTGCACGAGTTTGGAGTGAGAGCTGGGCTGCACCGGCTGGGCGAGAAGATCGGAGCTCAGCTGCGTGAGTGGAGCGAGGAGATGGAGGAGGCGGGGTTCGTGCCGCTGCATGACGTGCGGGGGTACCACGACGAGAAGCTGGCGATTGCTTTCGGTGCGATAAGCTCGCCGCCGGGTGTGCCGCTGTTCGTCGTCAAGAACTTGCGGATGTGCGTGTGCTGCCACGGCGAGATCAAGCACATCTGCAAGATGACCGGGAGAGACATATCCGTCAGGGAAGGCAACCGCGTCCACCACTTCCGTCCTATGGACGCGAGCTGTTCGTGCGGTGATTACTGGTGACACACACGGGACAGATGCAACGAAGTTGACGATCATGGCTCCATCTTGGTTTATTTATTGTCTTTCCGGAGGGGCCAGGGGCGTGTTGCTGCTACTGCTGCTGGTGCCATCTTTAATCGGGTACGTCGTGTGCCTTGAATCTGCTCAGGTGAAAGCTCGCCAAAAGGTACGATGGTGTCTTTCATTATTACGTAGGAGAGTGCTGACTGTGGTATTTATGTCCACCACCAGGTGAAACAAGTCAAGGAGCGGAGTAAAACTTGAGCAGCCAAGGTGAGGATGGGAAGCTATCAACATTCATTCTTTTATTCGGCTCACTCACGCTCACGAGGCAAGTGACTCTCGCCAGCCACCGTAGCATTTCTCGCATGAGCTTCTTGGGTTGGGAGTCTTGACTTTCTGTATAGCTCGTCTATTCTATTAAGTGCATCCATTTCGATTCTTGGATTGTTGGCCCACTGCGTCATGAGAAGCTACAGGGACCTTTGAGAGATGGTGACGAGATGAGATGTGAGAGGACAGGACGCATTCTCCTTTGTTTATTTGTTGCTTTGCTATGGAAGTGTAGTGTAGGGCCTCTAGCGAGCAAGTTGGAGAGAGCAAAGCTTTTCCGAGATAGATAGATAGATACTTTTTCTCTTCACTTTGTCACTGGATGATGAGACCTGGCAGACATTCACATTCTTTTTCTGCTTTGCATTTGTTGAGAGGCGATGTCAAAAGAACTGTAGTGAGAAGCAGACAAGCAAGTTGGAATCTGGCTTTTGGAGGCTTTACATTAACAATCGCCAAGTGTTTTTTCTGTAGGATAAGCAGCAAGGAAGGAAAAAGATATACAAAAACAAAGCTGGCAGCCAGTCGAATAAAAACAGGACTGCGAAGGCGAGCTCAACACAGGCACAGCTATGGCGGGCGAGAGCGAGCGAGCAAGGTGTCGCTGTTAATGCTCCTCTGCGAAGGAAAACAACACCAACACCATGTAGGGGCTCGCTCTTTTTTTTTTTTTTTTTTGAGGGGAGCTATAGATACATTGATAGATCCTTGGTGGCGTTGTAAATTCCTCCACAAGACGAACAACTGGCTGGCTGCTGCCGCTATACAGTGAGTCACAAGCTCTGAATGCCCAGTGGAGTTAATTTCTTCTGTCGCAGAAACAACCATCACCACCGAACGGAGAAGCAAAGCTTATAGCTTAAGTCCTACTCTCTCTCCCTCACACACCCTCTCTCTCTTTAGAGAGACTGGTGCTGCCACACAACATTACTGCCAATCACTTTAACTTGGACCAAGTCTCTTTCACGGGACGGAGAAGAGAGAAGAGAGAAGAGAGGGTTCTTCCTTTCCTCTTTTCCTTTGCCAACCAGTGTGTAAGTATCTTGCTCCTCTGGATCGGCGGACTTTGGGAATACCCTCCTCTCTCTCTCTCTCTCTCTCTCTCTCTCCGCTCGGGGGTTTTAGGTTCTTCTCTCACTCTCAGTCTCAGTCTCACTTTGGAATGGAAATGCTGGTCGACCCAAGCAGCAGCAGCAGCTAGATTGGAAGCACTCTTTTTTTCCGCTCTTTCTCGTTTGGGCTCGGGGGCAGCGACAATGATCATATGGAGCCTTCTATGAGTTTGTGGAGCTCAGTGGTACTGTTAGGAGCTCTGGCGCTATGGAATACGGGCACGCTCTCCGTCTTTGCACAGCCTGGAGCTGGTAACTATCGCTACATAGGCTTCTCCTCTTGGATCATCCTTAGTCTCGTTTTTCCAGCGGATGCCTTGCAGGCTTTCAAGCACGCTCTTGGGGATCCACCGCAACTTCGCAGCTGGATGGGCGATGATCCTTGCTCGGCTTCGTCGTCATGGAGAGGAATCAAATGTGGTGGAGATAGCCGCGCCGTTGTCTCGCTGTAAGTAGTTCAACTTCTTTTCTTTCTCCGCGAAGAACAAACAGTGGAAAAAAAATGTTTCCAAACTCCAGGACGTTGTCAGCTCTGGGGCTTCGCGGATTGCTATCGTCGGAACTGGAGAAGCTGAGCAGCCTGGTTATCCTGTAAGTTTTTGGCCGCCGCTCTCGTTTGGTTGGATATCATGGATGATAATCACGACAAGGTTTGTGCAGATGGCTAGATGGTAACCATCTCTATGGAACAATCCCCTCTGGTCTTGGTAAATTGAAGAACCTAACTTCTCTGTAGGTCCTTCTCTTTTGGATTCACGTTCCTTGAAAAGAATATGTACTGTGTGCTTGTTTTGCTTTAGATTCTTCAAAGCCTTGTTCTTGGCTCGTTGCTCAAACTTTTGCTACGTTTCCTTTTGCTGGTTTTGTTTGCAGGCGTCTATCTGGAAATCATCTGAGCGGACAAGTCCCAGCAGCATTCGCAACATTGCCCAACTTGAAAGAGCTGTAAGTTCTACGTAAAGTTGGGATTGTTTTCGTAACTTTTTGTCTTTCTCAGCTTTCTGGATGGCAACTCGCTCAACATTTCATGGTCCTCGAAGCTTTCGACGAATGTAAGGTAAGCTCATTTCAGTTCCTAAAGCCGGAGGTCGAGTAACTTCAACTGTGCTTGATTCAGGCTGAGCGAAAACCTGGATTCATGTCCAGCATGCTCCCCTTCTCTGGCACCAGCTCTGGTGTTTGGTCCCGGCGAGGGAATGCCTCAAAACCAAGATGGTGGCCACAAATCTCACGCTGGTGCCATTGCTGGAGCAGTAGTCGGCGCGGTGGTTCTCGTCGCAATCTCAATTGGACTGGTGTCACTGTGCTTGATGCGCGTGAGGCACTGGCCGAGTGCTACTTCCGACACCGCCTCCTCAGATCCTTCCGCTCAAGGTAACCATTTGAAGTATGATCATAAGTAGCGTTCTAAGAGTTCTTTCCTGAGTGCGTAGTGGACTGGGCCAAAGGAAGAGCCGAAAGTTCTCTAACAGAAGGAGCGATCGCCGCAGCCGTGGAAGCCCAGCATGCAAAGCAGTTTGCGTTTCAAGAGCTCGACCATGCAACCAAGGGATTTAATCCATCCAACCTGATTGGGAGAGGACGCTTTGGTTTAGTCTACAAAGGATTGCTTGAAGATGGAACTATAGTGGCCATCAAGACGCGAGCTAGCGCTCCTACACAAGAGTTTGTCACGGAGGTAAAGACATAGTTAACAAGATCTCGCACAACCAACGCTCTTGCTTCTTCATGCAGGTCGTTAATCTGTCCCAGCTTCGCCATAAGAATGTGGTTAGTCTGCTTGGTTTTTGCCAGGAACACGACCACCAAATGCTTGTTTATGATTATCTGCCCAATGGGAGTGTTTCAAGTCATTTATGTGGTACGTAGCTGGCCTCCCTTGTCTTGCTGGATCTAACTTTGGGATAGATCCTAATGGGAATCCAACTGGAGAGCTGGATTTCAAGCAACGCGTAGCAATTGCATTGGGTGCTGCCAGAGGTGCTGATGTGATTCTCTAGGATTGTGTACTAACTTGCGGCTATGGATCAGGATTGGAATATTTACATTCTGGGAATCCACCCCGCGTGCACCAAGACTTCAAGACAAGCAACGTGCTCCTGGACGAGAACTTGGTGGCGAAAGTTACGGATGTAGGCCTGTCCAAGCTGCTGGTGACGAGCCACAACGCAATGCCATCAGCAAATGGCTCCAGCAGCCACTTCGCAGATCCGGCAGCAGTGTGAGTAGCCATGCATCCATCTCTGGGTTTTTCTTCCTCTCATTCTCTTGTCTCTCTCGTCAGATATAACACGTACCGCGTGGATCCAAAGAGCGACGTCTACAGCTATGGTGTGTTCCTGCTTGAGCTCATAAGCGGGCGACAAGCAATAAACCGGAGCCGACCAGCACAGCCTTCTCCCGGCATCGTGGAATGGGTGAGTAGCGTCGCTTTCGCCAATATGGCTCGATCTCCTGGTGGAGCTCACACGCAGTGCGTCGTTTGTGGAACTTAACTTACACAGGCACGGTCGCTCCAGGAATCGTCGAGTAGTATGGAGGGAATGGTGGACAAGAGCTTGGTAGGGACGGAAGAAGCGGGCACTTTGTTGCTGCTGGGCCTCCACTGTACAGCCCAGAGTCCAGAGAAGAGGCCCACGATGAGTCAAGTGTCACAGCAAGTGGAGCGCATTCTGGACAAGGAGAGAGGCGGCATCGTCGCAGCCGGCGAGGGCGCGACGGTAGTGACTCTGGGAAGCGAGCTCTTCAAGTAAATCCAAAGGTTGACGGACTAAGATCTTATATAACTTGGAGCTTCTCTCCTTGCTTCCTTTGCTTGCTTCTTTTTTTTTCCAGTCAGAGCGCGGATACAAATCCTGTCACTTACTTTGTCTTGGCCTGAAGCGTTCAAACAATCGACTTTTTTCGCTCTCAAGAGGACTCCGTCATACCCGTGCACCACTTGAGCATAAAGCAAGAACAAGTTTTTCATGTTTTGTTTTTCGTATGAGCGGCGGCAGGGAGTACGTATCTGCGGCAGCGCCATCTCCGCTTTCTGCTGGTGGTGATGGCTCCGGATCGCCTGATATGTCCAAGCTCATTGCTGGGATTTGTCTGGTGATCCTCACTTACACTTCCTGCTTGGTCACCATTGTGCTCCTGTGGAGGAAGAGGATGCAAATTCGGCAGGAGCAGGATCAAGAGAGCTACACGGACGCTCGTGGCTCTCGAGATCTTTTCCATCATGGTTTATATATGCAGCCATGGTTCCAAAATCTGCTAACTCGTGCTTTTCTATGAAATCCTAGAGAACAGCGGCGACATGGAAAGGAGATTGGAGCGCTACACGTTTCTGCAGCTACACAAGGCCACCCAAGGCTTTCATCTCAAGAACAAGCTCGGCCAAGGTGGATTTGGAGAAGTCTACAAGGTACGTAAAGATACCATAGATCGATCACTCGGACCAGAACTTCTCAATCAGGGAGTGCTGGAAAAGGAGGGGATCGTGGCGATCAAGCAGCTGATGCGAGCGCCAAACCGTCCACAGCAAGGTGCCGAGTTCATCAACGAGGTCTCCATGATCTCCTTTGTCCAGCACAAAAACTTGGTGAGACTGCTGGGCTTTTGTGCCGAGGGCGAGAATCGTCTCCTCGTCTACGAGTTTATGGAGAACAACAGCCTCTCGAAAATCTTACTTGGAGGTATCTGGTTCTTCGAAACTACTAAATATTCACTTTTCAAGATTTTTTAAAATTGTTGCAAGGTCGCTTATTCGTTGACTGGAGCGATCGATTCAAAATATGCGTTGGAGTGGCTCGTGGACTGGCTTACCTGCATGAGGAGTCCACAATCAAGATGATCCATCGCGATATCAAAGCGGGCAACGTACTCTTGGACAGGGACTTGAATCCAAAAATTTCGGATTTTGGGCTGGCAAAGCTCATGGAAGCTGGTTGCTCTCACCTCAGCACTGGAGTTGTCGGAACTTGGTACAATTTCCTCTTCAAAAGCTTGCAACTCTGATGATTCTTTACGTGTTTTTTAATACAGTGGCTACGTTGCTCCAGAATATTTGTTCACTAGCCAGCTCACGGAGAAGGCAGATGTCTACGCATTTGGAATCCTTGCTCTCGAGATTGTAAGTGGGCGACCAAACATGAACCTGGAGCTGCCTGACGAGGAAATCTTCCTTCTCGACCGGGTGAGAAACAAAAACCAAGCTTGATGAACTTTCTAACGCTGAACTGAAGTTAGCGATCACAGGCATGGACTTTGTTCGAGGGTGGTCGTTTGCTCTCTCTCGTGGACACGAGGCTTGTAATTTCATGCGCGGCAGCAGAAGTGGAGAGGGTGGTGATGGTTGCTCTCCACTGCACGCAGGCCTCTCCCTCGGCACGGCCATCCATGAGTAGCGTCGTTGGCATGCTCCTGGGAAACCTCACCGTCACCACGGAAGTCGTCAAGCCAGGATTCATTCGCGATCTCAGGAACTCGCAACGAAGACTTTGCACTAGCAACACAAGTGTTTTGCGTGTGTGTCCGTCTTCCTAGGGCTTTCTTTCTAGGAATGTAATTTCGATGATAGCATGGCGACGGTGACCTTGCTGCTACATTTTGTTCCAAGCTCAAGAACAAGTAAGTGATGGTGGCTATCTAGAATTCACTCTAGTTTGCATAGGCATAACAGCGTCAAGGAACCGCCAAAGGTCGAACAAAGTTTCTGGCGATAAGCCAGCACAAGAAAAGCTTTCAATCCCGGCGCCATCGGAAGCACGAGAAAGCCCAATAGCATCTAAGGCAACGGCAGCACCGGCAAAGCGAGAAGCTGTGCTCAAAGCTTGTTTCCTCACGTCTGCTGGACTCGCCGCGGCAGGCTTGGCTCTCCGACAGGTAAATGGAATCATTCCAGAAATCTTACCAAAGAGAAAACAAGCAGGCCTCTCATTCTCTGGAATTTCTGTCGAGGGATTGTACAAGTTTGCTCGGATGTAAGCCTTTCTAGTTTACATATTTATTGTTCTTCGTCTTTTTCTCGTCTTGTGTATAGATGAGTTTCATCCGTGGCATTTTGGAGCAACTATAGGCCTTGTAGCGTTTATATCTGCGCTACGACTGGGATTGCTGGCGACCTGGCCAGACTTTGCTCAGTCGACCAAGACTGCGAACGAGCGGGTAAACTTTAATCGCGAGTATAGTAGCATTCCAAATCGTGGCGTCAGCACAGGTTTTGTCATCCCTGGGGACGTGGGACTGTGCCGCAGTCGCGTTCTCCTCCGGCGTGGGTGAGGTACTCTAGGCTCCAAACTTTTCTTGTTTTAAGTCTTTCTTTTGTATACACAGGAGCTTTTGTTTCGAGGTGCATTGCTACCACTTGTTGGAATGGATGCCAAGGGAGTTTTCGTCTCTGGAATTGTTTTTGGAGCCCTGCATGTTACAGGTGGTAGAAACATTGCCTTCGCAACATGGTAAGCTTTTTGTGCCAGCAGTTATATTTGATAAGAACTTTCCTGTTGGTTTGTTCTCCAGGGCGTCTTTCGTTGGGCTGCTTTACGGCTTTGCAGCCGTGTGGACATCGGACTTATGCGTGCCTATGCTTGCTCACTCGTCTGCAAATCTGGTAGCCGCTCTGTACTGGAAGTATAATAACGCCCGAGAAAATCGTCGACTTGATGTTTGACGGGTTTGTCTGAATCCTCGTACTCTTCTCCATCTTTTCAATTTCTTGGTTTGACATCTATAACTGTATAGCCGGAAGCTGACTGAGAGGCATCTATCATGTCCAAGGATGTCATCCGCAAGGCGTTCATATATAGATAGATAAGTATGCGTCAAAGGAGCTTGCTTTCTTTCTAGCTCTAGCTTTCGGCACAAAGCACAGACGAGGGAACTAAAATTTGGATTCGATCGTGTCTTGCTAGCTACTGGTGGTTGGATTGGCAGCCATCCATCCATTCTTTTGGTTTGTTGTTTTGCTCCAGCGAGGTGAGGTGAGTTGAGATGCGGTAGGCCTGGGCCCTTTCCTCCAGACAAACCGTGGCTCACACAAACAACTCGTTTTGTTGTGTTGTGTTACTTGCAGAGACGGGATTGCATCGCCCATCAAATCCACTGCGTCCCCACGACAAAGGGGAAAAGGTGGAAGCTTCTCGTGTCATGGATCGACTCGCACGGATTGGAACTTTAGCAACGCGCTTGAGGGGAAGTTTTTGTATTCGAAGCTCTCGTCCAAAATCCCTGCGTGCACACACGGTGTAAAGGTCACTCTTTGTTACAATTCTTTCGGCGACTAGTCTGCTCTTCTCTATAGCCAGGGAACGGACACACTTTCACACAAAACTCAAAACTTTCAGAAAAGCCACCACCCTCTCAATCAGGCACACATCTGTAAGCGTTGCAACAGGACCAAAAGAAAGAGAATCCCCGGCATCACAAGCAGCCGAGCACATGAAAACACGATCCTTTCTCCCCAAGTCAATGCACTGCAAAAGAGACCCAACTTTCCCGTCTTTCAAACACGCTAGTCTCCCCGAATATAAATTTGCCAAAAACCAAACCATGTAGCCATGCAAATGTAGAGACAAAAGCTTCCAATGCCGCGTTGTTTCAGACTGTTCAGACCATTTTATATTTATATTTCCCAACCAAGTTACTTTTAAACCGCCATAGTTAGTCCTTGGTTAGCCCGCGCTCCCGATTCCCATCCATATAACGTAGCGACGGCATTTCAATCTCTTTATTCTTCCATGCCCGCTGGACACATTACGTATATTTCTTGCAAGTGTCGTCTTGTACAAGTTGCTAGACAGTTTACGACCCCGTATTTGGGAGCAGATTCCCACCACCACGTACCGATGATTCATGCATGCATATAAAAGTTTGTAAGTAGCATTTGGGGTCATTCATATGCCGGGAAGTATCTTTGTGTCCGTGTGGCCACAGCCCTGTCAAAATATGACCGAAACCATGGAAGCTCGAGCCGAAACAATGCATTTTAAACACAATATGCAAATCTAGTGCCGCACACACTTCCATGAACGCATGTAGTCTCTCCTTGTATATACGTGGCGAATATATGTGTACGACGTGGGACCTCAAGATCTCACTTCTTATCAACTCAGGGACCCTACAGTAGTACCTACTAGTTCTAAGCAGTGGAAACATGAAACATTGGCCATCCTTGATATGGTCTACATAATATATATAAATTTGCTCTTGCTTGCCCTCCATGTTGTACAAACAAGAGGCCCAATTCTTGTCACCATCACTTACGATGCTACTTTCTCGACAATGTCAAATTTTTATAGGTATGATCCTCCATCTACCTAGATTGCTTCCACTCCCTCGAGCCAGAAAGAAGCAGTATAGATTGTTACAGCCAGGCTTCCTTCCTTTGTTGGGATGTCTTCCTAAGCTTTCTTTTTCTCGCCTTGATCGCTTCAATCGCTGTCAGCATACACCAGCTCAAGAATTTGGACCTACTAACTATTTGTTTTAACTGCTCGAGGCGGTTCCAAGGGGGGATAGTTTGCATTCTTCCAGGCCTAAAGGCCGGTCAATATGCATACTGGCGAGGTCAATTGAAGCTCCCAAAAGCAAGTCATGATTAGTTAAACGGAAGTCAAGCCAGGATTTTTACGTTGATTCATGCGAGAGGAAGTTTTCTAAAATTCTCTAGAATTTGCTATGCAAAATCTGCAATCATGAACCTTTCTACGTGTGATGTTTGAGTTTTTGAGATTCCAGAAGATATACCCATCATCTCAACTGGCCAAAAGTCTTCTTCGAGCAAACTTGTCTTTGTTGGGAAGACCAAAGCGCCATCCTTACACTCATGGCATTCTGCCTTTCTACCAGCAGTAGCATATGTCTAATACATGCAGTAGTGAATGAAGATTACATAAAAAAAAAGTCAAGAACATTGTTGTTTTGATTTGCACTTCGGGCTGTTTACTTATTAGTCTCAGCAGATTACACTCGAAAACAGTTTATTACCGATCATTCTTCGGGTATATTCAAACAAACTTCTGGTCTGATGTTAATACCATTTCTGCCTTAAATTCTGCCCCTGAAGTCACATTCGCATTCTGGAAGCAAGCAGCAAAACAGAACGGGGTGAAGTAATAAACAGTTGCAATTCGCGGGGGAAGGGCTGTCATCGGGTTGCGGCCTTGTTCACGACAACCACAAAATTCTTTTTTATCTGCCCGGGGAAATATGCCCCGCGTACTATTTTACCTGATCAGCTGTCAAAGTAAATATTTTCGCAGGCTATTTAACGATAACATTCCTTTCAACCTCCTGCACCCCGCATTTGTTTATTCCCCCTGGTTAAAAACACTCCATACGTACGGAAGGGGCGCCTCTACAAGTACACCTACACAATGGCCATTGTGTGTCATAATATGCATGCATGGGGGAAGCCACGTGGGCGCGGTACATGCATGCATGGGGGCCCATGTAAGTCAAGGGCATCGCGACATGCCATGGCTATCACATCGCATGGCCCGGCAGCTTTCCGTACCGTCTGCCCAAAGCACATGGCCAAAACGCGGACGCGGGACGCCTGACGGAATATTCGCGCGTGGGGCATGGAAAGTTCCACGTCGCCACGTAGGCCACCCCTGGCGATGGCAACGCAATGCGTGCATGGAAGCATCTTGCGGGAATCTCCTCGCCCCACATTCATATAACTTCACCGACAGCAAGGATGCTGCTTGCCGACAGCCACCACCACCTTTACGCGTTAGGTTTAATATAACATCGATTCTCAAGTCCCGATTGGTTTGCGGCAGTAAACTTGCATGACGTGCGTAATTAGGTGGCGAATGTTTTTTAAGTAATAGCGTGTGTAGCTGTGGCATAACTTACAGTTGCCCAATCCGAACAAACAGTGACACCCACATGCAGTGTAGGGTGTCGCAGCAAGCAAGCGAGGAAAATCACAGCAGTTGCGCGAAAAGTGCGAGCGCGCTTGCAAGCGAGCCAAGAGCGGGTGAACCGAATCCCAGATCGTACAGGCCTGGCCTCTCTCCAGAGTGGAAGAGCCTGAGCTGCAGTAGAAGTGGCCGGATTGTAGATAGACAAAGAGAGACCAAGGTGTCCCTAGAGATCAACATCGCCGACTCTAGCATTCTGGCAGTTTAGGCACAGGCCATTTGACTGGCAGGGAAAAACCTTCGTTTTCTGGAAGCTTTCCAGCTAACACGCGCTCTCCCTATCAGTGCTCTCGCTTGCTTTCTTCCGCTCGTCTTGCAAGCGCACAGCTCTCTATATTATAGATACATTTACATGTGTGAGAGCTTGTACTCACTTCCAAGTTTAAGTCTCAGTAGACTGCTCTTAAAAGGATAGTAGTTGTTTTGTACAGAGTATACAAGCAAACAAAACAGATAGCTTTCCTTGTTACCAGCAGCGATCGCGATTTGCTTCGGGGCCTGACCTGACTCTCACATGCTATAAATCTCATATATCCCTTTCGAACATCCTGACGAGTGTGATGGATATTCGCTTGCCACCCTGGTGGCGCCTCCAGCAATTTGTTAGACAGTACTCACATCTGCGGAATCGACGGCGGGAAGATGTCAACGAATCATTCATATTCTCTTTTTCTTTTTTCTCTTTTTTATCATTTCGATTTTCGCTCCATGGATATGGATGCATCTATACATGATCGTTAGGCAATGCATGCCTATCATAGTGTCATCATGGCAGTAGTGTATTTTTTTTTTCTTCGGCCACTCCCTGCGACTTGCCTGGCAGCGCCAATGGTACTTAATTATCGCTAGTGCTTGGATTACCCGGAGAATCGCATATATGCCACTGCTGAATAAACAAACACACAAGGAACAAGAGCACAAGCAAACAAACGAAACCGAAGCGCGGCTCCCTTCCATTTCTACCTCGGATCGAAAAAAGGGGCAAGGAAAAGAAAACAACTTAGAAGAGGAGCTTTTAAATTGGCTTTGTTTGAGTCAAAGCGCCAAGCAGTTCTAAGAAGCTTGTACCATTGCACAAAGTTGAGCTTTGCCCAGCCATGATGATGATGGTGATCATGATACTTGGGGGGAGCTTTACAAGAACATTGAGGGAGGGGAAAAAAAAGGAGCTTGTTGTTTCTCTCCCCTGCTGCGAGGCTCCATTATATTATTATAACAATGCGATGCACACAAGTTTACAGGAGGCCTTTAAAGTTGCAATAGAGCTGAGCTTTAAAGAACAGGTGGGTCTGTCAATCAAGATCTCCATTTCTTTCTCACCCTTTTCTTTGAGCTAGAGAGAGCTGCTTGCTCATTCCTTCACTTGTAGCTTGTGGAAGTGTTAAATGTGCAGTGTCACTTACTCACACTCACTAGCAGCGAGCGAGCGAGTCACTAAAACTTGCATAAATGCCACTCTGACGCCGTCTATTGCTAACAACGAAGCTTATAACCAAGCGGCGAGCAAGTGAAGACGAGCGGAGCGGCACTCTCTGTCGTCCGTGGTGGTGGTCGTCATCTCATCGGTTCCTGTCTTGAGCTAGCATCGCTTTTGCACTTCTTTCGGTTCTTGTAGACGATTGATCGATCAGTTTGCGGGGTTTTCTGGTTCAGGAACTGATTAGCGGAGACTTTTTTGTTCTTGGGCTGTCTCCAGAAAAACCGCCTGACTTTTGTTCTCTGAGGGACTGCTTTAATGTTGGAGGAGCACAGGCATTGAATGCGGGAGGAGTTCAGCAGCAAATCCCCAGAAAGGGTATCCCGGTTCGGGTGCCTGCTGGAGTCATTTAAGTCATGCGGAGGAACCTGTTCCCCGACACAAGGCTGCTCCTGTTATATTACTTCCCCTTTGGCTCTACAAGACTGTGATCTTGTAGCTTTTTCGTCTCTGGACCCAATCCAAGCGTATATGTGTCGGTTAGCTCCCTTTTCTTGATCGTTCTCTCGTTTTGTTTTTCGCCTGACCGCCTTCTATTCTCTCTGGGCAGAATTCTTTCATCTGCATGCACAAGGAACGCACTCAGCTGAAATGGAAGAGGCAGCCACCACTTGTGTTGTAAGTTGTCTTGTTTGCTCTACATTCACTAGATCAGCAAATTCTTACAAACATTTGCTGCTTCATGAACACACAGATGCCAAGGTTTATGGCCTCAACAAGCAGCAGCGTCGAATACCAGAATCACTCTCTACTGTTTTCTCCATATCATGCTTCTGCTGCCGACTCCAGCGCCATGGATAGCACCGACGTTTCTCTTATGGGTAACTTGCTGACGGACCTGAGCTCGGATTTCCCATATATTGGAGCCACCACCGCGAGCGGGCGGTACTCGGTCCCAGACATACTGCAATTCCCAGCTGACCAGGCCTCAAAGGTTACACTTCTCCAGATGCTAGAAGAGAGTGACACCAGCTCTCCAAATTCCTATACGCATCACTTGAAGCTTCCTGTTCTGGAGGAGCCTTGTGACAAGCTCCACAAGCAGCAGCAGCCGCAACTTTTGAGCTGCTCCTCAGAAACGGGTCTCATTCACCAGCCGGATCAGTCGGTCGGGCCTGAGAAATGCATAGCCGGGCTCGACAGTGTGGATTTCTCAAGTGCTGCTGAATCTCTCCTCAAGCCATGCAAGGTAGAGCCAGAATTCCAAGCCCCTCCCGTCGTGCTCGCCGAGCACAACAGTGTTATAGCAGTGGATACTTTCAACAGCGCCGCCATATCGGCAAACTCGGACGACATTTCCAATCATCTCGGAGCAGCAGCCGGAACAGCAGCAACAGCAGGAGTAGCAGCAGCAGTAGCTGGTACGACCAACTCGGCAGGAGGCTGTGCTGGTGGTGGCGTTTCTCAATCCAGCTCCGGAGCCGAAACGCCGGGAACACAGCACCGACCAAAGCGGAAGAGAATCAAGTCATGCAAGAACAGCGAGGAAGTGGAGAGCCAGAGACAGACTCACATTGCAGTGGAGAGGAACAGAAGGAAGCAGATGAACGAGCACCTCAATGTTTTGCGGTCACTCATGCCTGGATCTTACGTCCAGAGGGTAAGACCATCCTTCTTTTTTTCTTTCGGCTACAAGACCCAGTCAATTGCTCATGCAGGGCGATCAAGCATCCATCATAGGTGGTGCCATTGAGTTCGTAAAGGAGCTGGAGCAGCTCCTGCAATGTCTTCAGGCTCAAAAGAGGAGGAGACTGTATTCCGACGCGTTCAGTCCAAAGCCGAGCCCGAGTGCCGTGAGCTCCATTCCGCTGCCGCCCTTCCCTCCATATGCTTCCTCTCCCGCTCCTTCTCTCGACAATCCGGATCCCACAGCGGCGGACTCGAGCTCCAAGTTTGTCAACGACAACTTTTACGATTGCAAGCAGATTGTCGCCGAGGCCAAGTCGGAAGTGGCGGACATCGAGGTAAGGATGGCCGGGAGCGATGCAGTCGTCAAGATCCTCTCCCAGCGGAGGCCCGGTCAGTTGCTCAAGACGATATCGGCGCTGGAGAGTATGTGCATGAGCATTGTCCATACCAACATTACCACAATCGAGCAGACTGTGCTCTACTCGTTCACCGTGAGAGTAAGTTCCAAGTTTTTCATATCATATGTTTGGTTGGGATTGACAAGGTTCTCTTTGAATCTCTCAACAGATTGGCATGGAATCCAGGCTAAGCGTGGATGAGATTGCTCAAGGTATTCAAAGGATTTTTAGCTGCAATGTTAGTGCAGCTGCAAGTGACTTATAAAGGAGAGCTTCCTGACTCCAAAAATACTCCTCCAACATATACAAATTCTAGCTAACTAGGTCTACCTAGAATTCACTCACTCTCTCACATACACACAACAACAGTAACATGCTTTTTAACGTTTCAAACGAATCAGTGCCTTCCAGCAGCAGAAATGTTTCACAATTCTCACTCATAAAACACTAGCAAAAGAGACGGAAGAAAAAAAAATGATATAACATTCATGGCTCTGCAGATGGAATTTAAAAGAAAAATTTGAACTTGAAGTTGAGTTTCGAGACGGCTCCCGAAAGTTCCTCGCTAATCTGAACCGAAAGATCAAACAGAGAAAATGGAATGTATCGATCGGATAATGCGTGCATGGAATCAGCCAGCTAGTGCCACAGAAATAAAAGAAGAAAAAAGAAAGAAGACAAGGATGAGATTTTGCGCATTGAATTCCAAATAATATGTTTGTGTAGTTGTCTCGGAATGGCCGTGATGACATTAACGCCATGACAATGGAATGCTTCAAAATCGGCACTCAAGTTGGGCTCTCGCGAGCATTGCTTTCACTCTCAGAATCAAATCACAGAAAAACGGCTCCAAACAGAGGCGGACATCGACAAGTCCTCCAAATTGAAGGAACAACCTGAAAAAATGTGAGCCGCACTGCACTGCACTGGGACTCTCAACAATCAAGCGGCAATGAATGGCACCCTCCGAATAATTCCATACCGTTTGGCTTGGCATAAGCTAAGATTTGTGAGAATTTAGCCAAAACAGGGGACAAAGCTCTCCTAGATCCGCGGCGTCTGTCGGTCGGCCGCATTTTATAAAAGGTTCCGTAAGTGTGGTGGTATTTTTCCTCGCCTTCGTCCGCGAATTTAGAAGTGGAGATGTACGACGTTGAGATGATGTTTCGATTTACACCAGGTAGTAACTCGCCATGCAAATCCCCGCCGATCGGTGTCCGGCGATGGCTCTCACCGTACCGCTGGTTTAGTGTGAATGGAAGTACGCCCATGGGTCCAAAGTCATTGCGAGTATCCCGGAGTCACGTATCTTTGAGCTGCACAGACACAGATGGTTTTGCGTTTTACGTTTTGTTGTTTTGCCTGGATAGGTATCCAAGTGTTTTGTGACCATCTGATGGTGATAGTGTAGAAACACGACGGTAAAGATGTTATAAATCCCATTATCACAGAAAAAACTGTTTCAAAGAAAAGCGGAAAGAAACTGCGGACTGCTAGAGCTCTGTGCTCTACTGATCAATACGAGTAGTACTCACCATAGAGCGATGAGACAGTGATCTCGCGATTGTCACACCAGATAGTAACTCGCCAGGCAAATGCCCTCTGATCTTGTGACGTCGGTGGATGAATGAGGGCGGAAGACGTCCCTGGCTCTCACGCGCGTGTCGATGCCCCACCCGTATTGCTGGTTTGCTGTGAGCGGATATTGTAGTACGTCCATGGGTCCAAAGTCATTGCGAGTGTCCCGACGTCTCCTTTCTTTGAGCTGCACGAACAAGAGCTGGTTAGTTATCTTTCCCTGATATGTTTCTGTACCTGGAGATGGGAGTATCTGCCAAATCTCGCCAAGTCTTCACCTGTTTGTTTCACTGGCATCATTTTCACTGGAGAAAATGGAATGAGATACTTTACCAGGAGTTTTTGCCCGCTCGGCAAACTGGATCGCGTGGTCTTGCTCGGCTAAGCTCTCGTAAGAAACTCTGTCAACTAAATAACACACGAGAAAAAGTGATAGATGATACCGTGAAATTTTTGGAGCCCTCTCCTGAACTCGTCCAGCCTTATGTTGCCAGCTCGAATATCAAAATGCCTGCATTGAATCTTTCACGAGATCATAAAAGCCAACAGAACGAGCAAACCAGCCAACCTGAGAAACAGCTCTAGCTCCCTGGGATCCAGCTTCCGCCCCACGCAACGCTCGACAATCTCCGGCAGCTGGACCGCACGAACCGTGTGCGAGAGATTGTGGGAAGCTCTGGTTTCAAAAGCTGCGATGAAGTCGTCGACAGGGACGCTGGCAATGGATCTGCGCTTGGGCTTGGGCTTGTTCTCCAGTTCCCTCCGCCTGGAACTCACGTCAAAAAGGTGCCGAGTCCCCAGCTTTGTCATCCCAAAAAAGCTCGCCATTCTTCTCTCGCTGGCTCTTGCGCTCCTCCCGCAAAGCCCTGCGTTTTCCTTGCGCGTGTTCAGTTTGCCACCTGGACGCATCTCAGCCGCTAGCATTTCGCCACCGAGCTAATCTCCACCGTTAGCGTGGAGAAACGTTCTATTCAGCCATGGCAAACCAGGGAATAATCCAGACATGGAAGATAGCAAGCTAGAACACGTACCTGGTGGAAATCTTGCCGAGAATTTCGCGATCGGCGTGGCTATGGCAAGGATCGGCCGTTGTGACCATCGCCATGGCTCGAGGCGGTGGAGCGCACATTATAAATGAGCTAACCCCAAGAACCCTAAAACAAGAAGCGCAATTGGGTAAAGAGCTCTAGCTCAGGATGGCTTGCTGGGTGTGCGTCGATCAGGCGAGCGTCGGGATTCTGGAGAAGTGGGGAAGGTTTGTGCGCGTGCTGGAGCCCGGATTCAGCTGTATAGTGCCGTGTCTGGGCGAATTCGTGGCTGGAACTCTGTCTCTCAAGGTCCAGTACTTGGATGTGCGGTGCGAGACCAAGACCAAGGTTTGTGTTCCATCGTAGTCTCTGGTTGCTCTTTTGATTTGGCTCTTGGTTGTGTTCTTAGCTTTGCTCCTTGGGTACTTATGTTTGCTTTGGCAGGATAACGTGTTTGTGTCCCTCGATTGCTCCATCCAGTACCGCGTGGTGCGAGGGAACGCGGACGATGCCTTCTACGAGCTGCAAAATCCCGAGCAACAGATCCGTTCCTACGTTTTCGATGGTGAGTGAGAATTTATTTCCGGAATCCATTCAATCTTTTCTTCGTTGTCATGGCAGTCATCCGTGCGTCAGTTCCTAAGCTGTCACTGGACGATGTCTTTGAGCAGAAGAGTGAGATCGCCAAGTCTGTGTCGGAGGAGCTCGAAAAGGTCAGTTTTTGAATCAAATTCTTTTTGCTCGAGCGAGCGAGATGATCATCAAATGACGCGGCACAGGTGATGAGCGCGTATGGATACAGCATAGAGCAGATACTCATCGTCGACATCCTGCCTGACGCTGCGGTTCGGAGGGCGATGAACGAGATCAACGCAGGTAACAAGAGCCGAGAGCTTTGATCGATCACTGATGGTAACTTTGAGATTGGATCATACGCAGCTCAGCGGATGAGGATGGCGGCCGTGGAGAAGGGCGAGGCCGAGAAGATATTGCAAGTCAAGAGGGCCGAGGGGGATGCCGAGTCCAAATATCTATCAGGGGTTGGGGTGGCGAGGCAGCGGCAGGCCATCACCGACGGTCTGAGGGAGAGTGTCTTGACATTCTCGCAAGACGTTCCCGGCACGTCCGCCAAGGAGGTGATGGAGATGGTGATGGTCACGCAGTACTTTGACACCCTCAAAGACATTGGCGCCAGCTCCAAAACCTCTGCGGTCTTCATCCCTCATGGACCCGCGCATGTCAGTGACATTGCCCAGCAGCTCCGAGACGGAGTCTTGCAGGCAAACACCGCTGTGTCCTTGATGGACTAGATTGTGGGATTACACTCTTCAAGAAAATACAAAAGATATTATTAGGACAATTACTCGTAAATGTGTTGAATCGAATGTAATATATCTTACTAAGTTTGCCCAAGTTTGAACAATTTCAACTCTACTTATAAGTATTATGGTAGTGAATATACTAAAATAGGCTTGGATATTCTAGAATATTTTATCATCTAACGGTTGTTATTCATTTAGATTAATCTTGCTTTCTAGTATATTCTTTTTTATTCTACTGTTGATATGTTAATCTTGTGTTTATATATTATAAACTTTTATTTGATCAATTTGATTAATAAGTAGGAATAACACTAATATTAAGCAAACCAAATGTTATTACATGCAACGCATAGCAAATTATTTCAAATTCCATTATAAATCATGATTTACGTAAAATAACTATTTGATCAACTAAAAACCATTATAATTGCTCTAGTATTATTAATCTATCAAATACAACTGCCAAGCCAGCATATGGATATATGGTATATACATTATAGTGTGATCATTATCCTTGTCATAGCCAACCATCCAATCAGCACTGGAGTTAAATTCTTTTATGCCTAATTCTTATGATGTTTCTTTTGTAGAAGTTCTAAGGGTGATGTATTTTGTTCTTGTTGGTAGAATTATAATAAACTTATAGCAGCTAGTATCAAATTGCAAAGAAATTATCTCTTCAACTTGTGCATGCTTGAAAGAATTTGTTTCTCTATGCAAATAAATAAAAGGTTTTAACATCACTCATCAAGTGTTGCAAGATATGTAGATTTTTGGGACTTTATAAATGATTTTCAGCTATTTAATCTATATAAAACATAAGCAAATGTTCTTTAAATCCAACATATCCCCAACTGAAATTTATATTGTTTTGTTACTATGAAAAAACACTTTTGGAAATTGATGAAACTATATCTAAAACCATATGAAAATGCCAGCAAGAGGTATTAGAATGAGAGAGAATGCTCCCTCAATAAGTTCTTGATAGGAAAAATGCATATATGATCAAAACATATAAAACCAAGAACTAGAATGTATTAACAGCTCCATTTCTAGCAAATCCATGTGAAGCATATTTATCTGTACTGCAATGCTCCATTTCTACTAAATCCATATAGTCATCCATTTGTACTACAGTTCTATGGTGGATCTTTTTGTTGTGAATGACCTATAAAATGAAGAATGTACTAATGAATGCTAAATATATATAATTTAAAGATAAAAATATATCTTACCCAAGGGTATATTATATTTTAAATAACTACTAAGTAATGAGAATTGAATCCTTGCCATTTTCTCTAATTAGCACATTTTATATTTTTTGTTGATAATATATCCAAAGCTCATCCCATGATCATATGTGCTACAACTAGTATAAAATATATATTTCTCGAGAACTGAAAAATATAAAATAAATATTTTATAATTTAATGTTGGATTTACAACCACTAAATTTGTGTTTGCCTTGAATATAAAGCCATTCACACGATAGTCTTTATATAGTGTGATATGGTATTCAACAAACTCCCGTTTTCTAGACCAAATATAGCTTTTTTGTTTTATAATCACTGCATTTCTGGGCATACAATAATTTAAACTTCCATTAGATATGCTTTCCTACAAAAACATCTCTTTGTGTTATTTTTTGTACAACTAAGTAAGATTTTAAGATCTTTTGAGCATAAACCACTCTTAAGCTCACAAGTTGAGCTCAAATTTCAAATGTAATTAATATAAACATTACAAAATAGAAAAACTAAAATTCATGGTGAATCTAACTTTGCACTATATTTAAATATCTCCTTTTATTTTATATAAATTAAAATATTTTGGTAGAGATTTCTTTTTCAAGAATTTAAATATTTAATACAAGCTAAAATAGAAGTCAGAATTTTAAATAAAATTAGGATTTAAATCTGTACTGTATGCTTTGTAAAAATCATCAAGTTTGATTTAAGATTCTATGAGACACATGAATATTATGGGCATTATTATAAAGAGAACACTTCCAAGTATATGAAATGAAAAGCATGTATTTCTAGTAATTATATAAAAATACAAAATTTGATATTATTAATAAAGAATAAACATAATCTAATTACCTCCAAAAGTCTTTTACAACTCAACAATAATAATGTTTGTTTGGTGTATATGAATATCCACTTTAAAATTCTAGTATAAAATGTTGACGAAGATATAATACATATGCTTACAAGGAGTATATACCTTGTCATATTCCTTATGCTTCGTAAAGTTTGGACATATGCAATAAAGAAAGTCTTGAATGACAATTGTGTACTTTCCATATTTATTTTTTATAAACTTAGGCCAAATCGTGTTTTTGCAAGCTAAACCAATTTGTATTTCAAGTTGTCTAATGATATACTTTATGGAGAGAATTTCACACTTAAGTGTTTGAGCAATGTTTATTTTATTTTACTTTTTCTTGGAGATGGTACCAATAAATTTAGTTGCTTTACCTTTTTTTGCTAGCCTCCTATACATTTTTTATGGGAATAGTGCTAATTCTGTCACTTATATTTTCAACTCTACTTCTCTCAAGATTGAAACTAAATTTCTCAAGATTTTCAATCTCATTTGAGGTGAGTATGACCGCATTAGCAATTGACCATTCTTTAAGTATTGCATCAAGTTTTGTCATTATAGTGTCTTCAAGCCACTTCATATAGTTGGTATTGGTGTTGCAACAATATAACCAACACTATCTTGAAAATCTTATTTGTTTTTTGTTCCTTATGGAAACATAGGTTTGAAATACTTGCCCCTCAGAAGCTTTTCAATACTATTTAAATTCAAGGACACTTAACCTTAAGTATTCCAAGACTGTGCACTCTTTTTTGTCCCCCCACCCTCATGAACAAAACTTATTTACTTAAAAAAATTACAAGAGATAAAAAAATCTATGACAAAGAAATGACTAAAGAAAAATTCTAGTGGCTAGAGATGGAAGAAAGCACAAAACCATACAAGCAATACTATCCAAAATGGCGATGCAACACTTGCAAGCAAGCAAAAGTAAGACTCTGAATCAGGGATGAAAATGCTACAGCGGAAGAGAAAAAAAAACGAGAAGAAATAGCCCAAGAAAATGATACCAAAAAGAGTGACAATAGTTTAGAAAAAAAAAGAGAAACAAAGCTTGAGCGTGGCAACCACAGCAACTAGAAGCTCCCGCACAACTTCCTATAGCAGTACCACGACTCCAACCTAGCAGTGTACACTTGTGAAGGCATTGAGAGCTTCTGTGAGAAGACATTCATCAAGCCGATGGAACAGCACCTTTCCAAACTTGAGGACAGTTTCAAGCAGCTATTCACAGCCATGGAATTCCAACTCCAAACTCCTGTAAGGAATCCTTCAACCTTGCACAACAGTTTTAGCAAGAAAATGCAAGGCTCAACAAGGAGCTACTTGCGGCAAAAGAAAGAATCCACGCACTTGAAGAAGCAGCCCAGACATACGAAGAGGAAAAAGAGGAGGAGGAACCACACGAGGGAAACAACTACCCAAGATGCAGTGATGGAGCAATAACTACGGAATGCAGCATGAGACAGTTGTGGGAGAGTGGAGAAAGAGGAAAAAAGCAAACTCGGAAGTTCAAGTTTAGGAAAACAAACTTGAGAGCTCAGAGGACGAACCTAACCTGGACGTTCTCAAGTTTGTTTTCCTAAACTTGAACTTCCGAATTTGCCTTTTTCCTCTTTCTCCACTCTCCCACAACTATCTTGTGCTACGTCCCACAGTCACTACTCCATTGCTGCATCCTAGGTAGCCATTCCCTCATGTGGTTCCTCTTCCTCTTCTTCCTCTTTGTAAGTCTAGGCTGCTTCTTTGAGTGTGTGGATTCTTTCTTTTGCCGCAAGTAGCTCCTTGTTGAGCTTTGCATTTTCCTGTTGAAACTGCTGTGCAAGGTTGAAGGATTCCTTATAGGATTTTGGAGTCAGAATTCCATGGCTGCGAATGCTCTTGATCATGGCATTCAGCTGCTTGAAACCGTCCTCGAGTTTGGAAAGGCATTGCTCCGTTAGCTTGACAAACGTCTTCTCGTAGAAGCTCTCAATGCCTTCACGAGTGTACACTACTAGCTTGGAGTTGTGGTACTATTGCAGGAAGTTGTGCAAGAGCTTCTGGTTGCTGTGGTTGCCATGCTCGAGCTCCTCTTGTCCTCGTTTATTTAGAGTGTAGTGGCATGGAGGACAATTGTGGAGGTGTTGCTCTGCTCCATCCTACATTCCATGGTTCTCCATCTCCTTAGCTTCTTTGATTGGTGGGAGCTCTTGACTTGCCTCGTCAAAACCCTTCTCATTGTCTTTGGCTGTTGTAGTTATCACAACTGTTTCGGGCTCAAGGTGTCGCAGACTCAAGACTGCAAACTAGAGTCTCTAGGAGCTTGTCATTGGTAATCCTTTCCTCTTGATTTTTCTCTGACACTGGGATCTCTTGTGCGTGATCCATCAGTTTTTCCCCATCATGGGGTGGTTCCTCCTGCGTGTTCTCGTAGTCCTCAACCTCCTGTTCCTTTGGAGTTTCCTTCTTGGCTTTGTCTTATTCATCCTCAACTTCCACTTGCTTTTCCTTCGTTTCCTCATGGTTGTCTTACTCCTCTTCCTCTGTTTCCTGTGCCTCACTTCCTTCACCAAGGTCGACTTTCTCCTTCATTGTTTCCACTTGGGCTTGAGGGACAAGCACCAATGCCCTTTCATTGTTCACCAACAAAGCCTCTATGTATGGAAAAAGTGTCGTAATTTTCTTCTTACTCTCCAGTGCATTGAAATCCTATGAGAGTTCTCTATGGAATTTGATGTAAATGTATGCTCCCAAGTCAACCTGGACTCCATTGTTCAAGTCCTCATAGATGAAGGTGACATTCTTGCTCACTGATGTCACCATTGGTCAGAACTCCAATGTTGCGAGAAGGAATTTGAAAATCCCTCAGAAATTTTCTTTCACATTTGAGAACTGCAGAGATGCTGCTGTCTTGTAGTTTGCTACATGCTTCATGATCTGTGGTTTGATGGCTCTACCTTGTGGAGCCATCACTCGCTTTCCCCTGTTTGGTAGTTGAAGAGCTTTGGCGAAGTCTTCTTCTTCAATCGTGAGTTTCCTGCACGCAAAATTGATAATTTTCCTCTCGAGACCCTGTGGATCGGAGCTTGCCATAGCCATCATGAGAACCAAGAACACATAGAGCTGATACTTCCACAGCCATGTGTCAAGATTCTTGTCTCGAGACCACTCTGGGTTTCCCACTTGGAAAACCGAGCATACCTTGTTCTCATCGTCCGAGAGGTCAACCACTTCCTCCTCTTCCCGTGGATGGCGTGGAGCCCTCAAGGTGACTCTAGTCCTCATTGAAGCTGCACTTTCACCATACCAAGAATCACAGCAGCCTTGACCACTGTTTGCCCCTGGTGGGCTCCCTCTTTCCTCACACACCATCACCCGTGACTCTTTTCTTCTCTCAACTGCCAAGATTAGGGTTAGGTCACATTCTTGTTGGGGCGAATTTTCTCTAAGTGTTTGCATGCGTTCAAATGTAATTTCTTTTTCTCTTGAAATTTTTGGTATCACTATAGTGTGAAGCACTTGTGTAAATCTTCAATTTGTTCAAGTTAACTATTTACAATTTTTCATCATCTAAAGTTGCAAGTTTTGCTGTTCCTGGGATTTGTATACTCGTAATCTTGAATGGTCTTTTCCATTAATGAACTAGTTTTCCTCCAAGTTTATCCACATTGCCATGATACCATAAAACAAGTCCTCCTACTTTGTAATGCACTTTAATTTTTTTGACTTGTTTGTGATCATGATAAGCTTTTCTTCTAGCCTGTATTGCTTTGATTGTCCATATTGCACTCAATCTTTCTTCATCGAGTTTCTCAAGCATTGTGAGTCTTTTCTTGATTGATTCTTTTTTATTAATTTCAATAAGATGGTACCGTGTACTCGAGTGGTGTTAACGCTTTAAGGCCATAAGCAAGCTTGAATGGTGTAGAATTTGTTGAAACTTTGAAAAAAAAATTGTAAGCCCAAAAAGCATCATAAATTTTTTCATCCCAATCTTTAAAGTTTATCTTGACTATTTTCTTGAGTATATTTTTGAGGATTTTGTTTGTTAATTTTTCTTGTCCATTACCTTGTGGGTAATATAAGATACATGCTCGGTTAACACAAAAACGGCTCGTCCAGGGTGAAAATTTAGGGCACTCATGGATAGAGCAGAGGCTGTGAAGAAGCTGCGGCGCGTAGCCGGAGATGATACAGTGGAGGCATCTTGGCAGCAGATCAAGGCAATCCCAACCAGGTGACCATCCTTCCTTACACAGGCACTCGAAGGTCTTTTCTTTTCGTGGGATCACCAGACTTGCAGAAACTGCTGTGGCATGTCCTGTCTCTTGAACGTGAGCAAGAGTTACTTGTTGTCGGGCCCAAGGGCACCGGGAAAAGTTGCCAGTTGAGGGCAATTGCGAACATGTTCTATGCGGGTGGTCCAGCGAAGAGTGTGATCGTTTGCATGTGGAACATGGAGAAGGCCAGAGCACCGCTGCAGCTACTGAAATGGCTGCTTGATGGGCTCCGCTTTGCATACTCCGGTGCAGACGAGCACAAGCCGGTTCGTGACGCGGTTCACAAAATGGAAGAAGAAATGGAGGAGGACGGGGACTTTAGTGGGTCTGGGAACATAGGAAAATGGATGGAGAGGCTTCAGAAGTTTCTCAAGGAGAGGGCAGCAGCTGGGGACGATTTTACTTTTATTGCTGATGGTGAGCAGGCTCTGGACATTCGTGGCATCGAGAGACCGGGCGCTAGAGAACTGGAAAACACCTTCCTGACGCTCAAAGCCATTGTTGAGCCTTACAAAGTCGTGTGGGGCGTGTCTCCTGCAGCACACCAAGCTGTGGCTGCCAACTTGAGTGACTCGGAGCAAGTAGTAGTCTATCGTGTCAGGGGTTTTACCAAGGTTTGTGTTTCTATACGTCTCGTGCTCGTCAATTAAATCGTCTTTCGCAGGAACAAAGAGAAGTCTTTCTTCTTCACTCCGTGCTGGGAGCCGTCGTAACTGGTCATAAGCAGCGGACCAAGGACATGGATTTTTACGCTGGTTTCCATCCCCAGTTTCTGGATGTGCTGGACGAGGCTTGCATGGAGATAGCTCGGATTAAGCAGTTAGGCGGATGCGAACCAGGTATTGAGTGGGGGGACGGGAACGACTTCAGACTTGCACCACCAGCTGAGCTGGAGCCAAAAGAAGTCGCTATACTTTTGGAAGACGAGGAGGATTGGCACAGGGTGCTCCTGCACTTCATTAACGGACGTACCATGTCTTCCATCCGCAATACGGTTGAAAGTATCGTCAAAAGGCCGGACTCTTCAACAACAACTTGCGACTTCCACCTGCGATCGGAAATGATCAGTCAGGATCCCAGATACGCACTGTCAGAAGATAAGTTCTGCTCGCCTTTCGTGGAGCAGATCTACGTAGAGGAGTTTCGAAAGGCCTGGAGCTGTTGCTAGTCCCAGTCTACAGGGATATGAGACTTGATAGGAATAGAGAATAATCTTTTTTTCTTCCGAAACAAGCTGGTTTTGGGGATCCAGTAATTTTTCAAAGATGAATTATCTGCACATATGCGGGGAGGTCTTGAACTCGATAGACATCATCTAGAGACAACTCATGCTCGAGCTGAGAAGATTAAACAAAGGAAAGAAAATAATCTTTCGTTAATCCTACATGGAATTTATACTTGAGCTTAGCGTGAGGAACTGCACCATACCCGAGCAGGGGTACATAGATCAGAGAGGGGATGTGTCCTGGGGTGTTAATAAAATTTATGCAAGATGTGGCATGCATGCAGTCGTCTCCCTTAGTGTTTTATTGAAATTAAATATCTTCTTGTAGATCTCGTGCAGCAGATCGATGGCAGTCCTGTTGAGACTGAAAGACGCTTCCAGGACTTCATCCGGCTGGTTGGGTCCAAACAATGCAGATGATGATATCTGGAAGGAAGGATTCTGGCTGTTGAGCACCATGAACATCTTGTGTGGAATAATCCCAAAATATCTTACATCCTAACACCAAAACCAACAAGAAAAATACCAAATGGATTGGTGGCTTAACAAGAGGATATTATCAGTTAGCATGGTATGAAGTCAGGGAAGCTAGACACAAAACAAGAATAAATATACAAATGGATCTCTACTATAACTCTTATTTTTGCACCCCCAGCCACAACTTGATCAAAAGTGCAAGTCACTTCCAAAGACTTGGCACCAACACTGATACAAACACCCTCAATCCTCTCTTCAACTTCACACAAGCCATCTGGCACCACTTTCCCGGTTCTCAACATCATAGGGCTGTCTGTGGCGCGGATCTATCTCGGGCCCAAGGGTGCTGCCCCGGCTCTGGGCGAGTGAGCTTGTTTACGTTGTGGAGGCTGGCTTCGTGGACACGAACAACAAGCGCTTTGCCAGTTAATCAGAGATATTGATTTTAATCTCTCTAACTTTTGATTTAGTTATTAAAAAATAGCTCTGCCAAAGCATTTTAATGCATGTGATTGATCAATTGGAGCTGCAGTATGCGAGCTATGGGAACCACGATCAGACGGTATTAGCTGCGTCGATGGCATTGCAATGGATCAAGCTCCCAATAATTAAACAATTACGTGACTCTTCAGGGATTAGTCGTAGCATACATGTTTGCTAAGAGGATGTAACACGAGCCATTGTCTGGATTGAGTTGTGCAATCCAATCCACTGCTTGAACTGCTGCTCTCATCCCATTCTCCTCTTGGGTTCTACAGGCACCTAAAACAGAGCCCCACACCACATCATCAGCCACAAATGGCATTGCCTTCACAATCTCCTCGGCAATCTCAATTTCTCCCAGTCGTCCCAGCAGATCAACCACACAGCTATACTGCTCTTTGCACTGCTTCAATCCATAGTCGGAGCTCACCGACACAAAACACTCCCGGCTCATCTCCAGCAGGCCCTTGTGGCCGCAGGCCGCCAAGACATTCGTGAGGGAGATGTCATTCGGCGCTGCATCGCCCTCCAGGTTCATCGCACGGAAGGCCCCGATCGCCGAATCGCAATGCCCGTTCTGGGCATATCCTGCAAGAAGTGCGTTCCAGGAGATTAGATTGTGTTCCGGCATCTTGTCAAAGAGCTCCTTGGCATCTTCAATGTGCCCGTTTTGGGCATATCCACATACGGCGACGTTGAAAGGAAAGATGCTCCATTCGGGCATCATCTTGAAAGTTTGAGAAGTCTCAAGGTTATACCCTCTTTGGGCATATGCCGTAAGGATTGCGGTCCAGGCGACAATATCTCTTTCTTGCATGGTTTCAAACACGGCCTTGGCGGAGCTGAGATTCCCGGCCTGGGAATAAGCCGTCAGAACCGACGTAGATGCGATCCTTCCGTGGTACGGCATTCTCTCGTGCATGGCTATGGAGTCTTCCGTATTGCCGTCTACGGCGTGAGCCTGGACCATCGATGTCCAGCACGACGAATCTCGTCCGTCCATCCTGTCGAAGAGCTCGTGTGCGCGCTGGATCTGGCCGTCCTCGATGTACGCCCGGATCATACACGTCCAGAGGATGGAATCTTTTTGCGTGGTGGAGTCGAACATCCGCTTTGCTTCTTGGAGATGCCCATTCAGCGCATAAGCTTGGAAGATCGCGGTGAGCGAGACAGTGTCGTGATCGGGCATCTGATCGAAAAGAGTCTGGGCATCTGTGACGCGATTCGATCGAGCACTGGCGGAGATCATCGCGTTCCAGGAGACGAGAGAGAGGGCGGGCATAAGGAGGAAGAGCTTCTTGGCGCCATCGATTCGAGCTGGATTTGAATCTCCACCGTCGATCCTGAAACTCTCCTCTACCGCGCCGATGAGCAGCGTGTTCCAGGAGATGGAATCGCGCTCTGGGAGATCTTCAAACACGAGCCTGGCAGCCGCGACATCGCCCGCTCGCGAGAGGGAGCTGACGAGCGCGTTTCCAGCCACGAGATTTTGCTTGGGCATTCTTCCAAACACGACCTGGGAGTCATTCGATCGGCCGTGATCCGAGAAGGCGAGCAGCATCGCGGTCCAAGTTACAACGTTTCGATCGGCCATGGAATCGAAGAGGGCCTTCGAATCATCCAGATGCCCACTCTGGGCAAATGCCTGAATCATGGTGGTCCGCGATACAACGTCGATCTCGGGCGTGGATGTGAACAGCTCCACCGCTGCTGTGAGATTCTGGTCATCCGAGAATGCCTGGAGCATTGTGTTGCGAGTGATGCTGTTGATCTGGGGAATTCTCTGGTAGACCGAGTGTGCAAGATCAAACTGCCTGGTTGTGGCACATACCTGGACGAGGCTCGTCCAAGAGATCACGTCCCTGCGAGGAATCCGATCGAAGAGGCTCTTCGCTGATCCCAGATCGCCATCGACGCCGCAGGTGGTGTGAGCCGCAAGCATCGAATTCCACGCGACGGTGTCCCTCTCGGGCATGGAATTGAAAATCTCCCAGGATTGCGCGAGGTCGCCTCCTCCTCCATTCGCAGCGATCGACGTGAGCATCGAGTTCCAGGAGATGAGGCTGCGATGGGGCATCCGATCGAAGGCCTTGCGGCAAGAGACAGTGTCTCCCATCCGATCCAAGCAGGAGATCAGCGCGTTCCAGCACACGACGTCTCGCTGCGTCATTCGATCGAAGCAACGCTTGCTCGCGAGGAGATCCCCGTTCTGCTCGTAGGCCGCCATGAGGATGCTCCACGAGAAGGCATTTGGATCGGGGATCTGATCGAAGACCCGCTGGGCTTCTTCCACGGCGCCGCATTTGCCATACATCTGGACGAGGAGATTGGCAAGAAATCTTCCCGGCGCGCTGCCGATTTGCGCGTGGAGTAGCCGCGCTCGAGGAAGATCTTTGGCGCTCGCTAGCGAGCGGATGCTCCGCACTAGAACCTCATGGTTCATGCCATTGACCCACTCTCTCTACTGTAGAACCCATTCAAAGATAGGGTTAGGGTTTTAGTGGGCGCCGCGCATTCTCCATGGGGAGCCAGCGTCTTTCTTCTCTCGAGGAAAGCCTTGGCAATGCGTATCCTCACAAGTTCGAGGTGTCGATGACCCTGGCCCAGTTCCACGACGAATTCGGGCAGCTGGAAGCTGGGCAGCGCTCCAACACCCTCGTCTCCGTCGCAGGTAGAGCAGGATTTTCACTGCTCGTAGTCTCTGTGACAAATGCAAATTGTTCCAGGCAAGGTAATGCACAAACGCCTCGAGCCCGACTCGACGTGCTACGTGCTCGAGTCGGTCGTGGGAAAGCTTCCAGCATTTGTGGATCACGCCAGGTTTCTTCTTCTTCTTCTGTGAGTGACTGATGTGATCTTTCTATCTATCCAGAGTGCCGAAACTCGGAGCTGAGATCGAGCGGGGTGATATTGTTGGTGTTTCGGGTTTTGCCTCGGCGTGTCATGGCGAGCTGGGGATTTCCGTGGAGAAGTTGTGCTTGTTGGCTCCTTGCCTACGCACTTTGCCAGAACGCGAGGGTGATAGCCACACGGAGCAAGAGTCTTGGAGGCCGGGGAAAGCAAGAGATCCAAGCGCATATGTGCTGAGTGATCAGGTTCGTCTTCTCTCGTATAGTAGTCAGCCGTCAGTAAAACCAGCTATTCCCTCTTGCAGGAAGAAAGGTACAGGAACCGGGTTCTCGACTTGATTGTCAACCCGGACATCAAGTCCGTGTTTGCTGCCCGAACCGAGGCCGTGAACTACATTCGGACTTACATGGAAACTAGTGGCGTTACAGAGGTAAGCTTTGATCGGGAGGAGCTTCTTTGCGGCGTGGTAACGATCGAGATGCAGGTGAACACTGGGGTTCTCGAGCAAAGAAGTGTCGCGAACGGTTTCAAGACGCATCACAACCAACTAAACCTGGACATGGTTCTTCGGGTCTCGTCGGATCAGCTGCTGCAGCTGATTGTGTCCAACTTTTTTGGCGTGTACGAGATTGGCAAGCAGTTCCGCAACGAAGAAATGAGCCGGACACACAACCCCGAGTTCACTACTTGCGAGATGTATAAAGCATATGCCGACTACAAGGACTTGATGGAGATGACCGAGAAGCTGCTTTCAGGTAAACACCCGAGCTCTCTTATTTCGTGATGGACAACTGTTCTGTCTAGGATTGGTTATGAAGATCACTGGCGGATACAAAGTCTATTACCATTCCGACGGCTACGACAGCCCTCCTGTTGTGATCGACTTCACTCCTCCATTCAGGTGAGCTCCTCGTCTTTGGCTCGTCTCATTATATGCTTTCTAGGAGGGTGGAGGTGGTGAAAGGCCTTGAAGAGGCACTGGGCCTCAAGTTTCCAGAGGACCTTGCGTCGGAGCAGGCCAATGAGTTCTTAAGAGAGACTTGCTCGTCCAAAGGCGTCTCATGTCCGCCGCCTCTCTCGACAGCGAACCTCTTGTCTTCGGTATTCTAGCATGTCCTGTTTACAAGGCCTAATGTTTGAGTTCGTGTTGCAGCTAGCGGGCCATTTCCTGGAGGCAACAAGCGTGTCCCCGACTTTCATTGTCGACTACCCCAAGAGGAGCACTCCATTTGCGAAAACGCACAGCTCCACGCCAGTTCTCGCGGAGCACTTCAAGCTCTTTGTCAGCAAGAGTCAGGTGAGCTTCACTTCACTAAACTCCGAAAATTTGACTTTGTTTTTCGTAGCTGGTGAGTGGATTCACCCAGTGCAGGGATCCCGCGGAAGCGCAAGAGAACAGTGAACTACACACACTCTTGGAGTATGGCCTCCCGCCGTGCTCGGGCTGGGCCTGTGGAATCGATCGCTTGGTGATGCTGCTAACAGATTCAGTGGACATCAAGGTAGTGTTTTTATTGCTGTTCGTTTTTTTTCCTCCTGGTTCTGTGCTGAATTTCTTGCTTGCTTGCACAGGAAGTAGTACTCTATCCAGCTCTCAAGCCAGCGGAGGATCTCTAAGATCGCTGACCATAAAATTTGCCAAAACGTGGCGAAGGAGAAGATCCACATTCTATATAATTTTGACGATCATGTAATGTTTTGATTTGGTATAAAAGCCTCACGTTTCAAACTGTTCTCTTTTAGGGTTTTCCTGTGAAGCTAGGGTTTAGGCGCTTGCGGCTCGACGGCAATGGAGGAGCTGGATCCCACGGTAGCGTGCCTGTGTCGATCGGATTCTTTCTCGCAATGCGCTGAGCTCGTGTGTGTCGTGGCCCCCGCAGCAATACTACAACAACCGGCTCGCAAGCCTTGCGTCGCTGCCGACGAGCCCCTATTCCCAGATGTTCCGGGTGTCCATGACCTTCGATCACTATCGCGAGAAATTCAAGGGCCTCAGCAATGGAGAGCGCTTGGCTGAGACGACCGTGTCGCTCGCAGGTGAGGAAGAAATGGAAAGAATTACGAGCTAGAGTCGCGGTATTGCAGGAAGAGTGATGTCTAAGAGAGCGTCGGGCTCGAAGCTCGTGTTTTACTCGCTGGAGTCGGCCGAGGGAACAATTCAGGCTGTTTCGGATGCCAGGTATGGTTGCTCTATCTTCGTTCTTTGATCACTCCTCTTTGTCCATTTAGATCGCTCGTTGGTGGTAACTTTGCGGCTGTGCACGCAAACATCAAGCGCGGGGACGTGGTCGGGGTGTCGGGAAATCCAGGCATGAGTAATCGTGGAGAGCTCAGCATCTTTGTCAAGGAGATAATCCTGCTAGCGCCTTGCTTGTACATGCTACCAAAGGGTGGAAAGAACAGGGTAAGCAAAGGAGTTTGCCATTGCGCAGTGTGCTCAAGTTTTCTTACACAGGACGAGCAAGCAACCTGGAGGCCTGGGAAACCAAGAAATCCAAACGCCTATGTGCTGAAAGAACAGGTGTGTGGCTGAGCTTTTACTTCTTTCTCTTTCTTAGATTCGTCTTGTGCAGGAAACGAGATATAGGCTCCGGTTTCTTGACATCATAGTGAACCCGGAAGTGAAGTTTGTCCTGGAGACAGCACACTCCGCGGTGAATTATATTCGCTCGTTCTTGGACCAGCGCGGTTTCAGAGAGGTAAGCTGGTTCATCGTGTGAATCATATCATCTAAACCCGTGGAATGCAGGTAGAGACGGCGATTCTCAACTCGAAAGCTGGTGGTGCAGCAGCCAGACCTTTCAATACGCATCATGATGCGTCGGAAATGGATATGAGCTTGCGGATAGCACCTGAGCTGCAGCTCAAACAGTTGCTTGTGGCGGGTTATAATGGCGTATATGAGGTTGACAAACAGTTTAGAAACGAAGGGATGGACCTTACGCACAACCCGGAGTTCACGACTTGCGAGTTTTACAGCGCGTATTCTGATTACCACGATTTGATGACAATGACGGAGGAGCTTCTTTCAGGTAAATTTCCAAGCCTTGCTTTCTTCACAATGGAGTTTTGCCTATGCTTGTTGTTTCTAGGATTGGTTAAGAAAATCACTGGTGGATATACGGTTTCGTATCACTCCGATGGCTATGACAGCCCTCCTGTCGAGATCGACTTCACTCCCCCATTCAGGTGTGTGCTTGTGTTCTCTTCATTTCACGTTTTTTACTCCTCTTGCAGGAGGATCGAGATGGTCAAGGGCCTTGAAGACACAATGGGCATCGAGCTTCCAAAGGACCTTGCATCAGAGGAGGCAAACGAGTTTCTGAAAAAAACATGCGAGGCCAGGGGTGTGTATTGTGCTCCTCCTCTGACTACGTCAAGGCTTCTGGACAAGGTTTAAGTCATTCTGTTCATCAGCAGTCTTTGACGTGTGTGTGTTTGCAGCTGGTGGGACATTATCTAGAGGAGACTTGTGTAAATCCCGCTTTTATCATCGACCATCCCCTCATTATGAGTCCGCTAGCGAAGCAACACAGGTCCAAGCCAGGTCTCACAGAACGCTTTGAGCTCTTCGTAAACAAGCATGAAGTGAGTTGAGTAGTAGCGCAGGAAAGAAACTAGAGTGACGCTCTTTTCCCTATCGCAGCTGGTGAATGCGTACACAGAGTTAAACAACCCCGTGGAACAGAGAGATCGATTCGTACAACAGCTTAAGGTGCGTGGTTGTGATTTCACTGTCATTGTCTTGTGCTCACACTGTTCCTTGATTGATTTACAGGACAGACAAGGTGGCGATGACGAAGCGATGGTGTTGGACGAGGACTTTGTCAAGGCTATGGAGTATGGGCTTCCTCCTTGCGCTGGGTGGGGAATGGGAATCGATAGGCTGGTCATGCTCTTGACAGACTCTCTCAATATCAAGGTAAGCCAGGAACCATACTTTTTATCTCATTGGCTTTGTTTTCAGGAGGTTCTCTTGTGCCCCGCAATGAAGCCACCAGAGGCAGTGCCACCACCTAACGAGAAAGGTACCCCTCAAGTATAGAGCGTAGAAAAAAACGAAGATTAATATTGCCCAAGTTTTGAGTTCTTTGCAAAAACAACCGAGAGAAAAAATGAAACAAAAGAAAAGATTTTTTCTCACGTTTTCGAGGGAGTCGTGATCTACATTCGATCGAGCCAGCTTTACTCTAGCGACCGTATTTCTGGAACTCCCACTCGCTGTTATCTGGAGGAAAAAAACTGGAAGAGTAAGAGGCAAAGCTCTGAAAGTTTGTTTCTTCGTCTTACCGAGAGGGCAGACTTGGCGCGTCTTTAGCCAGCGGCTGATGCAGTGGAAGTGAAACGCATGGTTGCACACGCCTGGATCCACAAAAGAGTGTGTTTTGCATTGTCACAAAACCAATAGAGCTATGATCATCTTCTCTTACCCCAGGCAACGGTGCATTCTTCGCTGGTAGCGCTGGCCTGGTTTGCCTGGCACTCGATGCACAGATCCATGATGTGATTCCGGCAAATCGCGCAGTTGTCCACCACAATGTCTGGAGAAAGAGGGCGCGATCGATAATCTCTCACAATGCAAACAATCCCCTTACCCCATGCCCAAAGCGCCACAGCGTTCCACTTCTTGATCTCGAAGCGCTTAGAGCGCTTGGTGGAGCTACTGGCGCCGCTGCTGGAGCCCTCACCCGATGGCCCGGCCACATCCATCATGTCCACGCTCGCCATGGCAAACGCAGCGCGCTAAACCTAGGCAGTGCTCGGGTAAGAACCCTAACTCGCGATTACGATACCCGGCATATTCTTCTAGGCCTGGCCAAAGGGGGAGTGGAAATCTTGGGCCGGGAATGGAAGGAAGGGGCAGCAGCAAATTCGCGATGGATGCTCTCTTGCGCTAGTCCTGTGACACAGCGATCTTGCTCTGCTGCTGGAAATCCCTCGATCCATCGCCTAGGGTTTGGGTGGATGAGGCATTAGGCTGTTTGGGGGATCTATCAAGTTTGGGCGCCAGGCGATGGCCGAGCTCAGCCCGGCATTGGCAGATCTCGATGGCCAGCTCAAGGATCTCTTCCGGGCTCTCTCGTAAGTCCCCCTGCTCGCTCGCTCTAGATAATCTCTAGAAATTTCTCACTGGCCAAAATGCAGATCCGGCTTCCAGAAGATGGACAAGATCAAGGAGCCTGCCCGGCAGAGCAAGCATCTGGAAGAGCTCACCGCCAAGATGCGCGAGTGCAAGAGGTCGGTCTCGCCTGGCTGTGCTCGAGACGCTAAAGTTTCAATGCAGGCTCATCAAGGAGTTTGATAGAGAGATCAAGGAGGAGGAGTCGAGGAACCCACCGGATTTGACAAAGCAGCTGAATGAAAAGAAGCAGTCACTGGTAAGTTCCATGCTAGGAGGCCATGGAGGCTTTTCGAGCGATCGATCTCATCGCTAGGATGGTGTCTCTTGCAGATCAAGGAGCTCAACTCGTATGTGGCCCTGCGCAAAACGTGAGTTCTTGTGTGTGCATTCCTCCGCCATGCCGGTGTCTCACAAGTTTTTTTTTTTTCTTGGTTTTCACCCAGGTACACGAGCTCGCTGGGGAACAAAAAGGCAGAGTTGATGGAAGGTGGCAGTGCCGAAGGTGCTCGCACTGACCTCACGGATCCAAACGTGAAGATGGCGTCCAGTAAGTCGCGGCTTGCCTCGCTTGGTTCTCTAAGCTCTTTGCTCTTCGTTTTGCAGCAATGTCAAACCAGCAACTCATGGACGCTGGCAAGAAAACCATGGACGAGACGGATCAGACGATCGAGCGCTCCAAAAAGGTCCAATAGATGCGTCGCTTTGTGACTCCCTGCGATTTCATATATCTTTCACAGGTGGTCGAGGACACCATCAACGTCGGCGCTCAAACAGCTCTTACGCTCAAAGGACAAGTAAGCATTTTTCTCTTTCGGGGGCACTTACAGACGAGTGATTGGTTTTACAGACGGAGCAAATGGGCAGGATCGTGAATGAGCTAGACAACATCCAATTCTCCATCAAGAAGGCGTCTCAACTCGTCAAGGAGATTGGCAGACAGGTAAACTCTTTCGCTTTGCAGCTAGTATCTTTGCTCCTTACACTGGTGGAGGATCCATTTCTTGTTTTGCAGCTTGCCACAGATAGATGCATACTGTTCTTCCTGTTCCTCATTGTCGTGGGTGTCATTGCCGTGATCGTCGTCAAGGTAAAGTCCATTCTCTTTGTTTCCAGGAGCGCTCAAACGAGATTTCTTTCGATGGCAGGTTGTGGATCCCAAGAACAAGAACATCCGCGATCTTCCCGGATTGACTCCCGTCGCGAACACCAGCCACATTCTTTTCAACCGACGCATGGGTGGACTTTGATGATCTTTCCTCGCATCGCATACCTTAAGAGTTTTGATTGATTGATTAATGTATAGAAATAAGTACTTAATCGCTAGTCCTACACTTGTTAGGGTTCATCATGGCTGCGTCTGGGTTTCCCAGGGGTGTGAGCGATGACGATGATGACTGGGAGGAGGAGGAGGAGGAATCCACATCCACGCGTGACGCGCAGCACAAGAAGAGGGGCAAACAAGGCAGCGGGGGTCTGGTTCCATCCAAATCCACCGTGTATGTGAGCAATCTCGATTTCGCGCTCACCAACAGCGATCTCTACACGATCTTCAGCAAAATGGGCAAAGTAGGCAAGTAAGCAGGTATTTCTTTGCGATCTTGCGAGGGGATTTTGCTCACGAGCTCGCGATCCAGGGTGACGGTGATGAAGGACAGGGTAACGCGGCAGAGCAAAGGAGTGGCATTTATCTTGTTCACTGCGCGAGAGGATGCCGAGAAAGCGGTGAGAGCTTGTGAATGGAGGAGATGGAAGCTCTGCTAACCAGCGCATTGCGTTTCCCAGGTGAAGGCCATGGATGGAGTGGTGCTCAACAAGAGAACCTTGAAAGTTTCCATTGCGCAAGACAATGGCCGGGCTCGAGAGTTTATCCGTCGCAAGGTAGAACAAAGGAAGACCATCTCTTTCTCGCTCGGGCTTGCTTGGATTGATCATGTCTCCCGCTTGTTTGCGTCCACCAGGTTTACAAGGACAAGAGCCGGTGCTACGAGTGTGGCGAGGATGGCCATCTATCGTACGAGTGTCCAAAGAACAAGGTGGAGTTTTGCTCGTAAAGTTTGCTCTGTGACATGCGTTTCATTCACGCAGCTTTTCAGGGAGCGGCCTTGTCCCAAGAAGCAGCGTCGGGGACAAAAGGACGTAACGCAACCGGTGGACGATCCAGCTGAGAGGTTTGCAAATCTTTTCTCTGTCACTGCTTGAATGGATTTGTGCAGCGAGGACGAAGAAGGAGAAGAACAAGAAGAAGCTCCAGCACCTGAAGGCTGGGCATCAATTGTAGACACGAGGTAAAGGTTTGCTTTTGACAAACAGCGTCCCGGAGATGATGATGCTCGTTTGGGTTTTTGCAGGAATACATTTGATACGCAACACACTCAAAAGCAGCCATCACGAGGACTCAAGGTCTCATTTTTTCTTCTCTTGCTTTCCTACTGACGCTTTGGTTTGCTTGTGTTTCAAAGGGGCCGAGAAAGAGCAGTGGCTACTTTAGTGATGAAAGCGATCACGATTAGATTTCAAGCAGCATGGCATTCACTGTCTGTCTTGTATGGTATGGCAACTCTCTCAACCAAGGCTAAGAACTTCGATCTCGAAAACAAGCTCGGAATTTGGTTCAATGCCCCACGCAGGGAATCCATCCTTCCCGTAAGCATAGTCCGGAGTGCACTGGAGCAACAAAGAAGCCTCATTACTGCCAGTGAAATCGACAAGAAATATAATAAGCTTACCTTTAGCCGAGCGATTTCTCCCAGTTGCATTGCCATGACACCTTCGTCCCACCCTGGAATGAAGAGCAAAGACAACTGAGAAACAAAGGCATTTTTCTGGATAGATCCGAGAACCTTTGATCACACTTCCCTGTCCAATCTTGAACTGAAAGGGTTTCTGTCCAGGGTCCTTGGTGCTGGATGGAGAGTGAGACAAAGCTAGAGCTAGAGCTAGAGCACACTCACCTCCAAAACTTTTGGTTGAGATCCCTGTTTTTGCCTGTAGATTGGAATGAATCAGAGCTATAGTTGAGCGCCTTCACTCACCATAGCCAGTGCAATGCACCGTCACATTCTGGCCGGGCTTTGGAATCGCGCCAGTGCCAGCCCTGAGAACCTCCCTGACCACGCCCATCCTCTCTCTTTTGCAAACCCTAGAGGCCTTTCCTCCAGGAAAAACTCTAGACCTTTTTAGAGAGACCAAAAAACTTGCAAAACAAAAAAGTGGTATAAACTTATGATCCTATTTCTTCTTCTTGGACTTGCTTTGTTGAGAGATGCTCTTGGATATTTTCGCGGTGAACGCAGTGCCCTGCGCAAATCAAAACAAAAGAAAAACAATGACCTTAGCAAACTCTTCACAAACTCTGAAAGAAAAAGAGAGACCTGTAGCCATTCATTGTTCGCTGCATCGGCGTTCCGAGTTCCCGTCTCAACCACCTTTGTCTTCCGCGTCTGGTGAAACCAAAAACCACGACGAATGGATGCATCCATCCAGTCGGAGCTAAGCGAGAGTGATGATAGATAGCTTTGCTTACCTTTGAGAAACGTTGGAGTTGTCCGTGGATCCACAGAGACAAAAGTCCCATCAGGCCAAGCCCAAGCGTGACCAGGAAGAGCGTCTCGCCGCTTAGGAAACCACCAGACTCCACGATCTCGACAGTGCCATTGTAAAAGACGGTCTTGTGGATGTCGCCGTCGACTTCATATAGCACGCTCGCCACTAGCGAGAAGCTCCCTGGCTGCGCAACGAGCATGGAGTCCAATCAATCGCGAAAACATCCGAAACTCACCTGGAGGAACTTGGTCACGGTGAAGGGATACGCAAACGTTGCCTGGACGCCCGGAGGGACGGTTGCATTCCCAAACTCCTGCTCCAGGAAAACGCTGGTGATGATTGATACGTAGAAACAACTCTCAAACCTGGACAGTGAAGTTCTGGACCAAGTACTTGTGATCAAACGGGAGGTGAAGAGTTCCCCGGATGGAGTTCACTTTGACAGCAGCGTCCCCTGGAAGGAACACGAGAGTGACTGAGAAACCAACAAACCCTGTGTGTAGCTTACCAGTGTTGCCGATCCCGACGAGAATCTCGGCGGTCGCTCCAGCAGGAACTACTGCAAAAATTCCACAGCACCATGGTTAGCACGGAGGAGCGTGGCATGGATCTCAACAAGCTCTTTCACGTTTTTGCGGATTGTTTGGAAAGTGGTAGACCGTGTCGACTCCAGCCGCTGGGCCGACGGTATCGAATGCGTCAATCACGCCCTCGTCCACGACTCCAACCTCATCGCCAGCCCCGGGCGACGAATCCACGTCGCTCCCTTCCTCCAATTCGGCCCTGGATCGAGCTGCAAAACAAAATTCTCTCGAGTCAAATTCGGCCAGATCCAATCCGGCCCCGATCTGTGTCACCTGGGAAGCAAGCGATGGCAGCGAAGACGAGGAGCGCCAGGACGAGCAGCCAGCCGCATCGCGATCGCGCCATTCTTTGTCCTCCCCAGCCGCAAACCCTAAACTCTTTGCCCGGCGACCGTCGGATGAGATTCTAGTGCCACGTCAGCTTAGAACCCTAGCGCGAGAGGGAAGAGAAGCGCGATGGCGATGGAGGGCGATGGAGGAGGAGGCGACGCGAGCGGCAGCGCTGGAGTGGCCGCCGGCGATCAGGTGGACTTGGAAGCGTACGCCGGCTTGTATAGCGGGCGAACCAAGGTGACCCGCCTCTTCTTCATAGCCGACCATGCCAAGTCTCACAACTTGGAGCTGGAAGCTCTGCGGATGGCGCACAACGAGATACGCAGGGCCGAGAACACGCTGCTCTACAAGGAGGTGGTGGACAAGATTGGAGGCCGCCTGGGGGCCGCCTACGCTCGCGACCAGGAATGGGTCGACGTGGTCGATCGCAGGGCCGTGCAACGCCAGGAGAAGCTCGACATGGAGCTCAATGGCTACAAGGTACCGCTCGATCGAGCAGTCCTCTTCTCTTTCTTTTCTTTCTCGTCTCGTAGGAACTAAGATCTCTCTTTGGATCGTTTCCTTGCGCAGACCAATCTCATCAAGGAGAGCATTCGCATGGGCTACAATGATCTGGGAGATTTCTTCTACAGCCGTGGAGATCTCCAGCAAGCTTTCAAGTGCTACGTCCGGACTCGCGACTACTGCACCACCTCCAAGCACATCATCGCGATGTGTCTCAACGTCATTCTCGTCAGCATCGAGCTCGGCCACTTCGTGCACGTCTCGAACTACGTCTCCAAGGCCGATCAGACGCCGGACATCCAGGATCCCATCATCCTCGCCAAGCTCAAGTGTGCGGCCGGGTTGGCGTACCTGGAGAGCAAGAAGTACAAGCTCGCAGCTCGCAAGGTAGGCACTCTTTTCATTCGCTCCTCGGCCAACCTTCTTTCCAGTTCGTAGAGACCAACTTCGAGATTGGTAACAACTACTCGGAAGTCATTGCGCCCCAGGACGTTGCAACTTACGGTGGTCTCTGCGCTCTCGCCTCCTTCGACAGGGCCGATCTCAAGGTTCGTGCTTTGTGTTTTTTTACTAGGACCAGCCACCGTAACTCTCATCCTTGCAGAGCAAGGTGATTGATAATGTCAACTTTAGAAACTTTCTGGAGCTGACACCGGAAGTGCGAGAAGTGATTCATGATTTCTATGCGAGGTATCTCTATGGATCTCTTAAGGCTGAGGGAAGAAATCTTTTGTGATCTTTGCTCTTTTCTTTTTCCAGTCGCTATGCGTCATGCCTCAGCTGTTTGCAAAAGCTCAAGGGCAGCCTAGTGCTGGACATTCATCTCTACGATCACGTGGAAGCGCTGTACGAGCAGATCAGGCACAAGGCTCTCATCCAGTACACGACGCCGTTCATATCGGTAGACCTCAACACAATGGCCAACGCATTCAAGACCAACGTGTCTGGCTTGGAGAAGGAGCTTGCGGCCTTGATCATGGAGGACCAGATTCAGGTAAGCTAGATGGATGGTTTTTTAGTTTCTTACTCTTCACGTTGTTGCCAGGCCCGGATCGACTCCCACAACAAGATTCTCTACGCTCGCCACGCTGACCAACGCAAGGCATCGTTTCAACGCGCCATGCAAACAGGCTACGACTTCCAGCAGGACACGCGCGCAATGCTGCTGCGAGCAAACCTGGTGCGCAACGAGTTTGTCATCAAGGGGGGAGGAGGAGGCAACAAGAACAAGGATTGACAGTCTCTGCTTTCTCCCGGTTAAGTTCGTTTTCCCTTTCTGCTTTCTAGCATTGGTAGAGCTAGTGTGAATATAGAAGCGAAAGGGAGCTCGCGAGAGCTCGCTTTGACGAATGGACTGTCAAGAGATCACTGAAGTATCGTTGCCAACGTGTGGATATGGATCCAGGTACAGGCCGAACGAGGCAACCAGTGGTGGCGCAGCTCGGGAGTCGAGGATGACAAGCTTGACGAGCTGAGCCTTGACGATCAGCTTGAGCCGATGCAGCCTCTTGTAGCCGATGGTGGTTCCTTGTGCGACGGTCGTCCACCCCCTGGTGACGCTGAGTACGTCGACACGGTGGTAGCGAACTCTCTGGCCCCAGGCAATGGCCTCTTGGATCCTCACCAAGTTGAAGAGCGTGGGCTTTCCCAAGTCGAGCATGAGCCATCCAGCGGCCTCTCCCTCGCGCGGCGACCAGAAGGAGGAGATGTCCGGGGTGAGAACTTGGTGGGGGCCGTGCTCGGTGCTGTAGGCGCTGCTGGCGGTGACCGAGAGAGGCGAGGCGGCCAGGTTGACGGAGAAGATGGTGGTGATGGCGGTGCTCAAGGCGCGGAGAGTTTTGGAGTCCTCGTCCGAGATGAGGCCGGACGAGTTAGGCGGAACGTTGAGCAGCAGGACGCAGTTCCGGCCCACGGAGGTGTAGTAGATATCGAGCAGGCTCCACAGATCTTTCGGACGCTCGCTCCGGTGCCAGAACCATCCCGTCCGGATCGAAACATCACACTCGGGTGGTACCCAGTCGCTGCCGTGCTCGTCCCCCTGGTTGAGATACCTACAAACAAGAACAGCCAAGGATGATCAGATCCAGCTCGTCACCAGCAACTTGACAACTTACTGCAAGATGGGGCCCGAGTTGCCGATCTGGATGCTGCTCCTCCGGACCATGGACCAGCAAGTTGCTCCGGCCCGGCCTTGCTCGTCCCCGACCCACCTCGTGTCCGGCCCCGCGTCCGAGAAGATGAGCGCTCCCGGCTGGAGCTGATGGATCGTCTCAAACCATTCGTCAAACTTATACTCCATGCTGATGTTGCCTTTTGCGCCATCCAGCCACACCTCCGAGATGTTGCCGTAGCTACACACAATACAGAGACCAAGTTAGTTATCTCTACGACCACCATAGCTGGAAATGGTGTTCCACTAACTTGGTGAGGAGCTCTCGCATCTGGGCGAGGTAGTACTTGTTGTAGTCGAGCGTGTTGCCGTAGCTGGGCTCGTGGCGGTCCCATGGCGAGAGATAGAGGCCGAGATCAATGCCGGCCTCGGCTACCGCGTCGGCGAGCTCGCGCACTACGTCTCCTTTACCGGATCTCCAGAAGCTGCTGGCCACGGAGTGATTGGTGTACTTGGACGGCCACAGGCAGAAGCCATCGTGGTGCTTGGTGACGAGCACGACGAGCGTGAATCCGGCGTCCTTGGCCACGCTCACCCATTGCCTTGCGTTGAGGTGCGTGGGAAAGAAGAGTCGCGGGTCCTCGAGCCCGGTCCCCGTCTCGGAGTCGGTGAAGGTGTTCATGCCGAAGTGGAAGAAGATTGATCGCTCGCGACGCTGCCAGTGGAGCTGCTTGGACGATGGGATTGGAAGCACGGGAAGTGGTGGTGGTGGTGGTGGTGACGATGGAAGTTTGGAATCGCTCGCTGCTGCAATGACGAGCAAGCTCGAGCACAGCACGAGCAGGCAGCTCATGATCTAGCGGACGCAAGTTTTGGAGCTCGTGAGGACGATGCTCGCTCGCGGCCTTAAGTGTTGGTGACAAGCAAGGTTGATGCTCTACGTACGAGACAACTTAGAATATAGGACGTAGGTGACCAACAAGATATCCAGATTGGCTCTCGCTCGCTCGCTCGTTTTACTCCGGAGGTCTTCCATGTCTCCAAGAACAATGTGGATTCCACGCGATGGTTTTTTCCTTTTTCGTTTTTGTTCTACGCGACCGATACCGATCGCCCACCCGTATCGCGTGTTTTCTAGCGCGGCGTCCGGAATCTTTCAACCCGGCCAGAGTGGAAGAGCCAGGCGCCAAGACATGACAGGCTTGCTGCTCGCCACCACGTACGTTTCTCGCGCATAAACTACGTGCTCGTCACATCTTTTCACAGAATTCCATCCAGCACTGGCACCGCTCTATCCGATCACGATCACGCAGGCGAGACAAAGCCACTCTTTAAGCTGATGATCCTTCCCAGCGCCAAGAACTACGACTAAAGTAATGAGGCAATTATGTTACAGGCAAAAATTTCCACACCGGACAGCATTGTCAAGAAGTAGAAACAAAGGGATGCGATATTGATGCTGCTCAATCCATATAGTAGAGTGTGTGTGTGTGGGTGATCGAGTGATCATGATCGATCAGCCCGACTTGAAGAGCAGCACTGCGACTTGGCCCAAGTAGAAGTAGATGAAGTGCTTGGTCTCGTGAGTCACGTATGATCCTGTTGTCAAAGAGCGCCCAAGAGAGAGAGAGAGAGAGAGAGAGATCAAAAGAGTGTTGTCATGGAACAAGAACTTGTTTGTCTACGTACCAAAGTTGCGGCCGACGATGCAATGCCATGTCGGGTTATACTTTTTATCGAATTCCTTCTTGATGTAGGCCGCAATGTCCTTCTCCACATTGTACTTGTCCAGGGCCTGGGATGGAAAAGAAGCAAGGCGACGAGGATGAGAGATTCACCAAAGATTTGGGAGATTTGCGAGTCACCTGGGACGCGCATTCGATGGAGTCTTGCTGCATATCCTCGGTCATGTCCGCATTCTTGATGATTGCCTTGCGCTCCAACACGGCCGACTTCTCCACGATCTTCTCTGACATTGTTGTGGCCACGAGCAGTAGCGCGCGCGCGCGAGCGAGAGCGAGAGAGAGAGCGCGAGACGAGAAAACCCTAAAAACTGACACGAGAGGGAGCGAGAGAGAGAGCGCCACAGCCAACAAACTGTCCCCTCTTTCCCCTCGCTCGCTACCTCTACAACGACCTAGATCCGACGTGGCACCCTCCACGTCAGCACCGTCCACCTCAGCACCCGGAATCTTCTTCCCATTCACACACGGGATATGCCGCCTTCGTCTAGCTTACAATCGTTTCATCCTCGCGCCTTGGAGATCGACAAGATCACTGAACAGGCTGTTGCTGCTGCTCGGCGTCGCGCTGCTCGACATCGCCGTCGGCTTCTCGGCCTGCTGCTGCTGCTTGGGCTGATCGAACAGCGCGGCGTATGGGTTGTGCATGTGTTCTTGCTCTGATCGATCCTCGTCCCACACTGGCCTGTGGTGCTGGAAAAACTGCTGGCGCTGGGAGTTCTTCTGTGGCGGCGGAGGGAGAGGTTGCGGAGTTGAAGTCGCAGGCGCGGCGCCGTTGGAAGGCTGCTTGCGCAAGGCGAACGGGTTGATGTTCTCCTCCGGCTCCTCCAACTCGTCCAGGCCATGCGTGTGTAGCACAGCAGCTTTCTTCGAGTCACTCGCGGCTCCACCAGCGCCGAAAGCTTCGCCGCTGAGGAGATCTTCACTCGTTGGTTTCGTCGACTTGTTGTTGGAAGGAGGCTGGATTCTCGTTTGCGGGACTGGAGGGCCGGGAATCCGGACGAGTTGAGGGGGAGCGCTTGGTTTCGGAGCAGGCTGATCCGAGTTTTGCCGGCTTCTGCGAAGGCGGCGTGTCAAAGCTGAGCTTTTGGAAAGAGAGAGCGAACCTGCGAGCAAGCCGTGCGAAGTCATCTTCGCCTTCCTCCTCCACGCGTGGGAAAACAGGAGCAGGCGGAGCCTCTGGCTGTTTTCCCGCGGCCGGAGTAGCACCCGACGCCATTGCGTCACGCTTGGCAAGGACTTTCTGCAAGTCGTCGTTCAAGGAAAGAGCCTGAAACAAGAGTGTCTCGTCGCTGGAAACCAAAACACACTGGTCAGCCACTGAGTCGTTCCATAATACGTATTAGCAATCTCAACTCACGACGTGGTGCTGACGAGATGCATGACTTGCTTCTGCGTCCGTTGGCATTGCTCCACAAGCTCCACAATGAGCTCCTCCCTCAAAGCCTGTAGAAAACCTTTGTGGTGTTACGGCCTGCCATCCAGTAAGAGAACAGACTATACCGATTTATCTCGAGGATCGATCGCGTTGAGCATCTCCGAGAGAACCTCCATCCCGCTCCTTGCACTGTCAAGGTCCGCTAAGCTGCAACAAAGAAGAAACGATCTCTTGGATAGAGCACCAGAGAAGAAAGCTTTGGACGCACCTCAGGCGCTGGATATCTACGTCCAGTGGTGGCAATGGCGGCTCCGGTGATGCTGCTGCTGCTACAAATCCCGGGGCTGGATATGCAGTGATAGGATGCGACTGAGGAGGAGTGAAGATAGGCGGAGCATCTTGACGCTGGGGAAAATCCACTCCCGACCGTCTGAGTTCATCATACGCGGAAAAGAACTGCGGGTACCTTCCTCTCTGGCCACCAAATGCCTCTTGCCACGAATCCAGCAAGCCGAGTATCTTCTCTCGCACGCTCAAGTCGCCCTGCGCGGTCCAGCACGCTTGAGACGAGCAGCAAAAGCTACACACGAGACATTCTCGCTTACCCTCTTCTTGACAATCTTCACCATCTCGTGCAAAACATCCTTCTCGGCAACTTGCTGGTGGACAGCGTCTCCGCAATTCTTCACCAGAGTCTCCAGGACCTGTGAAGGACAATAGAAATGACCGACTGGAACCGATAGAATAGAGATTTCGCGCGGCTTACGGTGAGAGTGAGGAGCTGGACAGTCGGATTCTTGTGCGCCAGCCGCTTCCTGGCCGCCTTGACAACCTCCTTTGCTTGCCTGCGATGGAGAGAGCCCGCAATGAATCGCAAAACAAGCAATTGGGTCGACACATACCCTGGATCATTGTTGAGCGCGTCGCAAATCTCCAAATTCCTCCCCCAATCCGGGCCGATGAGCAGATCGCTGGTCGCCTTGTCCACGAGCGATGCCACGGACATTTCTCCAGCACAGCGCAGCGCAGTCGAGACAAGCACACACGAAGAACAAAACCCTAAGTATCCCCGCAACGCGGAATGCCCAGAATATTCAAACCAAAAGAATAAAAAGTTTTCTATAGGCTAACTCTCTGTCTCTCTCTCTCTCAAGTTCTCACTCTCTCACTCACTCTAAGTTCTCTCTCTCACTCGCTAAGTTCTCTCTCTCACTCTCTCTCTCTTTCGCGATTTTCTCTGCGAATTTTTCTCACTCCCTGCGATCTTCCTTCTGCCACTCTCTGCGATCTTCTCACACTCCTCACGCAACGTCTTCAACTTCCGAATTGAATACAAAGCTCGGGAATGCTGTCGTGATATCTCTACACACAGAAACACAGTTGAGTGGCTGGCGCTGGGCTCACAGAACACTATCATCAACACCAGAATTGAAAAGAAAGCTGGGGAATGCGGTTGTAAGGTTCCTGCAAATATCCCACCACACACATCAACCAAGCCATCACGGGATGCAAGCAAGCAAGCAAGCCAGCGAGCGAACTAGCAAGGACGCAAACTAGAAACAATGCTGCTAGTCCCAACTAATGAGTGCTTTTCCAAGTAGAGTGTGTGGTGAGCTTACTTGAGGTACGGCAGCGTCATGTTCTTCATGAGCGAAGGATTCCTCAGCACGAAGTTCTGCCACTCCTCCTTGTCAATTCGACTGTCGTTGTTGGTGTCGGCTTCCGCAAACGTCTGCATCACAAAAGAAAAAGAGACAATAGCTTATTTAGCGTACGAAGAAGAAGAGCGATCAACTTCTCGACCTTATCAAGAATAGTTTCGATGACGTCGTCGGAGAGCTTCATATCCGACTCTGATAACAAGGCGATTAGCATCTGCTTCACCTGCAGTTTGATCTTAGTTTTCATCTGAATAGCATCTTCACATGCTTTGCTAGTACCTCTTCTCGTTCGATGAAACCGGTCCTGCGCAGATCATACAGCTGGAAGGCAACTGCAAAAGGAGAAGAAAACAATCATGAGAAAACAACGCATGAGTTGAACGAGTTATCCATCTTACAGTCGATCTTGTCTTCCAGCGGTGCATTGGGGTGGAACACGCTGAGGGAGCGCACGAACTCCCCGAAATCGATCACCCCGTTTCTCTTCACATCGAAAAGGTCAAACACCTGCAGGAAGAGAGAGAAAAAAAAAGAAAAGAACTTGTCAAAAGGAGCAAACACGAGTGGAAAAAGAAAAAAGAAACAAGTACCCGATCTGCGAACAAGTTCTCCTTCTTGCTGTTCTTGAAGAGCGCCAAGCGGAATTCCTCCTGAAGTGAAGCCGAGCGAGATCTAAGCGAGCCCAAGAAGAAAAATCGAATCACACACCTTGTGGATGAGGCCATCGTCAATGACGGAGCTGCTGATCTTCTTGAAGAGCTCATACAGCGCTTCGATCTCACTCACGCTGACTGGAAGAAGCCACCGCATTTTAGCAGGGAAAAACGCGGCAAATGATCAAACTCACAGGTGGTATCACTGGCCAGAGCTACAGGATCTTCGTACCCGGCCGCGTGCTGCGAGGGCTTCGAGTGGAAGCAGCCCATGAGAGCGCCAGCAGCATGATCGAGCGCGAGAAAGAGTGCCAAGGCGATCCTCGCCACGAATTGCGTCACTCCGCCTTCTACTATGGACAATGCAGAGCCTGGCAAGCCAGAATTTAGGGCATGGGGGCGCGGAGGGAGGAGGCGGCGCTCGAGATCTTACCACCGCCATCGCTCTTGCCGGCTTGTTGCATTCGCAGCTCCCCACCATTCTTAGGGTTTATCCCAAGCTTTTAAAATGTTATACGTAACAAAGTTCTTCCTTGTGTTCTTTCTCTTTGTTTCTTCTCTTTGTTCTTGCGCAGAAGAGAGAAGAAGAAGAAAATCTTTCTAGTAGCCTCCTCGCTGCTGCTTGCATTCAAACGCGCGGTGGCCAGATTGCCCGCATTTGTAGCAAGCTCCATCAAAATTTCCACCGCCGCCACCGCCGCCACCCCATGATCTACTACTGCTGCTCCTCGACTCGCCGAATCGAGACGACGAAGAGAAACTCCTACCATTGCTCGAGTATCTTCCTCCTCCTCTGGAATCGTCAAACCGGCCAAACGCTGGCCTTCTTCCGCCGCCTCCTCGGTCGCCTCCAAAGGAGCTCCCGTAGCTCCGCCGGCCGCCATCGTCCCAGGAATCTTGGAGGCTTGGAAGCTGCGAGAGAGAGCCATGCAATGTTGGTGAGAGATCAAACGAGTGAAGAAAAAGAAAAACCTCTTTGATCGCCTCGATCCTAGTGCCGGAAGGCATCGACTTGGAGAGGAGATCCGTTGCTATGTGCTCCGGAAGATCGAAAACAGCACCCTCAACCTGTAAAGCACGCAGCGAGAGAAAGTTCTTGAGCTGGAACAACTTGCGATCTCACAAACTCACATTTTTCTCGTCGATCATCTGGACTTTTCCAATGTTGTCCGCGGCCTTCTCGGACAGGCTAGCGATGGCTCCCACGACGTGCCGCACAGCGAGCGGGAAGTTCCCGGGAGCACGGGAGAACTTGAGAGTCATGTATCCCTGGAGAGAGCACCATGAGTTAAAGAACAAGCACGAAACGAAAGCTTACCGCCTCGAGGGAGATCAAAGATCGCTGCTCGGGTGGCTGGCTGAAGCCACTCATATGAGCAATCGCGGCTGCAAACGCGGCCGTCCCATGCTCGTCCAAGAGCTTCTCCGCCGTGGCCATGAAGACTTGCTTGAGATCCGGATGGACACCTTTGATGAGCTCCACGGCTTGCGAGGACGACGCCGCGAGCACCTCGTCGAAATGCGGCATGCTCTTGAACTGGAAGCTGCAGCCGACTTGTCGCTCAAAGTGTTTCAAGATCCTCCTCTCTTGCGGAGAGAAGAAAACCAGAGCGCTGCCATCCTTGCCGGCCCGGCCAGTTCGACCAGATCGGTGGACAAACGTCTCCGAGTCCCGTGGCAAGTCGTAGTGTATGATCTGCGCAGAGGTTTGATCATAGCTGATACTTCTGGAGATGTTCTCGAGAGCTCTCGAGGAAACAAAACGAAACTTACAAGGTCTACGTCCGTGATGTCCAGGCCTCGCGCAGCAACATCCGTCGCGACCAAGATGAGGAACCTCCCCTCTCGGAAAGCTGCCAAGGTCTTCTCCCTTTGGAACTGTGCGATATCCCCGTGCAAGGCCTCGCAACCGAGAGTTCTGTTCATTGCCATGGAGACTTCCTCAGCATCCCGTTTGGTCTGCGTGAAGACAATCGTCTTGCCTCCCTTGCCATACACCTGAGATCACACGATTCAACAGAAATGAGAAAACGAAAACGAAGAAGAAGATATAAACGCATCATAGTTACCGTGATCACGTCGCTGAGGATCTTGCGTTTCGCAGCTTGTGAAGTCTGGACAGCATACAACTTGATACCCTCGGCAAGCTTCTCGTCGGACTCGCCAACCTGAAAAACAAAGTCTACGTTAGCTAAGAGGATCGCCACTGCTTTCGCGACGACTACGTACCAGGTCGATCGTAAGCGGCTTGTTTAGAAACTTTCTCGAGAGCTTCTGGACCCAGCCCGGCATGGTCGCGGAGAAGAGCATGTTTTGACGCTTCTCTGGGAGCTGCTCCATGATCTTCTCCACGTCCTCCTCGAAGCCCACGGCGAGCATCTGGTCCGCCTCGTCCAGAACCATGCACTCCACTTGACTGAGATCCAGGCATCCTTGCTCCAGCAAGTCGATGATCCGGCCGGGAGTTCCCACTGCAACATCGACACCGCGAGAGAGCAAGCGCTTCTGAGACATGATGGAAACTCCGCCATAGACGCAGACTGTCGCAAGCTCTTTGCCCGACTCCATGAACTCGGTCTCCACCTGCTTGGCAAGCTCCCTCGTCGGAGCCAACACCAAGGCCGCCGGACCTCTGAAAGATCTCCTGCGAAAGCCATGAACAAGAAAAGTTCGCGTTATCAACCAAAGTTCTAAGATATGATCGTAGAGGAGCACCTTTGAGACTTGCTTCGCGAGCGATAGATGCGATCCATGATGGGAATTCCAAATGCCAAAGTTTTCCCTGTGCCAGTCTTCGCTCGAGCAATGAGGTCGACGCCCTTCATCGCTGGTTGGAACACGGCTCGCTGTTGCACAAGCCGGGATAGGACTTAGAAACTTAGAACTCTCTCTCTCTCTCTTTCTCTCACGCTTGAGATCTCTCTAACTCACTTGAATCGGGAACAAGTGCGTGATGCCTCGGTCCGCAAGGTGGCCAACAATCTCCTGCGAAACTCCCAGCCCGGCAATCGCAAGCTCATCATCAGCCTTGCTCTCACCTTGGACACCATCCTCTTCTTCCTCCTCCTCCTCCGAATTGGAGTGCTGGGACAACTCGCTATCATCCACATAGAGAATCTTACCATCCTCCTCCTCACTCTCATCCGTTTGCTCGTCTTCCCAAGTGGTAGTCACTCTCTTCCGAGGCGCGAAGTCTGTCCTCACAGCCGAGACCTTCCACTCCTCCGCGGCTGTGACCAATCGAGGAGCCCTGGTGGAGCCATAGCCATGCTGCTGCTGGAGCAAAGAAGCACGCAACCAACAGGGCGCCGCCCTGCTCGCTCCTCCTCCTCCTCCACCTCCATCGCCAAGCACTTGCAATGCAGGAGCTCTAGACGCGCCCGCGCCGGCAACCAGCGCCATTCTTCCTTGCTACACTACACCCTACACTATCACTAAGTAACAGCCTTAAACCCACAACTCCAAGATAGATAGCTCGATTTCTGGGTCCTCGAGGGGCCACGTAGGAACTCATGATCTTACGGACTAAACCCCGAGAGTTTGGATCAAAGATCAAAGATCAAAGATCTGGATCGCAAAAAAATATCTTTTTTCGATCAGGTGGTGACCACAGCAGCAGCAGAATTGTTGTCCACGAGAGCAGCACGAGAAGGAGGAGGCTGTTGCTGATCTTCGCCCCAGTGCCAGAGCATACTCTCCCAGTAGCAAAACTCCTCGAAACACGTCCGGAGCCTCGAGTCCCTGATCTTGATCCGCCAGTGCCCGTCCGGGAAGCGCTGCTGCTCGGCCTGCCGCCTGTCCCACTCGAGGCTCGCCTTCTGCTTGCTGCGGAGGAGGCAGTAGCCCTGGAGCTTCTTGCTCATGCTGTCGTGAACTCTCCACCAGCGAGCGTGCGCGGCATCGTTGGCGTACTCGTGCAGCTTCTGCTGGTTCCAGTTGCAATCGTAGTCGCGGAAGCACAGCCACGGCTTGAGGCCGAGGAAGTGCATCGCGTACACCACCGGTGGCTCGCTTCCCAGCAGCTCCAACCTGTGCGCGAGCTCCTCGCTATCGTTGAGGCCGAAGTGCTTGAGGAAGTTCATGTGCTTGGGCAGTCTGTGCCACCAGGTGTACACCTCGTTCAAGTATCCCTGGTCGCCACCGTTGTACGATTCCACCTCGTTGATCTGCTGCATGAGCATCTCGAACGTGCAGTTGGATGGCTCGATCACCATGACGCCCGAGTTGAACATGCTCTCGTGGTTTCCCGTCGCGGAGATCTCCGGCATCTGGAAGAGGAAGTCCATGTTGCGCAGCAGGATGATGTCCGCGTCGATGTATATCAGCTTGTGGTACTCGGTCAGCTGCCATAGCCGAAACTTGCTGTAGTTCCACTCGTTGTATGACTCGGGCTCCGCCTTGGGGTTCCGTATCCTCTGGATCTGGATCACTCTCCACCCGGCTGCCTCGAGCCCCTCCCTGTGATGCGGATGGATGTTCTCGTCAACCAGGATGACAAGGTCCCGCTTGGACCCGCTCATTCGGATGCTCCGAGCGAGCGAGATGGCGCCACACACGTAGAACTGTGCCGAGTGGAGGATGGTTGCGTAGGCTTCTCGTGACGCATGCTTGCGGGGTGCACGCCGGTTACCTGCAATCTAGAGCACGATCAGCGGCTTTCCGACGAGAAAAAAGAAGAAGAAAAAAGCAGAAAAGACTGCTACGTAACGTGACGTACCCGTTATCGGCACCGAAAGTTGGCATGATCCAGGAGGAAGCGCGAGAGTCTTCTCGAGCCGCTTGAGGTCGGCTTTGAAGAGCCAGAAACTCCCTTGGTGGCTGACAAGCTCGCGGCAGGGGAAGATGTTTGGAGATGGCCTGCACTCGTCGTCGAGAAGCACGTATGTGTAGCCTTGTTGACGCTGGCCGGTGTCGAGAGCAACTCTAGCTGCGACGAGGAGCGTGTGTAGACGCTTGACACTTCTCGTCCAGTCTTTCGGATCCTTGGCTCGATCACAAGGCACCTTTGCAGCCACAAGGTGCAGGTTGAGGTTCTTGTGCTTCGTAGGCATTGGAAAGTGTGGGCATGTCGGGGTGTTCCAGCGCTCCTCCTCGTCAATCCACTCGGGGTAGAGGTCGGACCAGCTGGTGTTCTCGGAGACAGCCTCAAAGCGTATCAACCTGGGCGTCTCTCCACCGCTGAAAACCTCCCACGGAAGAGTGCTCGACTTGTCGTCGAAATTGACGAGGCCAATCTTGAGAGCTCCACCCACGTCCAGGCTGCTTCTCAAGGCCGTCAGCTCGCCAGTGTCTTGCAGCCAGCGCAAGAGCTTCTCGTCACTGGTGTTGCGCAAGGACCCCCGGACCTGGAAGCTGGAATGGAAGAGAGCAACGATTCAAACGACTCCTATGAACAAGATAGAGAACTTGGTACCTCGAGTCTTCAGAGCGCGACGTTCCTCTTCTGGTAGACGTAGGAACGAAAAGAATGGTCATGGATGCTGCCGCAAATAACAAGACTACCAGGAGCCGAAGAGCAAAGCTTCTTATCACAGGCAGCGCCACCCCGCCGCCGCCACCACCTCCTCCTCCTCCTCCTCCTCCTGGTTGTGAGATATCATCCTCGTCGGCCTTCTTCTTGTCATTGGTGCGCTTGCGCTGGAGCTCGGCATCCCTGGCAAAGCCGCAACAACACAAGCATTTCAAACCGCTAGCCTAGAATCCCATCAAGGAGTACTCACACGCCTCCATTCTGGCGATAGCGCCGGGCTTCCGGCCTCATCTGACCTCGCTGCGATCGATCGAATCGCCGGCGGCGCGCCGCGATTCGCGATCAAGCCTCCATTGCCATACCTGTGGAAGGGAAGGAATACCCGCGGATCGATCAACCCTAGCTACTGGGCGGCATTAGAGGCGGTGAGCGAGGAAGGAGTCTCTCTCTCTCGCGAGTAGTGCGCGTTCGTCTCTTTGTTACCGGCTAGGGCCGGTCACCCGGGATGGGCACTTGGCATAAAACTTAAGTATGAGAAATCTTACGTGGAGTAGGGTACAAGCGGCGCTGTGCTGCCAGCATTCCTTCCTTTTGATTTAATTCGCTTTGGTGGTGGTGGTGGCCCGGCTCTATTAATTTGCTAAGATCGAGATTGGAAGCTATGGCATTCCCATCCGATGTTGTTTGGTGGCTGTGTCCCGGAATAACCGTCAATCCATCCACGACCTACCGTGATGTTTCGATTTGACTAAATTCCCTGTCATAGCAAAGAATTCTAGTCCAATAGGCTTAAGTCATGGCGCATTGACCGACCATGGAGTTTGTATTAGTTGGAAGATACCACCTAGTTTCCCCTCTAGCTGATTTTCTCGTTGTATAGCCTATTCTCTTGAAACGAAATCGGGAGAAATATGGACGATCCTGATCATAAAAGTGAACATCGTTGCCACCGCTGTCTTGTCCCGGGCTCAAGCTCGCTGGGCTTCGCATTGATCCCGCATGTATGGTGATTTTAGTTGCTTTTCCTTGTCCAAACTTGCAGTTCTATCATAACGCACAGGTAGTCCTTCCTACGTCGGCCCCGGCACGTCGTCCTTCCTCCACGATGGGCTTGTGGGAGTGAACGTCTCGTTACCGGGTTACCAGGATCGATCAACTTTGCAGGGTCTTCCAAGTCGCAGAGTCACTCGTTGGGATGGACAAGGTACCCCTCTAACTTTATACTGGTTGAACTTGCGTAATGGAGTCATCTTTCTCACAGGAGGATGGGACAAGGATTGAGCTGGGACTTTGGGATCACGGACGTGCAAACGCCAGAGAGCTGATTGGACCTCCAAACAACTGCCTTAACACCGTGTTCGATTCGTAAGCCATCATCTTTCAGCATACGTACGTGATGCTGATTGTGTGCATTGTTCCAAGCGCTCGGGGTCCTCCACCCAAGGAACCACTCACATCGCCATTTCCCACCTCTCATCAACGACCGGACGCACCAGGACCTTTTGGAGCGAAGACGTCGTCGATTGGTATGCTACCAGCGAGCTCGTGACCACGTCGGGAGATGTCAATCGGCTGGTTTCTTTGGGGTGTGATGAGAGCAGGACGAAAAGAATTTCCTTCTTTCGAAATGTGTTCTACAGGGTGGAAACTCAGGAGGGAGAAAGAAACATGTCTATACTAAACCCCACGCCAGCACTCTTCACTCTTTACTCTACTTGCAGATCTCGCAAACAAGCATCTGTTGAGGGATGGGACTCGCGCATGACTGGTGATACCAACTCTGGCACACCGTGCACTCTATCCCGTCCCCTTCAGGCTTCCCACATTGTAAACAGGCTCCTTCCTCTTCAGCAAACAAAGGTTGTCCCTCCTTAGCAGCAAGCTCCATATCTTCCATCACCTGCTTCAGCTCCAGGCAATTATGAGGAACAACATCTGCTGTCTCAGGTCGACGGAGAATTATCCGATTCCAATGCTTCAAGTCCTCCGTTGAAAAAGAGACCCGTCCATTTGGTGTACGCAAAACGTTCCCATTTGCATCCTTCATAGGCACCTTGAGCTTGATATACGGCATCTGGGAGTTGCCTTCGGGAGTGACGAATAGGAAGATGGGTTCCCTCCCACAAAGCAGTCTGCATTTGTCAACCAACGAATCATAATCGGACTTCCACATGGGCGACCCACTCTTGGAACAAGTTACTTGAAGCAGATACTTAAACCTACCAGCAAGCGCGTCCACCAGCGGATAGCTCTGGCTCGGAAGAAGAACATACTTGTCCATGTCCCTGGTGGTAAAAGGGAAATTGTTGCCATAGTGATGCTTGATTGTTGCCGGTGGAAGGATGATAATGCTACCATCAGCCAACCGGAAGTCCCCTCCTCTACGTAGAATGGAATGAGCGAAGTCCTCAAAGACACCTCTAGCAGCTGCAACAAGTCTTGGAACAAAAATAGTTTTGCTAACGAGCTCCAGTCGCTTATTCACCTCGGACTCATAAAACAGTTCGTTAAAGCGCCTCAGGCACCAGGAGGAGACAAACTCCACTCCACCAATGTGCTTCATGTCATGGTCGGGAATGTCCAAGAACACACGGTGGTAGGTTGAGAAGTTCTCTGCCAGATTCTCGTAGTAGTAAAACACCGCACGATTTGCATTCTCTACCACCCACTTGAGGTCGCTCTTGAAGTTACGGACAATACCGCCACAGATGAAAACCCGAGCCATGAAATTTGCAGCACTCGTGAAGCCTGGGAGACTCCCCAAGCCCTTGTCCGCCTCTGCTAAAGTGTATCCAGTCCTCTGCAACTCGTCACCCAATGTCTTGTTCCACAACACTAGAAGCTCTGCGGGCTTCTACGCGCACATATGCAGCTCTGTGAAGTATTGCTCGTCCATAGTCTTTTCTGCCTCCACAGCACCATTCCGAGAGTTTGGACTGGCAAAGAGCACAGACCGGCCAAAGGAATTCCTTATGCCTGTGAACCTGTCGTCTACCAGCAACCATGTTCCCGGCATTTGAAGGTAGCTTAAAGCAGCATCAAAATCTGGTACCTCGAAGCACTTGCCACTCGGATCGAAATAATACAAGTAGGAGTGTTGGGCCACCACGAGCTGCACTACAATGGCCTGGCGCTTCTCACGTAGCCGTGAAACGAAGTACCACAAACAACATGACTTGCCGATGCCCGGATTGCCAGAGATGTAAGTGAACGTGTACTCCGAGTTGAAAACCTTGTGAAACAGCCTCTTGTACTCAACGCGAACATAGATCTCAGCCTCACTAAATTTGAAGGGTAGACTCAGGAAGCCATCCTTCACGATGAAGTCGCTCTCCCTCAAGCTCAGCTCCGTTGACGTTGGCACTGCAAGCGAACGCACGGTAAGAGGTAAGGATAGAAATGAAGAAAGAAGCCACCCTCCGCTGCAGTAAGATAAGCTTCTCCTTGCGCAGCAGCTGCTTGTCCTTCCATAACCGCTTTACTCTGTCTTGCAGAAACTGCTTATCCTGGGCATCCGCTGTTGATTTCAGGTGCTCCTCAACCTTATCTATTTCTTCTTGGACTTGATCGATTTCCCCTTGGACAATGGAAATCCGATCATCCATCACAGCTCGCTAAAAATATTTGAAAGGCACTTTAGGATTTATAGTTTACAGCAGGTTGGCAGGTGATATTTTCCGCAACCTTCGTCCTTTGATCATAAAAAACTTAGCAGAATAAGAGCTTAAGATCTATTTTTTCAAGACTTCTTGCTTGATCAGAGAAAATGCTCCAAGACGTCAAGAGTATGGAATTCGCGGTTTGTATTTCCGTCTTGTTTTGTAGAACTCCAAGCTTTCCAAGGCGGAGGAGCAGCTATACGAGCATTGGAAGCTAAGAATCAGAGAATGCCACGCTGAAAGTAAAGCCCAGCGAAGACACCAAGCTTTGGAGCAGAGTCTCGTCAGCCTCGTGAAAATCAAGTCCAACAAGGTATCGTCTTTTCATAGTTTTGAAAACCATGTCTCTTCGTTGTCATTTATGTGAACTAGCTGAGGCGACCAAGAAGCTCGAAGCTCGAGACTACCGAGAAGAATAGCGAGTACAAGCAGGAATCTGCGGCTCAGAAGACTGCGGCTTTGGAAAAGATTCGCAAGTTAGAAGCCAAGAAAGAAGACATTGAGAAACACCTCATATTGCAGAAGAACGATCAGGTAATCAGCTTTTTCGTTCAGCCTCTTGCATAAACATAGCGCTGTTTCTTTCTTGCAGGCGATTCTTGAGATGAAACGCCACGAGGTTAGCCAAGAAAGAACAGCCACCGATTGAATCGTTCTCATTTGTTTTTATCCAGATAAACAAACTACAAGGGAGTCACAAGCAAGCTTTGAAACTGGCTTTTGTGAAGCAGGAGGAAGTTCAGTCGCTGTGCAACTGCTTGTTCCGTCCTGTGGCTGATCAAGTCTATGGCGATCCTGAAATGTTTGGCGAGACGAGGCAGATGTGTATAAATTGCATGGTAACAATTTTGTGTGATGCTTTCGACGATGAACTGACGTCTGCTATTTTCTGTTACAGGAAAGAGAAAGAGATCATTTTTCGCAGTTCATTACAGAAGGCTTTACTGTACTGCAACGTGTTCTTTGCGCTCTCTCACGCACCGGTCCCTACGTCGGCCTCGGCAAGTCGTCCTTGTCACGACGGGCTTGTGGTTGATCGTCTCGTTACCGGGTTGCCACCCGGTGCCAGGATCGCGTTTTCTTCCTTCGTTTTCTTGATGCGTCTCTCCTGATGGTAGTCACCTTGCATTCGGGGATGGACAAGGTACTCCTTTCTATCGCATAATGGAATCAAATCTTTCTCACAGGAGGAGTGAGCTGAGACTTTGGATCGCCGACATGCAAATGCCAGCTGCCTTAACTCCGTGTTCGGAACTTCGTCAAGTCATTTGTGATGTTTTCTTGGCTGGCAGAGGCTCACTCTCCAGGGAACGATTTCCTGGCTCTGGGGGACGAAAGAGAGTTTTCCACGAGCTCACTTCCCTCCTCTACTTCGAACGAAGTCCTCAAAGATGATTAACTTGGTAGCTCCAGTCGCTTATTCAGCTCGGACTGAGACATTAAAGCGCCTCAGGCTGACCAACTCCATCCCACCAGCGTGCTTCATGTCATGGTCGGCAAACTTCAGGTGGGTTGAGACATTCTCGTCGTGGTAAACACACCGATCTGCATTCTCGTTGCAGGAACAATACCGCCACAGATGTAAAACTGAACCCTGAAATTTGCACTCGTGAAGCCTGGGAGACTCCCGAAGTCCGAACGTAACATAACACAAGGATCCACATAAATCACAATTTAAGATTAGAAAAATGAAACTTTGTGTTGTTTGGTGTCCACCTTCATGTTTTGATTTGATAAAATTTCCTAGCAAAGAATACCATTGCGTAGGTGTCCAATGGTTTGAGCGCCAATCGCCTTCGTCCGCCCAGAAATGCTGCACAAAAAATCCCGTGTTGACCAAAGGGAATAACCCAACGTTAATATCGCTCTCGTTCTCGTAATTTGTGTAGAGGGATGGAGGAGGATGATGAGCGCAATGCCGGTGCCGCCGGTGCCAGCCGGATCGTAGCTAGCACAACTGAACAAAGAGGAGCTGGCGGGAGATGAGGCCCAGGCGATCAGCACAGGATGCCAAAGATCGAGCTCATGCCTCCTGATTTCCTCAGTTTTTTTCCCATCAGGAACGAGGCTGCCCTGAACGATGATGCAGTTGACAGAATCGCTGTCGCCCAAGGCCGAATCGCTGTCGCCCCTAAAGTATCCAAGAAGGTCGAAGTAGAAGTTTTGGAGAGCTGGAGAAAACGGCGGTTCCAGCACGCAAACGATGCGAGGTAATTGCACTTTCGATTTTTTTTTGGGATGGAGGTAATCCCTTTGCTTCGTCTTGTAGCTAGCATGGACCATGTACGCATCCATCCCAAGTTCCTTCATTCTAATGCAACAAGCCACAAGTGGGCTTTGGGCGGTACTTCATCTAGTTATTCTTTTGTACTCTAAGATCTTGCTCCTTTCTTAGCGATAGTGGAGCTGCTTGACAATGCGCTTGACGAGGCACCACATGGAGCGACGTTCGTGAACATTAATGTTCTCAAGAATCCAGTTGATGGCTCGCCAATGCTTCTGTTTACAAGATGTTGTTTTTTATTTTCTTGTGAGCAACACTTTGTTTGTCAATTCTCGCAACCCAGATGTCTTTTGGGTATACTGAAAAGGATAAAGACAACTACATGATATGTCGTGCTCTCTTTCTTTTTCTTCCTTTTTACTCTGGAAATCTGTTATCAGATGGAAACGGGCAATACAGCACCCCCTCTCTTACGTGGGTGCCTTTTTGCCACGTCTGTAGCGCACCCAGCTCTACACCCTAAATGCTTAATGACTAATTTTAAATTAGTATCGTTAAATTTTAATTAGTAGATGTTGTTAACGGATATATTAAAGACTATAATTTTATATTTAGCCAGTGCATGAACGGTTATAGTATATAACTTACACTTGGTTTAGGTTTTTCCTCATCGTGTTTTATGTTTGTGCTCCTTATATTCTCTTTTTTATTTTATTCACTCTCTTTAGTATTATGGCTAAATTGGAATATGTAGATCTTGCTCAAAATAGTTTCTTTTTCTTTTTTTTGATCTTATTGAGAGAAGTATATTTGATTTGTAATTTTAAATACTTAAAAATAATTGAAAATAATATACTAGAGCAATCTTTAATTTATAGTAATAAGGTGGCATGCCTATGTGGCATACAAATGCAAATAAGCAAATGGGGCACACACTAAATAAAGGGGTGTATTGTGCATTCTACCCCACTCGTTGGTTCACTATAAGTTTTATGAACTTCATGGTTCTTTGAGTTCATTTCTTGTGCCTTGGTGTCATTGTATTTTCAAAATCAAATGCTAAACAATGCAAGATGTATGAGAGTTACTTACTAGAATTTTTTCTATACCAATTTCTGTTACAATACAGGCCTACACAGAGTGTGGGGTTACTTTCTTACACCTTCCTTTGTGACACAATGCAGCAAGATGTCATAGTTCCTACAGTACATAGTAGAGAAATTCCCATAAATTGTATGGGTTGTGAATTCACTTTGTTCTTTAGTTGGATTATGAAGAGCATGGGGTGAGTTGAGAGAGGTCCAAAGAGGTACACATAAGGATTGGGAATATTTCATAGGCACAATCACAAGATGGAGTCCTTATCAATCTGAAGAATCCATTCGTAACCAAGTAAGCACTTTATAGATTTGCAATATTTTATGTTATAGATCTCTGTGATTTCAGTTCAAGAAAATCAAAGACCAAGGCACAAGAATTATCATCTACAATCTTTGGGAGGATGAGCAGTAATGGCTAGAGCTGGACTTTGAATCAGATCCTCAAGTATGCTTTGAATTTTTCCATGGTTTATTTTGCTGATTACCTTCAAGATTATTCGAATTAGGGGTGGTGGAGAACATGCTCATATGGTGGGAAAATATCCTAGTGTAAAACAATTCTTTCTGTACCAAAATTCTCTAATGGTGAGAATGAATATTTTCACTTACTGACATTTATTTTGATTTGCAAATATATGCATCAATTTTGTACTTGCATTTGTCAAAAAAATTCAAAATCACCCTTTGAAACCAAGAGATTTTACACCATAACATTCTACATTGAAGAGGTGGTTTACAAGCCAATGTAGGTGTTTTCTTTTTTTTTTTTCTCTTTGGTTCTTTGAAATTTATGTGTCTTTTTGGGTGTCTGCAATAGTACACCTTGGATTTTTAATGCAAGCGAGCACATAGATGTGCAAATATTCAATATCACAAAAATTGGCTTATAAAGGTAATCATTCGCTCTAAGCATTATTTTTCTCATTTAATCTGTAACAGCCTTTTTGGAGAATCTGGAATCAATCAGGCAGCCAAGGACGAGGTGTCATTGGCATCTTTTTTACATTCTTTCACCGATCTAGGAGTTTTTGGAAGCAAATTTTGTAGAACCTACTCATGAGAAGCAAGGATCAACGTTTAGAGTATCATCTATAGCAAATGCAAAGAAAGTTTTGGTTAATATTCACCTTTTCTGCCATTTTACCTTTATAATGCGTTTTTTACTAACTGTCAGAAAGTGCTACTACTGCTTCTACTACCAGGAAAAGAAAGATGATCCATGAAGTACAGCAACCTCAGATTGCAGAGAGAAGATGGCCTCCAAGGTAGGATTACTCTTTTTTAACATTTATGTTGAATCCTATGTGGCAGCCACATTGACCGTGCCCTCATTGCATCTCCCCATTCAACTTGGATGAAACCTGGCTGCTGGAGGACAAGAGGGGAGAAATTCAGTGAGAATGGAAGGATGCTAGAACGTTCTTCTTTTGTTTGAATTCTTCTAATAAACATTTAGAGGAAGTGCCAAAGATTTGCATTGCAGCAGATCTCATTCCACCCTAAACAGCAAGCGCTGTCAAATGCTAATGTGTGAGTAAATGAGATGATGGCAGGAGGACATACTCGGTCTCAGTGGTTGCCATATAGGATTCATGTTAAAAAAGAGCCATTTTACCATTTATTTCCGACTAGAATGATGTTTCTTCAAGAATTACTAATGCCTCTAAAGCTGAGGAACAGGTTGAACTAACAGATCCACCAGCTGAGAGAGAGACGAATGTTATAGTTATAGTTACAGAGTTTTGTGCGTTTTTTTTCATTACTACTGACTTTTCAGCTTCCCTTTCAAACTGGAGAGGCTGAAGGCAGCCGGGGTTACTCAAAGCCCAGGAGCTGGAAGAAACTGTACTAGCATATTCCAATCTTTTTCAACAAGCAACATCGTGACAAATGAGCTGAGTTGACGGCTATAGCTGAGTTGACATATTCTCGCTGTTCCCGCAAAGAGTCTCCACGTCGAGGACGTAACCTGTGGTCATCCTGGACAAGAAATGGTCGAGCCACAAGACATGGTTAAGCTTTGTGGAGGCGGATTTTGATCCAAAAAGAAAAAATGCATGGGATAAAATTCCCTTTAGTGTGGGTGTCCAACAGGTTTAAGTAATGGCGCATTGTCCAAGCATCGTCTCCCTTCTGCGCCCTCCTCCTCCTCTTGGGCCTGGTCGAGTTTTTTTAGGTCATCTCGGTTCGTGGAGGAGGATACCCATTTCCAGGGCGAGGAGAATGACGATTCATGGCGCTTCTCGCCTTGTCGCTACCAGAGCTGCCGCCGCCACCACCGCCGCCACCAATGGTGACTTCTCCTTCCTTGTTTCCCCTCTCCAAGCTGATTTTCTCCTTGTGTAGCTCCTCCGCTTGGCTACCAGTTGCCAGCACCAGAAATCCGGAGGATTGTGGACGCTCCTCCCAATCCAGCGCTCTCCTTCTCACCCAAGCGCGACAAGATCCTGTTCATGAAGCGCACGTCGTTGCCACCGCTGTCGGAGCTTGCTCGTCCGGAGCTCAAGCTCGCGGGCCTCCGCATTGATCCGGAATGCAACTGTCGCAGCCGCATGTATGGTGATTCTACGTTGCTTTTCCTCGTCCTTGGAGTTCTAACGTGTTCTTTGCTCTCTCTCACGCACAGGTCGTCCTACGTCGGCCTCGGCATGTCGTCCTTGTCCCACGACGGGCTTGTGGGAGTGGAGCGTCTCGTTACCGGGTTGCCAGCCGGTGCCAGGATCAACTTTGTGAGCTGGTACTTCGTTTACTTCCTTCGTTTTCTTGAGTGGCTTGTGCGTATCTCCATCCCAGGTCGCCTGATGGTAGTCACCTTGCATTCGTTCTTTGGGGGATAGACAAGGTACTTTGCATTCTCTACTTACTGGTTTCTCGTGTAATGGAATCCAACCTTTTCTCACAGGAGGACGGGACAAGGAGCGAGCTGGGACTTTGGATCGTGGACGTGCAAACTCTAGAAGCCAGAGAGCTGATTGGACCTCCAAACTACTGCCTTAACACCGTATTCGATTCGTAAGCCATCATCTTCCAGCCTACGTCCGTGATGTTCTTTTCTAACTCACTCTCGCGTCAGATACTCGTGGCTGGATCCCTCGACACTGGTAGCGTGCGTTGTTCCGAGCGCTCGGGGTCCTCCACCCAAGAAACCACTCACCCCGCTAAGTCCCAAGGTTCTCATGAACGAGGAAAAGCGGGTCGTGCAGAACCGGACGTACCAGGACCTCTTGAAGAGCAAGCATGACGAAGACGTCTTCGATTACTATGCTACCAGCGAGCTCCTCCTCGTGTCCACGTCCGGAGATGTTGATCCGCTGGTGCTTGGCGAGGCTGCGGTGTACACCTCCCTGGATCCATCTCCTGATGGAAACTACTTGCTGGTGTCGACCATGCACCGGCCTTATTCTTTTTCGGTCCCCTGCGGCCGATTTCCCAAGAGAACAGAGGTGTGGACGAGATCAGGACGACTTGTACAAGAAGTAGCAGACTTGCCACTCGCAGAAGATATACCAATAGCTCATGACAGTGTTCGTCAAGGTCGAAGGTCCATCAACTGGCGCTCGGACAAGCCTTCATCCCTGTATTGGTAAGAAATGACTGTTTATTTTTTCTTTCTGTTCCTCATGATATGTATATATGTGTTTTACAGGGTGGAAACTCAGGATGGTGGAGATTCGAGGGAGAAAGTATCTCCCCGGGACATAGTGTACTCACTTCGAGTAGATTCCAGTGAAGCACAGGAACCGGAGATTATTCACAAACTTGATCTTCGCTACGGGTACGTATTCTGCTGCTTAAGTCAATCGTTTGTGATGTGTGTTTTTGGCTGGCAGAGGCTCACTCTGGGGTAACGATTCATTGGCTCTGATTTATGAATCGTGGTATAAGACGCGGCAGACCAGGACATGGATGGTTGCTCCTGGTGCACCAGGCACCGAGCCTCGCGTGCTGTTCGATAGATCGTCGGAAGATGTCTACTCAGACCCCGGCTCTCCGGTGTTACGCAGAACCTCGTTCGGTACTTACGTTCTGGCTCAAGTAAAGACGAGTGATGGTAATAGGAATCTACTGCTTGATGGCAACGGGGCAACTCCGGAAGGAAAGATACCGTTCCTTGATCTTCTCAACATGTAAGCTCGTTCACTCGCTGTTGATTTTGCAAACACTTTCTTTGCAGTGATACGGGTGCAAAAGAGCGGATTTGGCAAAGCCAGAAGGACAAGTACTATGAAAAGGTCACGGCTCTCATGTCCGATCAGATAGACGATGATCTCGACGTGGACAAGCTGCGAATGCTCATCTCAAGAGAAAGCCAAACGGAGCCTCCGCAGTACTTTCTTTGGTTTTGGCCCGACAAGACTGCTGTTCAAGTCACAAACTTTCCGCATCCTTACCCGCAGCTTGTCAACCTCCAGAAGGAAGTGATTCGATATCCCCGCTCCGATGGTGTGCAGTTAACAGCAACGCTCTATTTACCACCCGACTACGAGCCATCAAGAGACGGCCCGCTGCCGACGCTGGTGTGGGCATATCCGAGAGAGTTCAAGAGCAAAGAAAACGCTGGACAGATGCGGCGATCACCGAACGAGTTTGCTGGTATTGGCTCGACGTCGCCTCTACTGTGGCTGGCGAGACGGTGAGTTAGCTCTTGCCCTTCGTTTTCCTTTTCTCCTTTAGAATTTCATCTTATACTCGTGCTGGTGATCAGCTTTGCAGTCTTGGATGGTCCAACTATACCGATTGTTGGAGAGGGTGAAGCTGAAGCCAATGACAGGTGCTTGTCATTGTATTTTCTCATGCTCGTGTATTGATTGATTGGCATTGTCTCAGCTACGTCGAGCAGCTGGTTTCTAGCGCTGAGGCCGCAGTTGAGGAAATCATTCGTCGCGGGGTAACTATCTAGATAGAGCTCTTTAGCTTCATGCTTGACAACTTTTGGAACTTTGCAGGTGGCTCATCCCGACAGAATTGCTGTAGGAGGGCACTCGTATGGAGCATTCATGGCCGCCAATCTCTTAGCTCATGCTCCACATCTCTTCTGCTGTGGCATTGCTCGAGCGGGAGCATACAACAGAACACTCACACCGTTTGGATTTCAGGTGGGTCTCCGTTTCTCAGTTTCGTCTGACTCGCAACTTTGGTTTGCACAGAGCGAGGATCGGACACTCTGGGAAGCTCCCAAAACTTACATCGACATGAGTCCTTTCATGCTGGCAAACAAGATGCAAAATCCCATCCTGCTGATCCATGGCGAGGACGACAACAACTCGGGTACGCTGACGATGCAGGTAAAAGTTTTTCTTTTTCTTTCTCCTGCTCGGCACTGTCCTGACAAGCTCACTCCAGTCGGAGAGATTCTACGACGCTCTCAAGGGTCACGGGGTGGTTTGCCGGCTCGTGCTACTTCCATTCGAGAGCCACGGATACGTAGCACGAGAGAGCGTTATGCACACTCTCTGGGAGTCGGAGAGGTGGCTGGACAAGTTTTGCGTGGCTGCTACTAGCACCACCGGGATGGCGGAGGAGAGCGAGGACTCCGAGAAAGATGCTAGCACGGCTGCAGCTCCACTCTCATCGCTGTAGCTACCAGTGTGGAATAAGCAAGCCCTAGGAAGGAGGATGGGGTGGGCTCTGGCTCTCCACGGCGGTGCCGGCGACATCAAGCGCTCCGAGAGGACCGAGGCCGCGGAGTCGGTCCTCCTGGAATGCCTCAGCCTCGGTGTTGCGGAGCTAGAGTCCGGGCGATGCGCTCTGGACGTGGTTGAATTGGTGGTAAGCGTGGCTTTCTTTGCGTGACAATCGATCGCCATGCCACCTTTTTTGCAGGTCCGCGCGCTGGAGAACAACGAGATGTTCAATGCCGGCAAAGGATCGGTTTTGACGGCCGAAGGCACTGTGGAGATGGAAGCCAGCATCATGGACGGTGCCACGGGTGACTGTGGAGCGGTCTCGGGCCTCACCACGGTTGTCAACCCGATCTCCCTGGCTCGCCTCGTCATGGAGAAAACGCCTCACATCTATCTCGCCTTTGACGGGGCCGAGGCCTTTGCAAGGCAACAGGTTCGAACGCTTTCGTTTCTTTGCTCTTGTTCTTGTTAACTGCAAAGCTCGAGTTGACAGGGAGTTGAAACTGCCGATCCCGGCTACTTTGTCACGGAGAGGAACATCCAGCGCTTGCGTCAAACCAAGGAGACGCAAACCGTTCAGGTAGAGTGGCCTAGCCTAGTTCGTTTTGTTCTCGCGCAACCGCTAACTGGAACTCTCTTGAAAAGATCGACTACTCGGTGCCTTCCGAAGCTGGCGAGACTGTGGGCTGTGTGGCCGTGGACTGCCATGGCAAGTGCGCGGCTGCCACATCCACCGGAGGCATGGTGAACAAGATGGCAGGACGCATTGGAGACACTCCGGTGATAGGCGCAGGAACTTACGCAAACGGGGTGTGCGCGGTGTCCACAACCGGGAAAGGCGAGAGCATCATGCGAGGCATGGTTGCGGCGGACGTTGCTGCTCGCATGAAGTACAAAGCTCTCAAGCTCTCCGAGGCAGCGGGCAGTGTTGTCAAGGAGCTCGAGGCAGGGACGACAGGTCTGGTGGCAGTCTCGGCCAAGGGAGAGATCGCAATGGACTTCAACACAACCGGCATGTTTCGAGCCAGTGCAGATCACACAGGGCACCTCGAGGTCGGGGTGTGGTGAAGGAAAACGAAGGAAAACAGCTCTTTTCCTATCTACATTCTAGGAGACTATGGCAGTGGCACGAATAAAAGATGGTCAGGATGGTTTACGACTCAGGAAGAAGAAGAGGAAGATCTCACGGGCTTCTCGAGCAATGCCGAGAGGTAGACTTCGTGGTTCTTGATGCCGTTCTTGTCGAGCTTGAGGCCGGCCACCCACTTGAGCTTGGTGTATCCCAGCCGCTCCACCATGGGGGCGTAGAGGGTGTGGAGCTGGTCCTGGGTGCAAAAGAAGTGATCCAGCCACAGGATCCCTCCGGGACGCAGCACCCGGTCGATGTCGAAGAGGATGAACTCGAGAGTGCGCGTGGGGATCCAGCTGCTGAGGACGTGCATGCTGTGGACGAGATCCAGCGTGTTGTCGAAGAAGGGGAGGCGCTGGCCGACGGTGAGGAAGATCGGGACGAGGCCGCGCAGCGCGATGAACTCGTTGAAAGGCCCGTTGAGGTTGAGCGAGGTGGTGACGATGGTAACGTTGTGCTCGGCCATCCTGGCGGCAAAGCTGGCGGTGCCGCCACCGATGTCTAGCCCGATCCGGAGGCTCCCGCGCTTGAGCGCCACCAGGTCCTTGATGGTGATCACGTCGTTCTTGCCTCGCGGCACCACCCACCTCGTCCTCTCGGCGCCCGTGAGCTCGAAGCAATCCGCGCAGTCGACGAACACCTTGCTCTCCTTGGCGCGCCGGTTGAGGCAGTCGAAGCTCTTGCAAGTGTAGTGGCTCCAGCGGATGGTATCGTCGGGCGGGGTGCTCCAGCGGCAGCCCGGCAGCGGCAGCGGCGTGGAGTAGGAGGGTGGCGAGCGCGCAAAGCAGCGGCGCCGCGGCAGGGGCTCGCAGCCGCGCACCATGAGAGCTTGGGCGATGTTCCAGTCGTCCGGGCAGAGGCTCCCGACGGTGTAGTTCATGTAGGTGTCGAGGAGAGCCATGTGTTGGAAGCAGGCATGGCCGATGGGCGATACCATCGTCTCGCCGCCGTGTGTTGGGTTTCTTCCCAGGGGTAGGCTGCGCTCCTCCGTGTACTCGAGAAGCTCCGAGCTCATGAGCAGAGATCTGGATCCAGCGCTTGGTCTTGTCCGCGCCGCTGTCAGTGCCTGCCGGATCTCTTCTCTCAGGGATGCTATCTCTGCGAGGAGTGGAGTGGAAGAGGGCGATAGGAGATTATCTTGCCTGACCCCCCGTGACACGGAGAGGCTGTAGAGCGCCATGAGATTGGTGCTGACGATCGAAGCCACTAGGAGGAGGTTCCATGCCACGCTCCACATTGAGATCGAGGAGGAGGAGGAAGACCTCTCTCTTGCTGCCTCGGCCTTCTTCATGCCACAGCCCACCTCGATCGAAAGCAGCGAGTGGGATCTATCTGGACACTCACATTTCCAGTCCCACTCGAAGACTCGACTTCGTGAATGTCTTGTTTGGTTGCATCATGCGAAGAGCTTCACGATCCACGACGCGATGAGATTCTTTGACATGCTACATGTGAATTCTTGTCGGTGCGCGAATGGAATCACCAGAGTGGACTTAGAGCGGATGATACATGTTTTGGATTTTCAAAGCTTCGCGGGGCGTTGACTTTCTTGACTTTTCTTGACCGGATATTCCATATGCTGCTCTTTGGGCAATCCCTCGCGAGTCGATAAAAATGAAGGTGGCAAAGCTGCTTTATATGTATGTTTTCTACACACCAAAGGTTGTATAGAATGATGTTTGTGCTTGCTAATGTCTTGCTTTCTCTCTTGTGCTGCGAATTTGCCTTTGGTGTTGATCCCACAGTTGGTTTTGAGAAGCAACAGGTCTCTTGGAAAATCCAAAAGCCATATGATCTCCAAGTTTCCGATCGCTACAACTTCAGCGATGGCGTGCATAAGCTGTGGGTGTATACTAGTGACAAGCCCCAGAACCCGCATAGTCCTACAAAGCCAAGGACGGAGCTTAGATTTCGAGTAAGTTGCAAGAGAATCTAGTTCTTAGTTTTGGTGTTGATAGCAGTCTATCTTTGTAGCAACCACAATACTCACAAGGAATCTGGCAATTCGAGGGAGACTTTTACGTTCCTTCGGGCACCACCGGAGTGTGTATAATGCAAATCCATGGCGGAAGGAACAGTGCCACCGCGCTCCAAATTCGAGTTGATGGGCCTGGTGATTTGATTCGCACTGGAGCGGACTTGGAGCACGCGACATTCGCAACGCACATCTATGACAAATGGATCCATCTCAATGTCATTCACGATGTAGACCATGAGATGCTTAGCATTTATCTGGATGGAGAGCTCAAGCATTGGGAGGTAAACGAAACATACGAGGAGCATTATTTCAAGTGTGGAGTGTACACCCAGAACAATGCTAGTGAATATATGGAATCCAGGTGGAAGAACATCAACATATGGAAGCTTTAGTTGTGAACTGAAAAGGCATGTTTAAAACCACAAAACTCTTGAATCTCACCTTTTGCTTCCCTCCTCACAATGATATTCCGCGAGGATGAGCGCGAGAACAGAGGTGGTGATGCTGCTGTGATGATGATAGAAAGCCTGGTTCTTTTCTTTGTGTCTAGCCAGATGGAACTGGAGTTGGAGATGCCGGAGCTTCTGCGGCTACAGGAGACGCTGCCGGGGATGCTGGGGCTTCTCCTGTCGCCGCTGGAGCTGCTTCACCATCACCATCTTGAGCAGTGCCTTCGCCCGGCTGAGCTTCCGACGTTGATGCTTCGGGCGCTGGCACCACTTCTGGCTCTGGCGGCGGCGGCGGCGGAGGGAGTGGCTCGCCAGCACTGAAGAGCTTCAAAGCGTAGGCTAGATCTTTTAAAGTTTCCGTGTATCCTGGGCAACCCTGCTCCATCTTCTCGATCGACTCGTCCGAGAATTTGCCGCGCAGAGTAACGAGCAAGCTCGCATGGTACTGGGAGAAAAGAAGAACAACTCAGTTCCTGGCGCGAGGAAAAAAAAAGTATACCTCTGTCGTAAACTCTTCTTTGTATTCCGGGGATTTAAACTCGGTCAAGTTGAGAAGAGCGTTCCCTTTCTGCTTGTACAGGACGTGTAGCACATTCTTGCTCTGCGATCACAACAGGTATAGCTTGGCTGAGCTTGAAACTTAAAACTTGATTACCTTGTCAAACGTTGGCGGATATTTGGGTTCGGGTATCTCAAGAAATCGAAACACGCAAGTCTGAGCGTCCGCGTGAGCGTTCCATTTGCTGCTTGCGAAAGCAGCGGCGGGAGCTGCCATGGCCAGATCACGGCATGCATACATCTCCACTTCCGGATCCTTTCAAAGCTAGCAAGATATCACGGCAATAGCTTTAGTAAGCTAACAAGAGGCTCTGAAGAAGCTGACCTTAACAGTAGTTTTTACGTGCCGGAAATCGTCTTCGTCGGGGAGAAGATGGATGCCACACTTGGATAAACGCTACAAAGGACCGCAAGAGATTTTAGAACCATGACCAACCAAAAACCATGCTCAAGCGTTCACCTTTAGCAGGACTCGAGGAGCCAGTTTTTGATCGTAGAGATGCTTGCATTCCGGGAAGTGAGGTTCCACCAGTTTGCACCATCCATCGCCGACCTCAAACTTGAGTATAAGCGAGGCAGCGTGCAGTGTCAAAAAGGCCTCGGATTCCGAAATGGGATTGATACTCCACTTTGTGTGTGGGAATTGCCTCACTCGGTTCTGCCAATAGCAACAGTCGGCAATAGAGCTACAGAAACAAGTTTAAAAGCTACCTGAAGCATGGCATGTGGTCTTATAATAATCGTGTGGAACGTCAGCTTCCGTGTTTCAGGTTCATACACCACGTCGGTGATATTTTCAAACTTCCAGCAGTGCTCTTCCTGGACAGGACAAATGTCAGTACTCAAGATTTCTCATGTCGCGTACTCGCTTACCGCAAACCAGCATCCAACTTTTGGAACAGGATCAAAATGGATGACAAACTCTGGCAATGTATAGGCGACGATGATCGGAGGTATGACGTTTCCAGGTCCCAAAGGAACCCCAACAAACGGGTATTCGACTGGAATAGTTGCTGCTGTCAATGGAGTAACTGCAAGGAAAGATTGTTTCTGTCATATTACCTGCTTGTGAAACTCGTGTGGACGACGGTGCTGACCTCTTTCAAAAGTCCATTCTTTTACGGTCTTTGAAAGCGGTGGAAGTTGGACAATCTCAAACCTGAATGCCCCACCCTGTGCACAATCCTCAAAACCAAGAGCTAGAGAAAAGAAAGAAAAAGAAAAGAGATTGATAGATCCTTACCAGTGTCATGTAAATGTCTTTGGACTTGTAAAGAGGATCAGTGACTTGATGGTACATGCGAACTCCAACATGGGCGAACACGAAAGGTTTTGGAACTTCTACAAACAAGTTGATCGCCGGGAAATCAAGGTTGCGAGCTCGTGGATTTTTTGCATGATTCGCCCACAAAGCAAGTTTCCAGCCTGCTTGTCCAGAGAACAAGCTGCACTCGTTCGTCCTCTTGTAGTAGTCGTGGGATTTCTGCACTTTAACCAGTGGAACTTTAGAAGGCTTTCAGCGCTAAAGGACAAGTGCCCGGTACATACTTCAAGTAGATAAGCTGTGTTATGATTAAGTCGTCTGTTTGCAAGCTCTTCCAGCCTTCTCATGTAATCGTGGTACCTAGAAAACGTCGAAAAGCCATCGTCTTAGAGAGTAGAATAAGGGAAAAAACTGAACGACATTACTTCTCGACGAGCTGTGGCCTCCCTTTCTGCTCTTCCACTAAAGCAAGCTCTTCGGCCCCTGCAAAGATCTTAGACAAGAAAGCTGTGTCATGTTTGTCGCAGCTAGCACGAAGATATCTCACCGAGTAAATATCCGTGAGAGTGCGCATCACGTCGTTTATATCCTTGTCATATCCCTCCGCCATAACGTTGAGATAGCCGTTCATGCTTGGATCATTGCCAGCATAAGGAAGAGGACCAGGCTCAACATATCTCTTCCACTGTATTGCCGGCAAGAACGCTGCTCAAGAACAAGAAGCTAAAACACGAAAGCAAAGCTTACCTCAGCAGCTCCATCGTAACGAGCTTCATGCTTTGCAAGTCCCTCCCTGCGACGTTTTAGAACTGGTTCTAAGCTTTCCCACTCGCCAACTATTCGGTCGTGCTCGGCTTTAAGCCGTGCTTGTTCTGCCTCCCATGCTAGTCTGGCTTCTTCGGCGATCCTTTGCCTCTCTTCTTCTTCTAGTCGCAGCTTCTCTGGAGAATAAAGAAAGAAGAGAAGAGTGTAGCCACATTTCCAAGTGATTGATTACCTTCAGCCGCTTTGCGCGCTTCCTCCTTTTTCCTCTCTATAAGAATGTGAATTGTGAAGAGCCAGAGAAGAAGAATGCCAATGCCATACCTTTCTCCTTCTTCTTGAGCGCCTTGAGCTCCTTCTTGGAGAGCTTCTTATCACCCTTGGGCGCCATTCTTTTCCTAGAGATCTAAGACTAGAGAAACCCTTGGATGATCCATCGCCTTGCGCCTAGGTAACTGCCTCCATGTCCCAGCCCTTGGAAAAAGAAAGACAAAGCCTAGGGCTTCCCTGGGCGCCACGTGGACAGTAGAAGCCCTAAAATCATTGTGTTTGAAGAACCCCGGCCAAAGCTCGAGCTATGGAGATCGAGGAGGCGCCATCGCCTAGGGCAGGCGATCCCAGCGGCGATGCCGCGGCGGCAATCCCGCTCATGCCGATGAAGCGCAGCAGCAGCGCCGATTTGGATCTGGAAGCCGGGCCGGGAGAGCAGCCCCAGTGCCGGATTTGCCTCGAGTCGGACGGTAAGGAGGCCCTAGCTGGTAGCTGCGGTGGGGAATGATCGCTTGTTTCCATCCAGGACGCGATTTCATCGCGCCATGCAGGTGTAAGGGATCCTCGAAATTTGTCCATCGCGCGTGCCTGGATCACTGGCGGTCGGTCAAGGTGCTCTTAGATTTCTAAGCAAAAACTCGCTGATTATCAGCAAGCCGGGGTTGGATCGTGGCAGGAAGGCTTCGCTTTCGCGCACTGCACGACGTGTAAGTCGCCGTATCATCTCAGAGTTCTCCAGGCACCGGCTGATAGGAAATGGAGGCAGCTCAAGTTTCGATTCTTTGTCACTAGAGACATTCTCTTCATTTTTGCGGCCATCCAAGTTGTAAGTCAAGTTTCTTCCGCCATAGCTCTTTCCATCTTGACTGACCTTTTGCTTTTGCTTGAAGATCACGTCGGCCTTGGCGTACATGGTTTATTTGATCGATTATCGGCAGAAAGAATGGATGCGCTTGGCATTTGGATTCGAGAGTTTATACAAGTTCTACTATATATGCGGTTTGTTTCAACCCTTCCACAAGAGCTTTGTACCTAAGAGCTTTGCTTCTTTTTTTTTTTTTTTCCTTAGGTGCGTTTCTCTTCTTCTCCTTGCTCGGGCTTTCAGGATGTTTCTTGACGTGCTACGATCGTCGCGTTCGCAACGATCTCGCACAGCCATGCCGAGAAGTCTGTATGTGCTGCTGCCATCCCGGGTGAGTGAAAAAAAATTTCGGTTTTTAGACATAGCGATTGATGTCGTGACGTTTTTTCCAGAGCTTGCGCCGACTGCCATTTACCAGGAACAATGTGTATGTGGACCGATTGCACGGCTTGCTTCGAAGGCTGCGCAGCAACCATGGGAGAATGCGGCACTTGCTTGAGCGGAGCGGGAGAAGCCGGGGCCCCGGTGCTGCTCGTCGTCGGCCTTGCAGTCCTGGCGCTCTTTGCAATCGTCGGGATCTTCTACAGCGTTTTGGTGGCGACGATGGTTTGCCAGAGAATTTGGCAGCGGCACTACCATATCTTGGCCAAGCGAATGCTAACCAAGGTAAAATTTCGGTTTTTTTTTCTAGAGTTCTATCTAGCTCACGAATGAATGGAAAACACATCGGCAGGACTATGTGGTGGAAGATCTGGATGGAGAGTCACTGGGACCGGATTGGACGCCTCCTCCCCTTCCGCCGGATCACGTCCAACATCTCAAGTCGCTGGGATTGCTCTGATAGAGAACTCTCCCGGCTTGTAACATATAAACGAGAACTTAAGATTTGTAAGGGGCATTCCAGATGGAAGCCAAAAAGGCGAGCGGCGGCCACCACCATTGACAGCCTTCCGGACGATGTCATCCTCGCCAAGTTACCTCAAGACTATCATTCCGAGGATTATTACCCTCTGGTGAGCAAAAGTCCCTCAAGAGCTAGCAGCTTCCTAGATGGAATAGAAACCCTCAAAAGCTTTTGTTTCCACGGTTGTCATGGCGAATGAGCAAGAGGCGCTTGCTTGCGTGGGAGGACGAGATCGCTTATCGGCTGCGGCAATGCGGGGACGCGAAGGATCTCTCGTGGGGCAAGCTCATTCACGCGTCCATTCTCGACTCCACCGAGCTCCTCCCCACGTATCTCGGCAATCTGTTGATCCAGATGTATGGCAAGTGTGGCTGCCTGGACCAGGCCCACGCCGTCTTCTGCAGCCTCGAGATGCCCAACCTCTTCTCGTGGAACATCTTGTTCCAAGCGTATGCCGCGAACGGGCATACACGGCGAGCGAGAGACTTGTTTCAAAACATGCCGCAAAGAAGCGTTGTGACGTGGAATGCAATGGTGAACGCTTTGGCTCAAGATGCGCAGCTTGACCAGGCTTGTGCCGTATTCAATGTAATGCCCGCGCGAGACGTTGTGTCCTGGAATGGACTTGTTGCAGCATATGCCGCAAAGGGGCATTTTTTTTTATGCCAGGACTTATTTGATCTGATGCCGCAGCGCGACGAGGTCACCTGGACCGCCCTCGTGTCTGGTCTTTCTGAAAGTCAAAGGCCGCTTGAGGCTGCTAACGTATTCGCTTTAATGCCACACTGGAATGTTGCGGCAGCGACGACTATGATAGCAGCAAATGCCCAGATGGAAAATCTGGATGAGGCTGCTAAGACTTTCGGGAGAATGCCGCAGCGAAATGTAATTTCCTGGACGACCTTTCTTGATACATATGCTTGCAAGGGGCTGCTAGCTTTTGCCACGCAGATTTTCGACCGAATGCCGAAGTGGAGCCTTGTAAGCTGGACTGTCATGGTGCAAGGATTTGCGCAAGGCGGCAACCTACACGAAGCAAAGCTCTACTTCAACAACATGCCGGAACGAAACGATGTCACTTGGAATGTGATGCTCTCTTGCTACGCCCAGAGCTTTCACAACCACGATCAAGCTCTGGAAATCTTCCAGAGAATGCCCCGCCATGACGTTGTGTCGTGGACTGTGATGATCCAAGCTTTTGGCCAGCAAGGCGACGTTGGAGAGGCTAGAAGTTTCTTCGACAAGATGCCGAGTGTGAGCTTGGTGTCGTGGACGACGATCATCGTGACCTACGCCCAAAATGGTTATCTAGACGAAGCAAAGTCCGTGCTGGAAAAAATGCCGCTTTGGGACCTCGTTCCTTGGAACGCAATGGTTACCGGGTACGCTGACGCTGGTCACTGCTGTGCTGCAAAGGATTGCTTCGACACGATGCATCATCGGGGAGTGGTGACCTGGAACTCGATGATCCAGGCTTATGCTCAAGCTCGCGATCGTATCAACGACGCGGAGGCTGTTTTTGAGAGGATGCCACAGACCGACATCGTTTCCTGGAACTGTTTGATGGGAGCGTATTCTCAAAACGGTAATTTCTCGCAAGCAAAGTGGACATACAATCGAATGCCGGACCGAGACGCTGTTTCTCACGCAGGAATCATGGCTAGCTTGTCGGGGATTGGCCAAGTCGAGGAAGCTCGAGTAGTGTTTAGCAGGATGGTCGGCAAAGAAGTGGCTTCCTGGCTCGCTTTGATGCAAGTGTTTGCTGCAAATGGTCGTCACCAAGAGGCAAAAGAAGTTTTTGGCAGGATGCCACGGCACACAGTCTCCTGCTGGAACGCTATCGTTTCGGTCCTCGCAAGCAGTGGAGATTTGGAGGAAGCCTCCAACACTTTGAAAGCGAAAATGCCAGAACAGAACACCCTCTCGTGGAACATCCTGCTGAACGCTCACGTCCACCAGGAGAGCAGCGAGCTCGATACTGTAAAAACGCTGTTTTTCGAGGCACCGGCCAAGAACTCCTCGTCGTGGAACGCCCTAGTGGAAGCTCACGTCCACAACGACGAATTCCAGCAAGCCAAGGCCATCCTCCTCGCCAAAATCCCGCAGTGGAACATGTACGTGTGGAACGTCTTGCTCACGGGGTTTTCTCACAGTGGTTTCATGGACGAGGCCGAGTGGAGCTTTGAAACAATGCCGTACAGGGACGTGATCTCCTGGACCGCAATCATCACCGCGTGCTCGCAAAACGGCCTCGCCAGGAGAGCTCTCGACCTCTTCCAGGCGATGAAGATCGAAGGCATCGATCCCGATGGAGTAACTTTCGTGAGCGTCTTGAGCGCCTGCAGCCACGAAGGACTGATGAAACAGAGCCGGAGCTACTTCCTCTCTATCGCCGGAGACCACGGATTGGATCACAGGAAAGAACATTACTGCTGCATGGTGGACAGCCTCGGACGATCCGGCCGCCTTGATCTTGCCGAGGAGCTCATCACCACCATGCCGTTTCGCCCAGATGGAGTGGAGTGGGGAATGCTGCTCGCTGCTTGCAAGCTCCACCGCGATGGTGATCGCGGAGCTCGAGCTGCCGAGCGTGTCTTCGATCTCGATCCAGGAAACGTTGCTCCTTATGTGCTCCTCGCCAACATCTACGCAGTGCTCGGCAAGCACGACCAAGTTGCCGCGGTGAGAAGGATGATGATCGCCAGAGGTGTGAAGAAGCAGCCGGGAGTCAGCGTGATCCGGCACGATGGCTCGCTCCATCGGTTCGTGGCTGGAGATTTATCCCACCCTCGATCTCCAGAGATCATTGCGGAGCTGGATCGGCTGAGCGCTGGGATCAAGGAAGCTGGCTACGTTCCAGACACCATCGAAGTTTTGCATCACGTCGCTGAGGAAAGCAAGGACGAGCTGCTGTGCCACCACAGCGAGCGGCTTGCGATCGCGTTTGGGTTGATGGTGATCCAGGACGATCGCGCCAATCCACGCAAACCAGTGCGGGTGCTTAAGAACCTTAGAGTTTGCTCGGACTGTCACAGCTTCACGAAGCTCGTGTCTAAGCTGGTTGTCAGGAAGATCATCGTGAGAGACGCTAGCCGGTTCCATCACTTTGAGCATGGGAAGTGCTCATGTGGAGACTACTGGTGATCCTGCTTTAGAAGCTGATCGTTTTGCCTTCTCATAACTCACAATTGGATTGATCCTTCTGTGGAAGAAGGAGAATATTTTGGTACACTAAATAATATTTTGTTAACGTTTTAATAGCTGGATGGATATATTTAGAATATATTTGGTTATTTTAGGATATTCTACCTTGTTATTTATTTAGATTAATTTTGCATTTATAAATTACAAATAAGCTTATAATTATAAAATTTATTTGATTAATTAGATTAATAAGTAAGAATAACACTACTATTAAGCAAACCAAGCGTTGTTACATGCAACACATAGCAATTTATCCTAATATCTAATCTTAATTGTATTTAATAGAGGTTTTGCCTTATAGAAATTATTATTTTAATATTTAATAATTAGTATTTATATGAATTATTTAAGCTACTTTATAATGTATATTATATTTGTGATTGCATGGAATATGGAAAAGGAATATAGAAAATGTGTATATCAATTAGCCCAAAAACCCTAGCTTATATATAAGAGCAAGTGGTTCGGATTAAAACCAATCCGATGGCTACCAAAATCCCATTACACTAATATTAGTGTACGGCATTGTAGTTGTACACTTGGACCTTACATCATCCCCTTCTCTCAGAATGATAGAAGACTATTAGGGTTCTCTTATAGATAAGCCAGGATCTAGAGGAATGTCAGGAGAAGGCATTAGTGGATTTGTAAGTAGTATTAGTTATTCCGGATCCCTTTATACAAAACATTTCAACTGTTGTGCATGCACAATTTTTGGAGGATCGGCCTGTTGGACGTTATACCAAACTTCATAAACTTATGATCCAACTTGCTACAACACTTGATACGGTCCTTTCCATTGAGCAAAAAGCCCCTTAAATAAATCACATACCATAAGATAGGGAAAACAGACTAACACTAAGTCATCCACTTTATACTCCACAAGTGGACGATGATGGGAGTTGTAGTATCGTTGTTGTCCCACTTGTATGCGGCCTAAGTGTTTAGCAGACTCTGCTCAGACAAGTGGAAAAATGTTTTTCAAATACTAATCCTATGACTTAGCATCGGTAGCTCGTGGCAATCACGAAGGTAAACCCAACTTCATTGGTAATATTGGAGTATGACTATATAGAAGTTTATATGGTGAAGCATCAACAGAACTCTGCACCCTTGTGATATATACATACTGAAGAGATGGCAAATAATTATCCCAATCCGAATGGTAGGCATGGAGAAACTGTGGAATAAAGACAAAAGACACCACCAGCTATAAATGATCATCAGGATCTGTCCCCATAAAATAAAAAAGGGCGTCTTTAGGGCGATATTCAAAATGTAAATGCTGGAAAGACAAGTCATCAGCAAGTCATCCTCAGGATTCTCAAACTCATTTCAAAGCATTCAAATTTATGGCTCAATCTTTTGAGCCTTGCGAACTTCATCAAGAGAAGGTAGATCTTGCTCTACACCTTGTGGACACTAAACGTCAAGTACAGGAACTGCCAACAGCACAAAATTCTTATTTAGAACATTCACAAATGTTGGAATAATAGGCTCGTCATAAACATAAAAAAAGAGTGAAGAAGGAAAAGGAGCTCGAAAAAGGGTATCAGCATCAGCCATAACACTCCCTGAGCAATGAATAACATTAAAATTATATGTCTGAAGCTTCAAAGCCCATCGAGCAATATGACCAACTAGGTTCTTTTGCTTCAATAATGAAGTAATGGCAATATGATCACCTTCTAGTAACGTCTGAGAACCATGTAAATATGCATGAAGTTTCTTGAAACCCTAAACTGCTATTAAACACTCATCTATCGTAAAGTAGTTCATCTTCACCAGTTGTAATATATATCTTATAAAAACAATAGGATGGCATTGACCAAGCACACTTGCATCAACACAACTCCAAGACCAATATCAGAAGCATTCACGCACAAAATAAAAGGTCGAGTGTAGTTTGGATATGCCAACACTAGAGGAGTCGTCAATAGCTCTTTGAGATCTATGAACGCCCACTCACAATTTAGAGATCAGATGAAAAATGACATTGACGCCTTCAACAACGCTCATAGTAGTGCAGTGCAATTAGAAAGATGATCCACAAAACGACTAAGATACTGCACCTTGCTTAAGAAGCGTTGCACATCATTCACACAGTTCAGAGTAGGGAACTTTAGAACAGCCAAATCAACTTGCAAACCCTCACAAGAAATACAGTACCCAAGATAAGTTGTGTTCTTGGACCCAAATACGCACTTCGACCACTTCAACTTTAAACCAATGTCCTGTAGTCGATCTAACACTTTACAAACATCATGGACGTGCTCTTCCTATGTCCCCTCCGAGTGGATCAAGACATCATCAATGAAGTCAGTAATCACCTCCACATATCGCAAAGAACCTTGTCCATCATCCGCTGGAAAATTGCTGGAGCATTGTTCAAACAGAACGGCATCACTAAAAACTTGTATAAACCAAATGGTGTATAAAAAGCAATCTTAGGAATATCTTCTTCGGCCATCGATACTTGCTAGTACCTAAAAGCAAGATCCAACTTAGTGAACCAACGACTTCTCCCAAATGATCCAAGAGATCAGCAGTGTGAGGAAAAGGGTACATATTTAGGATCATCAAGGCATTTAATGGATGATAATCAATGCAGAAATGAATACTCTCATTAAGCTTTGTCACAAGATAATGTTCAAATACCCAAGGACTCCACGACTTCCGAATAACACCTTTCTCTAACATCTCCTTGACATTTGCACGTAAAATCTTGATTTCTTTGGGTGACCAACAACAAATAAGAACTTTAATTAGGTGAGCATTCCCGGTTGGAGTAGGATGATGTGTGGCAATTTTGGCCTCAGATGATAGGTTAAATTCAAAGAGATCGGAATACTCTTTTATGAGCCAGTCAACCACTGCAACACAAAGACTGTCAGAGGGATTGGAAAAGGGAAGAGCAGAACAATACGGAAACATAGGAGGAAGTAGTGGGGGGACAAAAGTAATAGAAGTAGAGGTAGAAGTAGAGGGATGAAGAAGTACAGAAAAGCTCTATTTCGTTAAAGTGGGAATTGTCATTATCCCACTTGTAAAATAAGGTTTCCAAACCTTTATATAGTATATAAATATAACAAAATTCAACTGCATTGAGGCACATGCCATTTTATTTTAAACAAGGAAATGTCTACTCAATCACTTCTCCTCCCCCTGCCACTGCTTCACCTCTCTCTTCTCCTTGTCATCGTCGTCCAATTTCTTTCCATCCTTTTAATATTGGCTCAGTTGCTCCGAGTCTAGGTGGAGCCCAAGTCCCCATTCAATCTTTAAGATCCAATCCTTCAATAGCGCACGAGCTCTCAGAGTCGTGCACAAGTCCTCGTATGTCACAATATGGCCGGGAGTCATTTTGGTCTTGTTGAAGACAACCTCACCACGTAGAAGAGCATTAGCCACTGTCAGAAGGTCGTCGTCGTCTAGAGACCGCGAGAAACGCAAGGCGTTGAGCTTCAAATCATTGGGCTTCCGGCCGTCCTCCACACCCATTGAGTTTGGCAACTCCCCGTCATGGTACCTCCTCAGCACATCTACCCATTTGTCAAAAACAACTTTTGTCGCGAGTAGAATGTTATGGATGCTGAGTGTGTCATTGACCCCCAGTGTTTTCGAGAGAAGACTCGAGAATTCCTGCAATGGAAATGGCGTGAGGCCACATGCTATGCCACATACAACGAGGCTTACCTGCCAGGCGCTAGTTGCTAGTGCACGTCCTTGTCCTGGTTTTTGTGGCTTCTTCAGTTGAACCCAGAGCTTCCGTGTTCGTGCCAATGTCTCGTGCAGACCCGATTTGTAGCACGTTTCTTGCTTGACATTCTGCGCGTGGGAGATGTATATGATAGATCGGAGGGGCGAGTTGCCTTTTATCAGGCGGACAACTCTTGTCTTGAAGACTTTCTTCACCTCCTCGCCCACCATAATATCCACAGCTATCTCTTGCATCGCCAAGCTAGAATGCTGCCCGGAGACGGCATAGAACCGGATGTTCTGATCGTCCAACACCTTCCTATTGATCAAGTCTGGAAACCTCATCTCGCCCTTCATTTTTTGGTAGTAGGGGATCACGTTTGCGATGTCGGGTGTTACTGGACTTGCCAGCATCTTCTGCTTCAATTTCTCCACCCACTCATCAGATACTAGCCTGTGGTTGTATTTGCTTTGGATGTCGATACGGCTCACGTCGATTGTATATACTTTGTTGGAATAGTAACAAGTACTATTATCTGCGACAATTTTTGCTGCCTCTTCTTGCTCTTTCTGCTCTTTGCGGCTCTTCTTTTTGGTGGGTGTAGTGTTCGAACCCGAGGCAATGGCATCACTGAGTAGCTTCTTTTTTGGAGCAGGAGAGTCGGACGTCGGCTTGAGCTTGACCACCCTTTTCTGCTTCGAGGTAGTTTCCAGATCGACCCCCTTCCCCTTTGCTTCGCGAACTGGAGTCACTCTCAACGGCTCAATGTTGGAATATAGTTTTTGAACATCGCCGTAGGTGAGGTCCGTGGATTCCATGTGATCTTCATAGACCCGCAGCGTCTTTGAAATTGTGGGCCTCCTGGACAACCTCTCCCTAGCTCCCTCTAGGAATTCCTCATAGCCGCTGCCCCCCTCCGGGAAGCCGCTAGGATGTGCAAGGTGGATCTTGAAGGCAGACGCTGTCTCTACCAGAAGTGCCAGTCCATATTCTTGCATGGAACTGCATGGAGTGTCTGTCACTTGGATGAGGATCCCCATGCATTCTTTTCTCCCACCATCTGTGTTGTACAGCTTCAGATCCTCGCCTTCCATCCCGAAAGTCCAACTGGTGAGCTCCTCCCCCTTCTCTACATCCACATTGACAGTGGCTGGAAGAAGAACGCAATTCCTCGCCTGTTCAGAAATGCACAACAATTAGAGCTGACAGATGAAAAGCTAGTAGCTGGAAATAACGTGAGGCCACACGCCATTCACCACTGCATCAGATGTCTTGAGGCTGCATCCTAAGATGGCATGAGGCTACACGCCATCTGTAACCGGACTGCACTCGAGAGCCCAATCGGTGCATGCCAAT